ATCCCTCTCTATCAAAGCGGTTGCGCTGCAGGAGAGCTTTAGCAGCTTTGTGGATGCTTTCCATGCTGAATGGATTGCTGAGATCATGATCTGGAGTCTTGGCAAGTAATCTTGCTTCCAGTCGATGTCTAAAGGGTTTAGGGATTCCCTTCCAGAAGGTAATTGCCTGAGTGTCCTCAGTAATCTTTCCTTCTTTTTTAAGCCATCCAGCAATCTTGATGAAGCCTCGATTGTATTCTTTCCAGGATGAAAGATTACGAATAGTCTTGTGGTCAGACTTCCAGTTCTTGACATATATGACGAGGTCTTTGGGGCGGTATCTCTTTGAGTCTCTTTCAGCATCATAGAACTCCAAAAGGTCTCTGGTAAACTGATCCCAGTTTCCTGACTTATAGCTTGAAAGTCCTTCCATAAATTCTCGTGCATCCCTTGAACAGTACTGCGTAATATTCTCTATCTTCTCTTGAGCATCGGTCACTCCTTTCTGAAGACAGAGTCTTTCGTAGTGCTGGACAAAAGGCTTGATCTCTGAGTACTTTCCTTTGAATTTCTTCGGAGCATTCTTCGTGCCAGGGATTGGTAGGTCGATTACACCTAGGTGTTGAGGTGTAGTCATTGCAGTAGCGGTAGTGTGTGTAGGGATAGGGTTTTGAGGTGGAAATGCAAGTGTTGAGGATGAAGGTGAAGGTGTTAGAGGTGATGATGGTGGTGTTGTACTTCTCAAAGCACCTTGGCTGCTCACACTTGAAAGCAATAATATGGCCAAGTCAGAGGTATCAGACATACAACAATTAGAGTAAAAACCCAGCCCTCGCGGTGGGCTCCACTGATGTCGGTCAGAAAAAGAAAAACACTCTCAAAGAGATGAGAGGCCAAAGGTTTCTCTTCTGCAGAAAAGTTTCCGGGTGAGACGTTACACCGGGTCTTTCCTGTTGTTCGTTTGGGGTGAGGGGAGGTTTACCGTGTAGTCTGACAATAAAGTAGACTTGACTGGCTATACCACTGAAAGGAGTGTGTTTTTAAGGTAAGTGAAGTCTTAAGCAAGGTATGCCTTAGAGTTCACAAGAGAAAGGAAAGGGATTTAGGATAGCAATCTCAGGTTAAGACAAAGTCAAAGATACACGAAGGTACAATGACCAGCTTTTCTTAAGAAAAGAGTAGGTGTTGAGAAAATTTGAAAGCAGCAGAAGTGGCAGATCGCTTCAGGCTTTTCACTTGCACTTCACAAAGAGAGAGTGTCAAGCTTGGGGACTTTGAGCTTTGCAGGACTTTAGAAATGATAGAATTTGGGGCAGAACTTTAGGGAAATTACAGGAACTTGAGGGGCACAGGCACATTACTACAGGAAATAAGGGGCTCATTATATACAATCTAGAAAGGGGCTGTGCTATGGATGACCAAGCTAAATTTGTAAGAACTTGCTTCGCTTACTTGATGAGAGAATGCAGGTGCTTATTAATGAAACATGAATTTAGCACTAGAATCCATGCTTGAGTCATCTATTTTCAGCCTGGAGTAGTCTAAACCAGTCTCAGGCTGATTCCAGATGCTTCTAAAGGATTCTTTACTTACAAATCTGCATTCTTTCCTGACTCATAGGGGTGTCTGATGACTCATAGGGGCATCCGATGACTAAGAATGACTTAAGATGAGTCAGAATGATCTTTTGATGAGTCACAATGGCCTTTTCTGACTCATTAGGGGCTTTATGAGTCATGGTGAGTCTTGATGACTCAATGGCCTAGTGCTTCAAGAATGAAAAGTCCATTCTGTAAGGAATGGAGAGCTCAGTTGTCGATCGATCAAGATTTGATGATCGTGCATCAGATATTAAGGTCTTTCGATCAGTTGGTGCTTGTATGGCCAGGTGGCTTCACTTTGCACACTACACCTTCCTTTCTGAGATTCCTTATCTTATCTGGTATCACTTGGAGATTGCCGAAATTGAAGGTTTGATCAGTTATTGTTCAAGAAAGCTGAGTTGAGTGACGCACTCTTCTTTCTTCAAACACCGCACTCTTTCTTCTGAAGTGTGTACTTGCCAGTATTATCGTAAACTTTGGTAAGTTTGCTAAGCATCCTATTCAGACCTTCTGGACATATCTCTAAGTCCATAGGATCTTTTGTGGACGAATTAGGTGCTTGCGCGGTACTTTGAACAGTTGGTATTTTCTCAGAAGTTGGGAATACGTTGAAAAACCCTTTTGACAATATGAGCTGGGTACGTATCTTCAGATCATTTAAACTCTTCATAACTCATTAAAGAGTGATCCCCTTGTAGATCGAAGAAATGAAGGCTTTGGAGCCTCCTCCTTCAAGTACGAAGGTGTTTCTTGAAATCTTTGGTATCATCTGTGGAGTCGTAGCCTTCCTTTGTGGAGTGTATCTTATAATGAGGTACATTATTAAACGTGAAGATCACTCTAGGAGTTCAGGAGGAGGACCGTCATCGTAAAACATGTACTTTGATCCATATTCATTATGTTGCCTATCTTCACCTCGCCAATTTATAGATTATTTATTCATCATCATGTCACCGTAAAGTAACATGCTTGAAGATGCGAATAAACAATAGTCTTGACTGATCTGCAGTCATTTCCGGTCTTTTCTGAGCATACACAGACTTTACCAGTGTTGAAGGTCCAGTTAAGCGCCTACTGCTGACGTGGCACTGCCAGGCGATGATACTTGTCTTTAGAAGCTGTCTCCTTCAGACAGATTCGAGTTTCAGATCCACCTGTCTTGAGATTAGGTAAGTCTTACTCCTTCTAGTCTGGTTTGGTCATATTCACATTCGACTTTCAGATTCTGAAACTGCCTCATGGCCACTACAACGTGTGTCACCTTGCATGCGTGTTCAGAGTATCAGTCTAATGTCTTTTTCTGACCTATCGCTTCTTTAGGATCATCCTGGAGTCTTCCTCAGCTGCCCCCACTCCTTTGGCTTATACCACGGTCTCTAAGCCAACAGTAATTGGAGTCGTCGTCCTCCTTGGTACTTTGATGTTAATCATGGTCGCCTTGTGGCTTTGGTGTATGTTCTTTGCTCCTCGACGCATTTCTCGTGGTGCACGCAACCATGCAGCAGCTCCTATTGCAATGGTCTCATTGTCTTCTATTCACTTCAAGACAGTTATTGTCCCTTCCACTCCTTCATCTTCATCAGCCCCTCCCTTGGATTCTTTGACTACTTTGGCTCAGACTTCATCGTCATTGGTACATTCCTCACGTTCTTTACCTTCCATTCTTCATTCTCGTCACTCTTCCTCTTCATCTGTAGAAGATTTGAGGCATACGTTGTCAGTTTGAATTAAAGTCGGACTTGAGGTTGAGGAGGTCATTTATTGTACTTGTTGTCATTGGCATACCCTAATTATTGTCGTATCTGCAGTGTGACATTGTCTTGGACTTTCGTATTCAGTGTTGAATATCGAAGTGATCTGTCCATATGCCAAACACTTTTGGTGCAGGACAGCGTGGGAGGAAAGTGAGTCATAATGTTTGACCTCATTGATAGGTTCAGTAGCACACAACCTACTACCTAATATAGATAGTGGAAGGGCATAAGTAGTTCGAGGGAGGGATAAACAAAAGGGGTGTATGACTTCAACAAATGAGATAGATGAGTCACAGTTGCAGTTGCAGTGTGTAGAGTCACACTCTGCGGCCCTGTGAGGAAGAACTAAAGTGTTCAGACTTTCTTAAGTACGCAAGAGTTGAGCTTTGAAAGGGGAAAAACTGGTGACATTTCGTCCTCCTACATACTTTTATACTACTGGCTCAGTTAACATACACGACATAGTGACATAGTAGTGCAATATTGTCAGTATATCGGGAAGATGAAATAGCTAAATGTAACTAAGAAAGGACATGAAACAGAGACGAATAAGGGTTCCTACACTCAAGAAGGTTTAGACTGTGGAGAAAAACAAATAAAGACATAAAAATCACAAGGAGACCGTGATGTCAGAGGGTGTAGAGTCTGCGACCTGGCAACAAGGATGTCGGAAGGAGTCGATTGCAGTGTTTTTTCATGTTTCAGACCTAGGAAAGATGATTCTTCCTTAATGAGATAAGTCCGAATAAGGAAAGTCACATGTTGCAGAGTCAGAGGGAATGGCCGAAGGCCGAATATCGGAATGTCGGAACATCAGAACCTATGCTCCGAAATTGGTGGAAGTCACATTGTCGGCATATAGCTTAATAAGGAAGTCGGGAGTCATGTGAAATTGGAAGAATTGAAAGAATCTGGGGCTAGATCCTATGGCTTTCTATCATCGTAGAGCTCTGAGGCAAACAGATAAGGTATGTACAAAGATAAATACCTACTTATATATGAAAATACTGTCAAGCATGTGGAACTCCATTCCACTCCTCTCATTCCTTGCACATAGTGACACTTGCCACTTTATCCATATTCCAACATGTAAGGTGATACCTGGGAACAGCTGAGTTATGTCTGCAATATGAGGCATTATTTGCACTAACCTCTATGGGATCCAATAACTGGCCCTAGATATCAGTCTCTGTATCATAGGTGTGTCATGCAAGTGGGGTGGCAAGTAGTGAAGGAGATATTTCTTCTGGATCAAAGTTTTATCAAATAAACCAACATCAGTTTTGACTCTATTTGACAGAATACCTTTGGTGACAAAAGAGGATGTCACAGCCTGCACATCAGTCTGAGATAAGCCAGTGCCAGAGAGAATGAGTGATCTATAAGGTCTAAATGCCAATATTAGTCTGTGGAGGATGGAATGCTCAGCCTGACTTTCTTCAGATTGAAAAGCAGCCTTCATCTTCTTTGCAGCTTCCTGTGCTTCATCTACAACAATGTAGAGGCCATGAAAATCTCTGATGCCCACCATTCCACAGATCTGACCTATAACAGTTGGCAGCTTTCTCCTGTCTCTGAGGTCATCTTTCTCAAAGTAGTCATCAAAGGCATTCTGAAGGATCAAGGAAAGTTGTTGAAAGATATCATCATCTTTAGTGTTCTTTCCTAAGATGTCAGCTGGTCATAACTGGAGATATAGCCAGTGAATCCTGAATTCATCCAGACTCATTTGTGGGTGTTGCTTCCTCGCCATCTGGAGGAGTTTGAGCAGAATCAAAGCACTGCTAAGCAGAGATGACAAGAACTGGTGATGTGCTGTGCATCTATTGTGTCTAAGTGCCTCTTCCTAGACACTTTCTGAGTATGCATTCAAATCTACGGTGAAAGCAGAGGGCTCGCCATTATCCATATTCTGCAGCACCCAAGGCAAATTGTGCAATCCAAGTGAAATCGCTTGCTGCTTATCGCATGTGAAGTAGAATCCCCAAGATTGCAAGAGACCTTCGCAAAGTATCTGAGTCTTGCCAGAGCCAGATGTATTGATGAGGTGCCTGCAACAATTCCGGTATAAGTATTCAGTAACATATGAAATTCCATATGGAGATGCATACGTTGCCACTTCCGTCCCGTAGAAGATGCGCGATACCACCTCCGGTTTTACGATACCGAGGCCAAGGCCATATAGCAGCAAGCACGGGACGTTTGGGGTTGTCATCGGGATCTCCAGTGAGTCGACGAAGTTCTCCGTTTGAGCATCCGTGCTTGTTGATTTATAGGTGGGCCAGGCAAAATTACGATGCAGATAGCATTGAAGGTTAGGTGTGATGCTCTCAATGAGAGATGAAATCCCGCGCTCAATATCGGCAGATGGCTGAGGTGGTGTGCATTCGAATAGTCCACCTAAGTGATCTCGATTGATAAATGCAGCTGATAGTATCGGCAATGTGCACGTCAGGGATCGTGGTGGCGGAGTGATGGCTGGAAAGACATACGATGACCTATGACTGCAGAGTAGTCTTTCCTCCCAAAGGACGTTCTCAAAACTTGTAGAAATTCACTATCAACTTGTAGCAGCTTCTTTTGGTAGGCATCATCTTGGAGTTTTTCGTTGATAGTAAGACCCGCACAAAGCGGTGAGCTCAATGCAAAGGAATATACAACTCGTAGCACAGGAACACAACCATCAATCTCGACAGTGTCGCAGACCCCGCAGTCGGACAAGAACATGGAGACCTTGTCGTTGAAATAGGCCTGCGATTCCGGTGACAGAGTAGACAGAATGTTAGAGGGTGGTGCGCTCATGTTTGGGACGTGAGGAAGACGGGCCTGATCAAGAGACAATGTGGATTTGCGAACTGAACATTCGGCGGATGAACACTGTCGGATGCCATAGAATCCGCAACCATTTTTGGATGTCCACATGGTGCCGAGAAATGTTCCGATGGTGTGGGCCACGGAACAAGCTATGCTAAGCCTTGGAATCCTAGAAATCCACTTTGCATAGGGAATAGGCAGTCCTCAAATCTAGCACGCCATAGGTGACCCAGAAAAACCAAAATATAAATCACCGCCGTAGTTGTCTATAATACAATATCGTGCAACCAGATGCGACCCCGGTAAGGACTTATAGCGAGGACCCACCACACGTCTTGATAGTTTGTCCAGCGATATATTCCCCTTCATCCAAGACCAGGAACGAGACCAACTTCGCCACGTCCTCTGGCTCTTGGATACGGCCTAGCTTGATATCACGTTGGACGCGGATCGCCTTCGCAGCCCTAACTGGGATATTCTCCTACAATTAAATATGGAGACATTAGCAACAATGGTTATGTGAAGAAAACGACACTGAAGGTCGATGCTACGCATGATCTTGGCAAGTTCTCGGTCAATGTGATCCCACATTGGCGTATCCACAATAGCAGGCGCATTTGCTAGACAAACGTCATTACCAACAGGACACCACCTCTAGACGCACAATGCAGACGTGCCATTGACCCGAATGTCATACTGTGCCCACTCCTTAGCCGCAGCTCGTGAATCCTCGCATTGCAAATAGCGTCGCACCGTACGGTGCAAGGTTCTCTGCATAAATTGAGGCGTTCAGCACGGACGCCTTAATCCACCTCAAGACATAACATAGCGGTGGTACGGTAGGACGCAATCGAACCGGCACCAAGTATACGACCACCATGACCTTGCTTCATCATCTGTCGAGCAGCAGCAATATGCGTGTTCATGAACCCGAGCACATTAATGCGGACTTCATTCTCGATGAACCTGTCAAAGCGTCTTGAGCGTCATAGTGGTGACATGGTTTCAACCAGGACAGTCGTACTCGGTAGTACATTCCAGAAGAGGCCTGACCTGTGTGATGCCTGCATTTGCGACGCTGACGAAGAGGTTGGGACCGAGTCTGTCTACAGTTTTTTTGATAGCAGCACGGATGGACTTCGCATCGCGTACATCGGACATATAATAGTGATCGGATGAATGATTGCTCGAGAGTAGGTAATCATAGTAACCGACTCACTTGAAAATACGCTGATTGCTTTCCTGCCATAAGACTCGATCTCCTTAATCACATCCTGGACTTTCTTCTTCCGACCAGGGATATCATGCCTGTCTCTAGCAAGACGCGTTGCAATCGCACGACCAATTCTTTGGCCACCACCTGTAATGAACGCAACACGATCCTAAAGCGGCCTTGACGGGAGATGCGAATGACATGTTAGCGATAGCCATAGTAGTAAGATGGGAAGCAGGGGAAGCGACCTCTGGCTACCTATGGGGTACATGATTGCTCTTCTAATTGTTGCGTGAAGTTTACATATTAGACCGGGCCGTTTAACAGGTTCACATGTTAATGGAGCTCGATAACAAGGAGGAGGACATTGTCATGGAAGATGGGCACGTTGTCTGGACTCTGCAGCCATTGAGCACGTCCGCAAACTCGCCCTGGACGATACAGTCCGATGGCAGTTGGAATATAGGTGTAGTGGCTGGCCGGAAATTAATTAAATTAATTATTGTGCAGAGGAGAGAAATGGGGAAATCTGAAGCTGATTGACCTACCTCAGCTTCAACCAACCTTGAATTGTCCTGAGAGCATTGAGAATGGTGCCTCAACATGCATATAGATTTTGGAGTGGCGCTGCGCATGCCAAAGTTGAACAGAAAATTAAACATTTGAGTTCCAGAAAGCACGCTCTTGAGTGACACTTGAGAGAATAACTGATCTACAAGACAGACTATGCATGGTGCTTCTCATTGACAATTGCATTCAAGCAATGCATTTATGAAAGAATATGGGTGCTGAAACCCTGAGGGGCGGCGCTGCGCGCGCCGGATATTGGCTATGCATTGGCATGCACAGATAGCCACTGTTTTATTTGGTCAGCCTCAAACCTAAGTTTTGGAGCTTTTCCCTTATCTTAATCAGTCTTCTGGACATTCACCAGAAGCACCTAGCATACAGAGGCCCAAATCTCTGTGAATACATATCAACTCCCTGCCAAAAATGTGTTTTGGGCAAATTTTCATAAGAAAATGAGGAAATGACCTTTCTGTTTGCTATCCTAGACAGACCATAATTGTTTGATGTATATATGAGTATCAAACAGAAGTCACAACATAGGATATATGATAGAGGTCAATTTCTCTTGCTCGACAGCCATTTTTGATGCAGCATGTGACCGCCGAATTTAGTAGGTCACCTACCTAGAAAGGTTATGTCTGTTTGCACATGTTTATGTTTTTTCAAACTCAGTTAGGTCCTAATTGCGCTACACCTATATTCCAACTGCCAGTCCGATCATTATCTGTTGTCGCCTAATTGGGCAAGTCTCTAGGATCAACGAGGCAGTAGTCGAATCAGAAACGACAGGCACAGCAACGAAAGTCCATCTGGCGGCTTTTCAAGCTGTTCATCCGTCTGCGGCGCTGACAACAAGCTTACACAGCAATTGCATGGCTATTTATCTATAGGATAGCCAGTACAACGCTCGACTCTATTGGAGTTGTGAAAGTTATATTCACCACCATTCAAGTTGAACGTTGAAGGCCGGTATCTCCAGTGTTCCACGCGATGTCTGCGATCAAAGTCATTCCTAAGTTCGTTACACTCCCAAACGGTGTTCAGCTCTACACCGAGCGCGTTGCTCTCACAGAACCAGCAGATTCCTCCGAAACGCACACCATTGTGCTCATTCATGGAATGGGGGGTTCCACCTCCATCTTCTACCCCATATACGCCTCTCTCCTTTCGTCTTTTCCTTCTTCCACCCTTCTCGCCTACGATCAAGCCGGCCACGGCCTCTCCCCTATCGATCCGTCCAAAGTTCACGGCGGAGCAAACCCTCTAGCCATCGATGACATACGATCCGACCTCGATGCACTCATTACCCAAGAAGCACCTACGGGACGACTCAGCGTCATCGCACATAGTGCGGGCACACTCATAACTTCATACTTCCTCATCTCTTCCTCTCCAAACGTTGCTCGCATCTCGCATGCGGTATTCATCGGGGGTCCGTTGAGCATGCCTGCCCCGCCAGAAGTCACCACGATGCAACTAGCCTTTTGCTCAAAAGTCGAGAAGGAAGGTACTTCTGCAATAGCTGAAGATGTCACCCCGGCTTTGGTGGGGAAGACATCGATGCAATCCAGACCTGTCGCAGTAGCGCTTGTGAGGAGTTTGCTCCTTGGACAACCGAAAGACGGTTATGCTGCTGCTATTCGAGCGCACTCTGCATTCATGAAGTTGGGTCCTTTTCCCTTCGAGAAGTTCCCCGATGCGCTAGAAGTGTTGTTCGTGGGAGGAGAAGAGGATTTATTCGTTTCTCCGGATGCAATGAACACGCTTTCTGAGAAAGTCCGCAATTCCCAAGTCATCACTTTGCCTGCGGTGGGCCAGTAAGTTGTTCTCAGGAGCCCCAGATATCTGAGCTCACATAGCCATGTAGCACGCCACAAGTGGAGGTTCCCTCTGAGTTTGTCGACGTTGTTGCCAAGTTCTTGAAGGTATAAGCCGTTTTCCCCTTACATATCAAAAGATCCACTAGGATCGGCATAAAGGAGAGAATTCATTCAAATTGAATGTAAGGGATGACGGATGTAAGGTAACTAGCATATGCGGATCATATACTTCATGTAGGGAATTCTATAATTTTCCGATATTGATCCAATCCAAACAGGCAGCGGTAAACGAACGGGATGACTGAGACAGTCAAAGAGATGAACAGGCAGGGAAGTCTGGAGGGAATAAGTACTAAGTCTGAGACCGAGAAGAGAAAAAGCTGAGAAGGGGGAATATGGTACAAATGAGCAAAGCTGAGAATGGGAAAGCACAGACAGACAACAAGAGTTTACGACACGCCAAAAACCAGAATGAAAAAGAGAAGAGGTGACGCAAACTCGGGAAGGGGGGAATCAATAAGTGGGTAGATGGAATTCCGGAGCCTTTCGGAAGTGGGAAAAGGAAGGACGAGGTTTATGCGACAATGCAACCTCCACAGCAGCCGCCGGCACCTTCATCGTGAGGACCACCGTTAGCGGAGCCATACGCGCCAGGTTGACTGGGAGCGCCGGACTGGACACCAGGACGGCCAGTTTGTTGCTCCTGTGAATACGTCAATAACCGTGTGGCATCAACGATGCAAGAATACTGACCTTGTTGTATTTCCTGATCTCACGAACCAAGTTGGTGAAGGCCTCATCGACGTTGATACGCTGCTTTGCAGACGTTTCGATGAATTTGCAGCCGAAGTGCTTCGCGAGATCTCGGCCCTCTACATTCACACGAGTCAGAACAAATCACAGCGAGCGTATGCATCAAAATGCTCACCATTCATGCCAACCTGTCGTTCATACTCGAGGTCGCACTTGTTTGCCACAACGATGACGGGGAATGAATCTTGGTCCTTCACTCGCAAGATCTGCTGATGGAAGGTGCTGATCTCCTCAAACGAGTTCCGAGAGGTAATGGAGTACACCAGAAGGAAACCCTCGCCGGTACGCATGTACTGCTCGCGCATGGCACTATTTGAATCATCTTAGTAGGACATCATATGGTATGACCGGTTTGCTTTACCCATATTCTTCCTGTCCAGCAGTGTCGAGGACGTCAAGAAGCGCAACCTCATCGTCAATGACACACTGCTTCCGGTACGAGTCTGTGAAGTCACCGAATAACGTTTGGTTAATGAAACGTGAACCAAAGCGTGTGATTTATCAATGATTATGTAGACCTACCCTCGATAGTCGGGTCATACTCCTCCACGAAGTGACTTTGGATGAACTGGATAGTCAGACATGACTTTCCGACACCTTTCATGCCATGTCAGCAGCCACCCCTTCATATAACCACTATTACATACCACCACCACCGACGACTACAAGCTTGTATTCTCTCAAGAACTGAGCCTAATCGCAACGATGCCGTCAGCGAGTGATGGCTCCGAATTAGTAGCAGGACCCACTCTAGACATGGCGGTTCACCTGGGAGTATGGTAGGAGTAAAGAAAGAGAAGGGGAACGGGAAGGAGGAAGAGGGAACTCGGGAGGATGGAATCTCGAGTGGGAAGACCTCTGCCGTATTTCACTTGGCGGAGGTTCCAGGTATACTGATCTTAGTAAACAGCGCCAAACACCTCCTTTAGGCGAGGGTGGCTTTCCAACTCCTGCCGTGGTATGTACTGTATGTCAATTTTGTTCGTCTTTCGTACGTGTACTGATAGAAAATCTTTTGCAAGGTGGCTATGACCCGAGTGTCTCGTGCACTGCCTCACTGCAATGAAATGAAGGCCAGTTAAAGATTTGCTGTTTGCGTATGATCATCCTTTCTTAGGCTATCCGCATCGCTGGCATCCTTTGCAGATACGGGTACGACAGATCATTTGTAACTGGCATACAGTCATTTAGTCACCCGAAGAGGATTGCTGTGGTATTCCAGGTACTAGTTTCGACTTCTCATGGGAATGATGGTCATTCAACAAGTACGTCTGTTTAAGACAGTCTGTGGCAGAGCGCTGTCACAAGGCAAGATGTATCACTGTTCATGCATCTTTCGTGCGTATCAACATCTTGATTTTGATGGTTTTCAACAACGCGAAGTCTGTATCGTGTGCAACGAGTTGCCGGGAGAGGAGTCAGCACTCACAGGGGTGTCAGATCTGCTACTTCTGCCATTCGGAGGTTTGTGCCAAGGCCAGTCCATATGCTTTCTGCGCCATCAGTGTGGAGGGCTTTCGATCCTCCGATGAATCCAAGCCTACCTCGGTGCGGAGTGTTATCCTGCGTTTCCTTTCGACAACATCTCGCGTTCTTCCTACAGCACGGCTCATCAACCGTTGTCTCGGTCCATCTGTGCCTACTGATGACGAATATTTCATGCGTACCAAGCTCAAAGATAATCATGGAATGCCTTATAACATAGTAATGATGGACGGCATGCAATGGCATCGTTTCGTTAACTTTTCTCTGACAGCACCGCCTTAAATGTAGGGCCACGACGGAGACGCTTCTACCCACACCTCGCAGTGTCCTCAGGCTGCATACTGCTGGAAGATGTCGATAATCGTTCGATGTGCTGTTTGCCCGGTGACGATTGCCCACTGATGTGCTACTCCGCCAAACATGTATAATATTCTGTCGCACCAGACTGGGAAACAACCGTCTACAGGTGAGAAATATTCGTCAGCGAGACTCTTCTTCAAAGTAATGCAGCACGCACAGCAGAGGAGTTCGTCAAGTGTCGTGGATGCCGAATATTCGGGTATGTTAATATCAGCCGTCGTCCATCTCGCCCTGCCTTGATCTCTTCGAACTGGTTTATGGCCCACATGAGTGATATAACGCTTCCAGTTCGTTCCGCTTATCTTACCTGCGTCCCTTCCGGCAAAGGAAATACCTGGCTGTACTGTTTCTCAAGGCGTTCTCGTACCAGGATCTCCCCCTCCTTCTTTTCAATCATTCGAGTTTTCCGCCAAGTGACTACCACGCGATTCCCTTTAAAGCTGACATGCATATCCTCCTTCTTGACTCCGGACATCTCAATCGTTGCTATGACTTCCCTACCATCTGACGTTTCTTTGAAGGTGATTCTACGACATGTGAGTCCAGCTTTCTGATAGTTTTATATGCACACTCACCCAGAGTTTGGCTTGGTAGGTTTCTTCAAGGTACCCTGTGACTGTCCCCCCTCTTTTGATGACCCAGAAATTTCTTGCACCACTTCCAGTGATTGAACTTTCGACGGTAGCTTCGCCAACCGCTTCTCCTTCGCCTGCCTCACCTTCTCCCATATCGGCTCCAAAGTACCTGTCTGCGGCGTATCTGGTATCTCAGGAGGCGAAGTCACCGAATCGCCAGACATAGACAGCCTATTCAAATCCTTCGGCGACATCTTCGGCGAGCCATCTGGTGTCTTCGGAGGCGCGAAGGCACGGTCAATCATGCTATCGAATCGTCCTCTTTTCTGGCCTTGGTTTTGATCGGGCGTCACAGAGTCCTTGACTGGAGGGACAGACATGACAACTGTATCGATGACTGTTCGCAAAGCTGGGGTCGAACCAGGACGTCGAGGGGTTTAGAGAGGCGGAGATGTACATGTACGAAGTGATGATGGTGGCATGAGATAGAGATGACCAGTGTATATTTCGTTGGGGAGTATACGCATGATACACGAGTGTGATCAGCGTGTCTGTCCCTTATTGCCGATGTGCCTCCTCGTTGTCGCGAGGCCTGATTTCCACGGTCAACGTGTTTGCTTCGAACGCTTATGCAAAGGTAAACTTCCTTGTGTGTCTGCGTCTGCTGCACATGTGGGTGTTCATATAAGCAGGAATGAATGTTAATGTGATACGAAGGCAGTAAATACGTGGTTACGGTCAAATTGACCAACTTCACTTGTCGAGGGTTCAATTTTGGCAGATATTGCCTGTGCGCCAAGCCTGAACGTCAACAGTGGGAGGAGCAAATTCTATGGAGGAAGGCTTGCTTATCATGGAATTCGTTACCTTCACAACTGAGCTTATTGAGAAAGAAGTCAGCCACAATGGAATCACGAAATATCAATGAAATTCTATAGCTTGAATGATTTTGGACCAAGTACCCATGATACTTGCCAAGGGTCCTGCTGATAGAGATGGACGACAGTTGGATTCATAGCTGTGTAGGTGTCATGGTTCGAAGTCCTCAGCTCTCCACCACACGACAGATGATCCCTCGAGAAGAAAGATGGATACTGGTATTGGATGAGAAAATCAGACCGAAAGCTGATTGACGTAGGCCTGTGTGTACACAGTACAGGGAAAAAAACCGTCCTATCCAAATGCTAGAACACAGAAATATCGTTGGCTTGCAGAATCGTCCCGGACAAATGGATTCATAATTCAGAAGTATCCACGGCCCTCAGGATGGGGAATTGCCGTGCGGACAGTAGGAGTGCGTGATGGTACATTGTGAAGGGTGGCAATGGGTGCTCTGGCGGATCTAGGCGTGGAAGGCGCGCGATTCATAACAGCAGACAACGGCGAGGTAACATCGGCGGTGCTATACAAAGAGCCAGTCCTTGGTGCGGTTGGCGTGTTAGGACGCGGTGGACGGGGAGGGGCTGCGGGCTTCAGGGCTTCCATTGACTTGGACCGCCTACGAGAAGCCTTCAGACGTGAAGGGGAGTTACCTGCTGCCATCTCGTTTCTCTTCAAGGTGGCCACAGCGAGAGACGACATACCCCCAGCAGGGGTGCGCAGCTCAGACGCTGACCTCTGATGAGTAGGTGAACGAGTAGCCTGCGAGGTGCGCCTAACGAGCTCGCCCATGAAGGGGCTGAGGGGAACGTCGTTGTCGCTAATAGCAGCAGAGCTGCTGAAGTCGCTCGAGGAAGAGCTGTAAGAGGGAGATCCAGCACTGCGTGAAAGAGATGCACTGTGAATGTCATCTCCGCCAAACGTCAGGCGTTGGGCCTTGTCATCATAGATGACGGCAGAGTTCGAGCCGTACATCTTCATGAAGGAATTTCGGGCGCGGCGAGCAGTGTTGGTACCAGGTGCAGGTGTTTGCAGGTTGATTGGGGTCAAAGGATCATCATCTCGAGAAGGGACTTCGATGGTCATGGTTGGGCGGCGAATGACGGGAGAACGGCGTTCTCGGCGAGGTGCGGGGAGACCGGATCCAGTGGAACTGCTTGAACGAACTGAGCTGAGTCTTTCGAGGTTAGAAAGAGGAGTGATGGATCGCTGCATGGATGATGCTGTTGTAGCGCTGCCTGATCGTCCGTGCGCCGGTCGGGGAGGAAGCAAATGCCGAGTAGAGTCTCCACTCATGCTGATGACAGAGGTGTCACGAGAGTGAGTAGGAGAAGTCATGGACCTCGGTGGTGGGAAAGCCCTATGAGCAAGAACGACCGAAACAGAAGGTGCAACATCGACTGGGGAGCTGTTCTCTCGTGTTCCAAAGCTCTTCTCAGCATCATCACTTTTGGAGCTCGAGTTGGTAAATGCAGGGCCCATAACTCGGAGGGTGTTGTAGAATATCAAGACATTCGTGACACCTAGATCTTCAATGAGTAATTTCCTTCATTGCGATCAATATGTGTGACAAACCATTCAAAGCAGAGCACGCGATCGCGAATACCTTCACTGCAAAGGGAGCGGCGAAGCCGGAGGTCTCCAACAGGCAAACAATGATGTGAGGGAGGATGAAAAGAACGTAAGCTGGATATGAAAGTTAGAGCAGTTCCCGAATTCCCCAGAACATATTCAACTGACCAATAGGATACCTACCAAAGGCACAGTTAGTCATGAAATTGAGACACTGCAGTGACGAAGCCTACCAAAGCATGCTCTGAGCAATCGCACCGATGAACTTGTGATATTCGACAGTCCCTATCTGAGCACTCCAACGTTCAATCGGGTCCAGAGTGAACTTGAGACCACCCTTGATACTCAAGGTGCCACGGAGAATCAGGAAGATGAGGGAGTAGAAGACAGCCGACACGAGTGCAGCAAGAAAGATCTAAGGGCGTACAAGCAATAATATCAGTGTCTTTCATCGACGGCGTCAATGCAACGAACAACCCACCGGAACAAGGTGAAGCAAAGTCTGCACTATGGGGTACTGAAGGGAAATACCGCATACAGAGCCATCGGTACCGTATATAGGGCCAGTGGAAACCGGAAGCACAGCAGGGATAACGCCTACAGATCATGAGTTAGTGGTTGAAGTCCTCATTCAGGCGGGACCCACCTGCAGCAAGAATCAGAAGCCAGCCCAATAAGATAGCAAAATACGCGAGCCATGGAGGCAAACGGCTACGAAGAGCGAGCGTGCAAAAAGTGTGGACAGCAATGGCTGCAGTGAAGTATGCTGATGCAGTATCACCGATTTGGGTCATGGCACCTGCACAGTTGAGAGTTAAATTCCTGCACATTGTTAGTGGGAAAAGCAGTATCTACCTTGCGTGCTGCAGAGAGTGCCTTAGCACCAAGTTAATCATCACTTAGAGCAGGAAAGGTTGCGGAATTACCTTGCTGTATGCCACCCAAAGACACCCAGGTAATGTTGATCGCATAACCAATATTGCTCAATAGGCTACCCAACAGAAGAGAAACAATATAGAGACCCAATTGGGTGCGAAAGAAAACCTGCTCGCGAGTGAGTCCCTGAGAGCTGACTCGTTTGACGCGAGCATAGAGAGCGACACCAATGGCACGAATCCAAACGAAGTTAATCGCTAGGATAGACAGCATAGCACAGACAATCACGGCCTGTAATCAGGCAATAGGTCAACTCAGCTAAACTTCCCAGATAACACAGCGACTTACAATGAGGGCAGAGGCCTGTCCGTTCTGGAACTTCTGAAGCAACGCTTGGGACATATTCGATAAGCGAATTGGAATAGGTTGAAAGAATACGAAGGAAAAGGGAAATCTGGGACCTAAGGAGAAGAAGTCGGAAAAGCAAAGTAAGAGGGTCGTCCTGCGCCTGGTCAAGAATGAAGTCTGGCCGATGCAGACAGGAGGGGACCGGTCCCAGAAGAACGAAAGAGAGAACGAACTAAAAAGAGTGTAAGTGTCGTAACAGACGTGGGGGAAAGAGACCTGGAAGATCGTGACAGCGAGGGAGAGTACTTGACATCCTCACTCTGTCGCTGAGGCGGTGTCAAACGAAACATTTTGATATCATTGATGTGGTCTCTGCGTTTGGAGGGTGATCAAGGCGCTGGGCATGATGAGGTTGCTCGTTGAGCAAGCTAGTCACCCTCTGAGTAACCGATACCGACAAGTACAGTATGATCACGTAAAGGGAAAGAATAGACTGAAGGTAAAGGTAGCGACGTGGATTTCTGCCATAAGGATTGTAGTGAATTGGACAGGCAGGGATGCTCGAAATCACATCAAATGTCCGTAGCGCTGGAAACGCTGTCCGATGTGGACATCAGCGATGAGTTGGTCGTCATTCATCAACATAATAAGCCTCCTGAATGCAGTATGCGATACGAATCTGACGTTCTACTAGCTTGGCATGTTACCCTCTATCTTCAGAGCAAGTTAGATGAGTACAATTGCGATCAGGCGGTAAGTCTAACTAGAATATGTAAAAGCCTCACGAGAGTCAGCTCTTGTCAAAGAATCGAGCGATACCCTTCTCCTGTGACTTTCTCTTCTTCTTTGGCGGAGGCTTGGCGGTGCTGGATGTCGAGCTCTGAGGTCTGATAGCGCGTTTAGGTGAGTCGGAATGGGATTCCTTCGCCAGGTCCTGGGCAAAATGGAAATCATCATGCTCTACACGGAGCGATGCCAAAGCTTCCTGCTTGATATCATCGTCCAGACTATGTAGCTCGTCTGTCAATGCAACGCGGCGGCCACAGCGTTCGCACATAAACGAATTAAACCTAGAGGATTCAATCTTAGATGCTTGTCCGTCCGCTGTTCTGGCTATTGAGATAGGCCTAGAAGCCCCTGCGCTTGAATTTCTCTTCCGCTTGACAGCCTGTACAAGGCGATCATCTGAAGAGCGAGGTTTGAAGAACCCTTCAATATTTCGTTGACCAGTTTCCATAGAATCAATACCGGTGAACGATAGCTGGACGCTGGATATCTTCATGGGTGTGGCCCTAGACTCATCTGTGCCGACGAGCTCTTTCCACAGCTTGTCACCGGCTGCCGCTATGACATCTACCGAAGGTTCTCGAGTGAATGGGAATGGCGCCTGCTTTGAACGTGACTGTTCGTAGCCTGACGGGGTTGAGTATGACGAAGAAGCAGTCCTGACGGGAGCGCGACATACCTTGTCGGGCATGTAAAACAATTGTCTTTGGCCATAGTGCAGGTATCGCTTCTCTCCCTTCCTTGAGACGCAAAGCAAGTTCCGCGGCCAAAACCCGTATCCAGTGATGGCCTTGGGCAGTGTTTACAATTGGTTGCGGTAGGTTCTTAGATGCGAGCATACTCTTAGTGACAGGCGGCTTCTCCTTCACTGCAAACTTTGAGGTTAGGGGAGAGAATGATGGAAACGGGACCAGACAGAACTTGTACGTACCTTCCGATCGGTCAATCCCGCTGAGTTAAATGAGGGACGATAAAACCAACACATATATGAATACGCATAGTCACGCACCGCAACAACTCATAAACCCATATGGAATTCTCGCCGAATTTGCGCTGCATTTCCTCTGCAGTCGTTGCGTTAGTCGGGCAAATGCCAAGTCAAAACAGGACAGGTCTTACCTAGGGTGATCGTCCTAAAGGATATGGACTGTTGTAACTTCCAAGGCTTCGAAACATGCTACAACAACACTCACAGTAGGTCGCCGACTGTAGATACATCGTACTCTTCAGCCAAAGCCTTGCCAAGCTTGCCTCCAAGAAATCTAATCTGACAAGACATGAGCTACACGGTAATCTTGCAACTAGTGTCAAACTAACCTTCTGAAACGGCATTGGCCTAAGATAATTGGGTATCGCAGCATTACGCAGTATACTCTAAGGCGAAGTCAGGAAATATTCTGATACAGCGATAAAACAAGAGACATACTTGGCTATTAGGCTTCTTGTAAGATGCTGTGAGCTATAAAGTCATCAGTACTCCTGAAGGAGAGCGCTCTAATGAACAAATCACCGTACTTTAGCAAGAAACTTATTACGTGCTATGCCCTGCATATACGTCAATCACAGCACCTAGGAAGACTACAAGGAAACTGACAGCTGATGTCGTGTACCCGAGCTTTTCATGGATGTCTCGTCGTATTTTACCCATAAGGTCAGCGGCTATGGACAATGCGACATCGTGCCAAGTTCGTTCCTCTTCAACAGGTTGACCTGGAGGGGTTTCTTCAGAAATTGGCTTGGAAACATCTGCAGAGGGAGGTGGATGAACAGGTATCAGTACGCCAAGTCCATCCCAATTGATCGGAGGTGGAGGCGGTAATGGGGTATCTCTTCCGAGTGGTGCGTTAGCAGGTATTTGGGACAGGTACGGATACCGCTTGAGAATCTCTTCCCGGACTGGGCGAGTAAATTCGATGAAGGCTTCGTCAATAGAGGCACGTTCTGCACAGAAGTGTAAATGAGAATTGGACATTGGCCACCTTGGTGGGACTAACCAATCTCGCCCCCAGGCAATCCATCCTTGAACAATTGAATGATCTTCGCACTCTCACGACGATAGAGATCCAAGGATACCTATTCCAAACAGCCGGTCACTTCAAGAACCGACGATGAACTCGATATATGCACATACTTTATGTGTCATTGTGTCAGGGTCAGGCCAATAACCCGGTTCCTTCTCTCCCTCCCTATACGTAGCAACGTGTACCACTTTCAGATCCGGACACCTCTTCTTAGCATCGTTGATATTGTCCATCCTCGAGATACCATATCTACGGGCAGGGTAGTTCACCGCAATCAAAGCTTGCCATTGCAGAACTACCAGAGGTACCGAGGGGTCTACCCCTAGTCTTACTTGTTCACATGCAGCGTAGAACGCGTCGCTATCGCAGAGAGCTACCACGCGTAAAGGATCGCGTACTCCGAGATTGTTAGACAAGAGATGTCGGTATGTTATCGGAGAATTGATGTCTTCATAATCCAAGTCTGTAGCCTTGGCTTTCCCTTTCCAAATGCTAGAGCTGACAGAGCCTTCGGTATCCATAAAATCTGGGAAGAACGGGGGAGAAAGGTGAGGGCACTGCGGAAGAACAGAAGCAGGAGCAGTTGAAGGAGCACATTCAACCGCGAAATGCCGCACCATCCATAAAAGGCAACGCCTTTAGAGTAGAAAGCTTCAAAGTTCAACTTTCCCCGCTGACTCTGCCAAGCCCGTTCCCATACACAGGCCATACGGCACCAATCATGCCACATATATATTGCAACTGTATTTCTTGTCCGTTATATAAAATGAAGAATTACTGTGGAGGTACCGAGAACACGATTCCGTGTTTATCGGAGTAGTGGGTCAAACTACTACTAAATATTGATTAACTGTGCGCCCAAGCTGAACAATGCTATTCACGATGGAAGAATAGACTACCAGTGATATACTCTCATTGACTAAAAAAAATGAATCCCAATGGCAGGATCTGAGAAAATACTATCGTGCTACTACTAGTATAGCAATTGCATCCATTCAAGAGCCTGACTTTACTTGGGAGAAAAAATGTCTCAAAAACTGGGGAAGTGCGTGAATGTAAGAAGGATAAATGACATTCAGCCTCGGTGTGTATAAGAATCATTCATCTGCTTCTTGCATTATGTCTAAAGTCCCCACACAACGAGAACGGTTCGAGCTTCAAGTTGGTTCTCGTAACAGGTGCAATGGGCTTCGTCGAGGCACATATTGTTGATGAACTGCTTCATCGTAATCACTGGGTCAGGTGAACGACACACTCGCAAGTGAAGACGGAGAAAATGATACGAGACAGGCCCCAATACGCCGAATCCCTTGAATTGGCCTTCATCGACGATTTGACGAGCCCCGATGTCTTCAATGATGCTGTGCAGGGTGTTGAAGCCTTGAAGGTATCACATATATTGCAAGCATGCGTATTAAAGTTATGGCATGCTGGAAGCTGATTTACACTTGGAGAACTACAGCCTCTTTTCAAGGACGCGACGAACGTCTAGAAGGAACTCTTCTTCCCTGCCATTGAAGGTACGAAATCAGTTTTAGAGGCTTCAAAGAATGAACCCGAGTGAAACAAGTGGTTATTACCTCATCTTTCTCCTCAATCTGAATCCTGCGCATGGAATAGCTCCGGGTTTGACCTACACAAGAGGCGCCTGGAATCCCATGAGCTACGAACAGGCAAAATGGACAAGCCTATTGAGCTTCGAACAGATTCGCAAGGCAGGAAGCACGGGAGCGAGGGGGCGAAAAGGCAACCCGTGATGTAAGAGTTCGTAGCAACCTGAATTCACATTAGATCTGAATATATATTAGAGCATGTGGAACATCATTTCATAGCCTGTTATTCTCTGCCTCTACGCTCACTAGATTAGTTCGGGGGACCGAACATATTCGCTGGCAATATACAAGGAAATAGTCTAAGTCAGATAAGCTGGAGGTAAGATCCTCGCAAGGTAGCTAATGCTGGTGGCCGTGTATTTACGTGTAGTATGTTCCATCAACTCATCAAGACAAGCCTTTGCCTGACCGAGAGAGAGGCCTTTATTTGTTAGCTGATAAAGTCGATGCCAGTGGCCAGCACGAACCTTATTGCCTCTGCATAAGTACATATGGTGACATTCTAGTATGCAGGTGTCTTAACAAAAGAAATGGAAACTGAGGAAGTAGGTCTAGGTTCAAAGCACCAACCGCGACCGACGCGACCACTCACGCAATGTAACACGTCGCGTCCGGTTTGCTTGAGGGATCGGTTCGGCTCATATCCTCAATTAGCTAGCTGTGATTGGTCGGATGGAGCAATTGACATCATTGATGGAATGAATGCCGCGAGAGAGCTTTAAAGCACCTCTTCCAGTCAGCACTATACTTGGATGCTATTACTCTCACGTCGTCTCCGTTGTTTCGCTCACCATTCACCATTGTTACCGTCTCCTATGTCGCTTTTGAGAATGTCGTCGTTGAAGACTATTGCAGTTCTTGATGAATCCGAGTTAAAGGATGGCGATATGTGTGTAAAGTAATGGCTAATTGACTTATGTCTGGTTGAACAGCAAATAGGAAACAAGTAGATTTCGAAGACGAGGGCAAGGTCTTGCTGTCACGCTTAGGCGACGAGGTTCACGCCACAAGTGCATTCTGCACCCACTATGGTGCCCCACTTGCAAAGGGTGTGCTCACCGCTGATGGCAGAGTTGTTTGGTGCGTTGCCTCTTCACATACCGAAGATGATAGTGAACTGATGTTAGTTCATCAAGTCCCTGGCACGGAGGTATGTTTGTTATAGTGTATCCCTGTTGAGCGTGTCCGTTTCTGAAGCCATCTGTTCACAGCTTGCTTTAATGTCTGCACTGGTGACATCGGTAGGGAGCATCAAATCAAATACTGTATGGCATATGATTGACTAAATGTGGATTCGAATACGATTAGAGGATGCACCTGCACCTTCTGCACTCCACCGATTCAAGGCAGAGGTTCGAAATGGGAAGATTCATGTCACTGCAGACCCCGGGAACACTGTCAAGGCCAATTTCTCCCGTCAGCCTAAACTGCTTGCAACAACAGCAACAGGTACACACGGCTCTGGCGTAGTGATCGTTGGTGGTGGAGCTGCAGCCTTCCACGCCATTGAAAGTCTGCGCGAGGTGCGTATGATACATAACCGAGGATCTAACGATCACTAAGGTCGAGCGTAGCATGGATACAACGGTCCAATCACAGTGTTGTCAAAGGAGTCATACGCACCTATTGACAGGTACGTTGAACTGATTGTTGGCAATTGCAACAAGGTAATCATGGTTCGCTAGGACAAAGTTGAGCAAGGCTCTTGTTACCGACGCATCTAAACTTGAATGGCGACCAGCATCCGAGCTCCTTACCAAGTATGGTACAGCGCTGCGCCTTAGCACAGAGGTCACTTCCGTCGATCTTGGGTCAAAGACGGTGGTCGTCGGGTCTTCGAAGGAACATGTGCCGTACGAAACCCTGATTCTTGCGACTGGGGGCACACCCCGCAAGCTTCCTGTCGAAGGCAAGGATCTCAGTAACGTTTACACCCTTCGAGGTGTGGATGATGCCAAAAGAATCGACGCAGGTAAGAATGATCACTGTCCGGACTCTAGCCATGGGTTCCGACTGATTCTCCGCAGGTGTAAAGGAGGGGACACGTCTTGTAGTCATCGGGTCCTCTTTCATCAGTATGGAGCTTGTTGTCGCCGTGCAGAAACGTAACCTGGCGTCCATCGACGTTATCGGAATGGAGGAGTTCCCCTTCGAGACTGTCCTTGGCAAAGAACTCGGTAGCGCGTTGATGAAAGTAAGTTGATCATACATGGAGTCAACCATCTCCGTCTGCTGCGTATAATTCCGATGATTCGTTCTTCTTGTGTCGGGACGTATCTGACATTCTTGACACCTGTTTTGTGTCCGCAGTTCCACCAGTCCAAAGGTGTCAAGTTCCATATGAAGTCGAAGGTTTCCAAGATCGTGCCTTCCGCGTCGGATAGCAGCAAAGTCGGCTCCGTCATCGTCGGTCTGCCCTCGGGCCAAGAACTCGAACTCCCAGCAGACGCAGTGATTATGGGAGTAGGTGTCGCGCCTGCCACGGAGTATTTGAAAGCGAGCAAAGGATTCGAGCAAGCCGTCGACAGGACCGGCGCAGTCACGGTGGATGAGTATTTGCGTGTTAAGGGCCTTGATGGAAGCGTTTATGCTATTGGGGATATTGCATTGTACCCTCAGCCTGGGACCGGAGAATTGAGGCGTATTGAACATTGGAATGTAAGCATTGGCTTGGCTATCGCACGCGAGAGGCCTTGCTGACGCCCTCGGTTCTTATGTAGGTTGCTGGAAATCAGGGACGTGCGGTGGGCAAGACTATTGCCGAAGGAAAGGGACAACCATTTGTGAAGGTGCCGATATTCTGGAGCGCCCGTGAGTTACATTTGTTCCGTCGACGAGTCGGAACTGAAATGAGCGCATACAGAGGGCCAACAGCTCAGGTACTGCGGTGTTGGTGCCGGCTTCGACGACGTTATTGTAGACGGTAACCTCGATGAGCTGAAGGTGGGCCAGACTTCCCAAGCGTCTCGAGTGGTATTACAAGAGGCTAACTTGAAAATCCTGCACAGTTCGTGGTATACTACCTCAAGCAGAACAAGGTTATTGCAGTCGCCAGGTATGCCATTAGAGCATTTCAGAAAAACTGATAATAACATTGCATATCTGTTCAGTATGCAACGCGATCCTGTGGTGAGCAAAGCGTCGGAGTTGCTCAGACTAGGCTTGATGCCATCGCCTGACGAGTTGAGAGCTGGCAAGGTGCGCTCTCTTCGACTTGCCTTTAGATTTGAAGCTGATCTGCCTGTTTATCGTTAGGACCTTTTGTCTGTCGATATCCAGACCGTCAAGGCCAAGCCCAAAGTTGCGTAAAAGTCATGAGGATGACTCAGAAAGGCAAAGAAAGAAGCTAGAAGTATACCATTGTCGAAGCGGACTCTCGACTCCTGTTGTAACAACTTAGCGTTGAGTTTGTATGAGTAGAGATTGTACTTGTAACCTCATGAAGTAAAGATTGTAGCCTCTTGGAACGTTGAATGGGCTGGAGTTGTTTGCAACGATTCATTCTCGAGCAAAAAAATTGCCAGATCTCCACGTCGGAGCTTGCCGTGCTTCGGTGTCACATTTCAGGTTCGACTTTTCAAATGGTTTGCTGGCAAATGGTCTGTTATGCTTTCACTACTATGATCTACTCGGCTTGTCGCTCTAGGGTCGCTACTGGCTTTGGCTGAGTCCAGCAAGATCCTCTAGCCTGAGGCTGGAAGGCTCAAGAGGCCAAGTGCCGAATCAGAAAAATTCCGCTGATGAGTTTGTCAGGTTGACTGTGAATCGAAGGCGAGAACATTTCCTTTTCTGAATGTTCTGCCGCGAAGCGTGTGAGAAGCATGTCAAGTTATTCGTCTTTTTGACTCCTGATCAGGACGAATAAGTGTACTGAATCGTACGCTGCTTGGATTCGACCGCTACTCCCTTTTTCTTCGCAGGCTAATAACTTCATAATCTTCGGGGTATCATGTCAACGCCACATTGACAGCAATGTACTCCTTTGTTCCCTTACTCGGTCCTCCCCAGTGGGCCCAGGAACTGTCTATCGGCCCTGCCTTTGCAAGCGACCTAAGGCTTCGTATCTCCTTGAGGCAGGAAAGCAGTCCAGGTCCACATGGTCATCATTGAACCTTCTTCTCATCGACAACGGGTGTAGTGGTATGTCGGCATGATGTATTAACAACATTCCTGATCCATGCAGGTCAGTCATGAGATCCCTCTGACGCGTTCATTGTCGGCGAGAATCTTATGCAAACTTTGCCCTCTTCCCGTTATTCTCGTAGCGATGTCAGAAACACCCAGACCATTTCGCGAGTTGTTCCGACGCTGCGCTGAATTGACCTCGCCGTCCATCTACACCGCATGGCGTTTCTCTTGATTTGCAACTTTCCCGAAGCTCAGATCAGTTGATGGTTTAGACTATGTTTCTCCGTTTAACTTAGGTTGGACGCTGGACACTGCAATTCAACATTTTACCGTGGAGCTTGGCAGCGCTGCTTTATTCGCTTGGCAGTCAAATTGGCTAGGAAAACGCTGTTGTTCAGCGTATTTCCTGTGGTGTTGTTCCGACATGGTTCTTGTGCCCGACCCATGGGTGTCATTCCATCAATGTACAACCTTGTCGTTGTCCGACTGTGGCCGAGATTTGAGCATAACAAGACTATGTTCTAGCATCCATGGGGCGGGTGCATTCGCTAGGCCTTTCATGAATGGTCATGCCCTACACATTATGGCATCGTGCTCTACACGACGGGGACTCTTCGTGGGTTCATAGAATGATATGAAGTTTATTCAGCCCGACTTTTCCCTATTCTAACAGCATTCAGATTTCTTGTGCCTGTCATATTGTCGCGCTCAAGCCACATGTACCTTCAAAGCGATGTTCGGCATACGGATGACCTGTCTTTGGGCCTCAATCGATAAGTCTTCGGGAAACTTCGTGCACCGCGATCCAGTGCTCAGATTGCTATGAACCTACGGCTGTCGGACTGTATGGGAACAAACGATTCAAGGACCAATGTGAATGTCTACTGCGGTACGTCATGATGCCATTGACAAATGCTGATCCCCTCGGATCCGTTCTCTTCTGATTGTTATTGTTCCTGAGCTATTTTCTGCCCTCCCTGGTTCATGGCATGAGAATACTCTCCTCCGCCAAGGGAGGCTGCATCCCCGCTCGAGCGTCGCCTGTCGAGCTGGTCCACCAACCCGTTGTCTACGGAATCAATTTCATCCAGCTAAAGCGTCTCCCAGAACATTGAACATATTTAAAATCATCGACATTTGATAAGATACGGGGACCTTCTCCGTGATCATGGGTTCGAAGTTCTCCCTAAAAATAGCCTGTCAGAAGTGGATACCGCTGAAATTACTCACATGAGTTTTGTTCTTCTGATTCGCAGTGACTAGTGGGTTGTTCCGTTTGACGTCTAGATTAGGAAATTACCTATGTTGTTCTTTTGCGTTGGTGAGTCCATCCCTATTTTGTGGTTCTAATATTAACGCGTCCCGCTCACAGAAGCCGATTTCGGCTGATTCTAGCCTTCGAGCAAGGCACCATATGGATGCTTTCTGTCACCATCTTTGAAAGTGTCATCTGGACCTAGTTGTCATACTTGTCAGCCGCCCCTCTTGATGACTTGGACGATGTCGGAACGCTTGTACGCCTTTTCTAGCTTCACCTGCCAAGTCCATTCACTGTGTTGCCGCCAGCGCAAAATGGAGATACTCGGAATGTGTTTGTATCCCATCCGCTAGTCCGCCTATGCAGGTATACTTACCATGCAGCGTGCATCTCAACACCAGGTAAATCATTAAGCAATGTAACTATCCTGTATCTGGGGTTCTACCTAACAGCCATTTTTTTGCCAATTACTCTGTGAAGATGCTGCGGCGTTGCGACCGCTGGAGTTTACCGCAGGACCGCCGTCGCGCATATGCCATACGCCTGACCTATGGTACCTTCTGACTGCAAATGCAACTTTAATTATACGATTCCTCGACTCTGTCCCGCGGGTTGTCACGGACCATTGGGAATGTTTGAGGGCAGATTGGGTGACTCCATGTGCCTCGTGATTCTTCTATCAATGCTTCCAACATCGCCTCCCTCCTCCTTAGTCCACTGTAGCGCGGCCGTACGGTCGTGTTCCGTGTTTCGCCAAGCTCAACCCTTGACCCTCTTCTTCCTGTTTCTGACAGGTCCGCTTTCGTCCGTGTCTTGTTTGTTTGGCAATCAGAATGGGCACCCTGTGCTCTCACAGGATCAGTCCCACTCCCCATGACATTCGCGAGGAATTAGACGAGCTGAATACATATAAAAGGCACGTCAAAACGGACAGATCCTCATCGGCTTTCAGCTCGATTCACCACTGCCATGGTCTGCTCATCCAAGTTCACTAAAGCAATCATCTGCGCTGTCTTCCTCGCAGTGTCTGCTTCTGCAGCACCTGCTGCTAGCTCTGTTCCTGCTAGCAGCGTGGCAGTGTCGTCTCTCACCCTCCCCAGCTCGTCCATATCAGGTTCCTCTGATAGTCCTAGTTCTACAGCTTCAGCACCTGCTGCTAGTCAAACTGTTCCTTTCGCCAGCGATGACCCAAACGGGGTGTTATGGGGCCCCGACATCGACACTGTTCCCCAAGCTATCCGGGGCTCCCTTGGCGCAACCGTTCTTGGGCCACAAGATGTCGGCATAGTCAAAGAAAACGCTGACCTCCTCGCCCCTCCTACAACAGACTCCGGCAGTGTGTATGTATCTTCATAGCACCCGTTTGATATGATTTGACGCGTCTTGTTGCAGGTCCAATGCAAAGTGGCCTTACAGTTTGAGTCACAATCGTTTGCAGACCGGTGGATGCGCTCGTCAGCAGAATGGTGCGTGTTATTTCGCTCGTGATTCAGGACTAACCCTCATTGGGAGACATCCCCTTACAGTTGGCGTCATGCCTATCGCAACTGGTACGATTTCCGCTCTTTGGCGCGTCATGATTGACGCCAATCACTATCCACAGCAATGGCTGGGGTCAATATGCGTCTTGAGGCAGGGGCAGTCCGAGAACTGCACTGGCACAAGACTGCTGAGGTATGAAATCCCTCCGATATAGTAGATGTCGATCCTGAGAGGTGGTGATAGTGGGCATACATTCTGAAAGGTTCTGTGCAAGTAACTGCAATCAATACTGAAGGACAAAACTATTTGGCTACTGTGGTCAGCAATCATCCTTTTCCTGTTCTCGCTCAACGATTCATTCATCTCTGTAGAGCGAGGGCGACTTGTGGTACTTCCCGCCTGGTATCCCCCACTCCCTTCAAGCAACTGCAGATCTGCCTGAGGGTTCTGAATTCCTCTTGGTAAGTTTACAATATATACGAATATCCCTCACTGAAATAATGATAACAGGTATTCGACGATGGAGAATTTAGTGAAGACTCTACGTTCTTGGCACGTATCTAAGTGTATCATAGTTTTGCAGTTCTTTGCTCATTTTAGACTTTCAGCTGACGGACTGGCTCGCACACGTTCCCAAGGAGGTTATTGCGAAGAACTTCCAGACCAACATATCAGCCTTTGACCACATTCCCGCTGATGAACTCTACATCTTCCCTGCTGGTCAGTACTTTCTTTCGCAAATGTCCAGTCGTTGATGTCATAACAGAGGTTCCTCATGATGATGACAAGGCCGTGAACAGTCCTCAGGGCACTGCACCTGAACCTTTCACATTTAAGTTCTCTCAAGTCAAGCCGCAGCAACTGTCTGGCGGTACTGCAAAGGTCGTCGACTCCACTACTTTCAAGATCGCTACGAACATCGCCGCTGCTGAAGTGACTGTTGAGCCCGGTGCAATGCGGTATGTTACGCTTGAGCATCACAAGAGAGAGGTTTTCTGACGATGTATTTCAGCGAGCTTCATGTGCGTCTACAAATCTTAACTTATCTCAAAATAGCAGGGTTGATTGACAATCATATCTTCAGTGGCATCCTACGCAAGATGAATGGAGTTTCTTTATGTGAGTCGTACCGATCCTGCATGGCTAGTCTTACTACACACTCAAGTGGTATGTCAGTGAGGGTACTGGTCGGGTGACGCTATTTGCCTCTTCCGGAAATGCTAGGACTTTCAACTACCAGGCAGGTGATGTCGGTAAGTGTTTTACGATAGCTTCATAATAAGCTCTGCACTCATGGTGAATCAACAGGCTACGTTCCCGCCTCTTTTGGTATGTGTGATTCGAATTGATCGATCTGCCACAACAATTGAATGTGTGGCAGGTCACTATGTGGAAAACACCGGAAACACGACCCTTCGTTACTTGGAGATCTTTAAAACAGGTACGCGATTCGCTTGTGTACCCGATGAATACGATTGCTAACTTTTTTGACTGCTAAGATCGTTTCCAGGACATCAGTCTAAACCAGGTGAGCATTTTGAATCGAAGTGTGAGAATGCCAAGACATCTGACGGTACCAATGCAGTGGTTGGCTTTGACGCCTCCTGAATTGGTCAAGGCCCACCTCAACCTCGACGATACTACCATCGCGCACCTCAGCAAGACCAAGCCGACTGTCATTGGTCCTGGTAAATAACGTGTGGTCTCGAATGTCTCAAAGGAGTGTCCCACCTATGTTGCGAGAATGTCCACGCTTGCTTTATACCGGACTACATGCTTACTGTATATCGACGAAATGAAATGATCTTCAGCTTTCTATCTTGTGCACTGTCTATGCCTGTGTCTCTCGTTCGTGGATCACTTTGAATTGTGTGACGGCATCCAGAATGGTTTGTTTGAAGCTTCTGTACTGGAATCCCAACGCTTCCGCCACCGTCTTTCCATCCACATCAAACGTTTCTGGGAGCGGGGCACCTTCCTCACCCTTCGTCACCTGTTCCTTCGCCCAATCTAACTCTTCTCGAAGAACATCTGCGACCCGCTGGTACGTAAAGTGCTCCGGTGAAGCTATGGTGAACCTGCGATTGCTGATCTCAGGTCGAAGTAGAGCTTCAACATGAGCAAAGGCTAGGTCGCGGACATCTACCCATACCGGTACCCGAGCGACGGGAAGAGGATCAACTCTTGCAGCGATGGCCCAGAGATGTTTGTTGGATTCGTTTAGTTCTGATACCTTAGTAATTGGATGTGCAAGTGGTCCGAACACGAGAGGAGGGCAGAATGTCACAAGATCGAAATGTGGCTTGTCGTTGCGAATGCAGTCCCAAGCTGCTTGTTCAGCATACTTTTTCGCCCCTCTGTAGGCTTGGACGGGATCTGCGTTCTTGGCCTCCTCGAAGGTGATGGGATTCCAAACGTCACTGGTATAGGTGAAACCGCGTGATGCGCCGCCAGATGGATTGAACACCGCGGCGAAGGATGATGTGAAGACGAGACGCTTCACGCTTGGCTCCCTTTTGGCAGCACCAAGTATTGATTTAGTACCCTCTATCGCAGGTAAAAGCAGCTCCTTCTCGACATCATCGACTTCGTAATTAACAGGCTACATGAAGATGTCAAGCAATGCTTGTGATTCATGCTAGTAGGCACATACACTTGCAACATGCAGAATACCATCAACACCCTGGACGGCCTTATCAAAGACACCTGGGCTTGTCAGGTCGTCAATGAAGGTAAATTCGAGAGACCCAGAGTACTGTGGCCTGTCTCGTATCATTCTGTCAGCCTTCACTTTCGAGCGGGCTGCTCCTCGGACTTTGTGACCGCGGCGAAGGAGCTCATCCAGAACATGTGCTCCAATGAAACCTGTTGCACCTGTTACAAGGAAGACCTTTGAAGGTCTGAGATTGCCGTGGAGACATCATAAGTAATGTAACAATCAGATGAAGATGTATCCTAAGCGCACCTCGTCGCATTGCTGCTCATCTCGTATCTTGGCTTGCGCAGCTGGTAGGTCGCTAGAGAGCCTGATAGACTGATTATCTTTGTCTAACAAACTGGCATCGACTGGATAGAACAGGGAATACCTGTTCTTGGGCGGACCGCCCCCCCCGGCAGTGAAACTCAGGTGACCTGATGGGCAGATATAATACTTAGTGTGACGAACGCAATAGATTGAATATGCTGAGAAAGTTTAGTAGAACATACATGATGGAGCAACAAACATTGTGACTGGGTAGAGCTATCAAAATAAGGAGAATGGGTAAGTAATCAATATTACAGCAGGACTACACTACTTGAAGTGTCCCTTATCGAATCCTTTCACTTCATTCCTCCGAGTCATCGTCGGATTCGTTGTCATAGTCACCTTCTTTCATGGACCTGGTGTAGTATCGGTACAATGGGTCATCCGCAGGAGGAGTCTTCAATCTGGCAGGCCAAGACACCGTCCACGCCGAAGGGTGAACCACGACAGGAGAATCCGCATCTTTCCCCTGTTCGGTTTCGCCTGCCTTGCATAGATGTTTCCTGCTCAGTTCCTTGCGAGCGCGACGATCACCACATCTTGGACACTCAAACCTTTTACCAAAGTGGCGGTCCATATGCCGGTTGCGGTCCCGGCTTTGATCAAACGGCTTTTCTTCTTGCTCATAAGGACAGCCTTTATCCAAACAGTAGAGAGCACCAGCTTTTCTTGGTACAGCAGAGCGACGTTGTTTGGCAGGTTTCTGGGAAAAAAAATAGGGTGTCAATGAAAATGCGGCCAAAAGCGATGGAAAATGATTACCTCCTCTGGCTCTTCGGTAGCTTTCCGCTTCTTCGGTCTGACGGAAGGTTTTCGTACAAGTGATTGAGCCGGCAGCCTCGAAGTACTAGCAGAAGGCCGAGCGCTGGGTGGCTTAGTACTAGCAGACGGCCTAGATCTGGGAGGTAATACCGCTCTGGCGGTTGGTGTAGTATTGGAAGTTGGCACGATACTAGAAGCTGATGGGCTGGGGGAGGTCGGCGAAGTAGCAGCGGATGGCATGTAGGAACCGCCATCAAACAGAAACTTCTTTACGCGACGATCAGCGCCCTGCGTTACGGCGGATAGGGACTGCTGGGGGGTAGGAGGATGTCGACGTGTATTTGAGAAGGAGGAAGGGTGATTATAGGCGCGCCTGGAACTTCCTCCTGGCGTGAGGTCGATCTGAGAAACGCCACCGATGCGAGGATGAGCCACAGACGTCGGTGTTTTGATGGAACCAGACAGGACTGAGCGGAAGTATTCACGTTCTTCCTTCTGTTTAGCTTCAGTTTCTGGAGATGGTATTCGGAGATATAAAAAAGGTCTCTGAAGATGAGATGACGCGATAGATAAAAGAGGAAGCTTGTCCTCGTCTGGAGGGGTCACCGGCATCGAAGAGGAACCACTAGAGGTGATGGAAGAAGAGGAAGAAGAGGAACGGGAAACAGGGTCCGCCACTGAGTTAACCTTTTCGATCGCGAACTGCGCCACACAAATATATATATCAGCTCTACTACATGTCAACGTTGCTGTTCACGCGACGGCGCACCTCGAATGAGTGCTCGTCCTGAGAAACACAAGCCACTTCGTCGACATCCGAGTCCATGTCTTTAAGCCACTCCGAATAGTCAAAATCGTCCTGCGCGTCCTGAGTTGTAGTGTTCCCTGAAACAAGATTTTGCGAGCCGGTCGTTGCTGGCACTTGCTGTCCGTCTTTTGAGGGGCAAGTGGGAGGGGGAATCTGGTGCAGAATCTCAACGCCGTCGATGTTATAACTGCTACCCTCCGCGCTGTCCAATTGGGAACGGACATTGGCGAACGCCTCTCGGGCCTTTTCTTCAAACTGTATTAGGAAAGCCTATGAAAGAGAAAAATTAGCCGACCGTGCGTCCGAGAACAATAGGCAAAATGGGGTGGGAAAAGTGAAATTGAAGGAAATGGAAATTCACCTCTTTGTCCTCGTGGCCTTCCTCCTGGGACTCGGGGGGAGTGGTGAACGGGCTGTCTTGACTGATGTAATCGAGTTGGTAAGCCAGCTCCTCTTGAGAATCAATCAACTGGAATGCCGTTCATCAGCCAGTGAACCATGCTATCGAGTGGCTAAGACGCGGAGCTTACATTTTGGTGTCCGATAATTAGGTCTTCCCGATAGGTGGGTTCCCACGGTGCTATGCAATCGTTCCGGAAATAGATGGGGAGTTCGTGAGACATAGTTTAGGATAGATAGATGTTTACTAGAGAGGAGGAGCGTGTGAGGGGTCGAGGAAGGGTCTGTGAGGAGATGTCCCCGGAGAAGAACGTAACCATGTTATATAGGTCGACGAGTTCAATGTCAAAGCCCTAGGGACCACTCTCGCTTAACTTTCTGCCTTTGTCTACGAGGCCAAAGAATCGGCAAGCAAGCAGCGAGAGTGGCATGTCCATGAGCATGTGTCTTGATGCGCAACCTAGCCACACTCCGGTCATTTAAGAGAGATAAGCTTTGGCTTCCGTTGTTATGATGGCCGGAAGGACAATGCAACCACTGTGGTTCATCGCCAGCTTTAGGATACCTTTGGAAAAATTTGGTTGCCGGCATTGACGTCCAAGCCTATGAGGGTTGCCGGCGCCATGAGTATGCAGGGCGCCGAGTGGGTCGTTCATTAGTATTCACCAGAGTCAGAGGGATTGGGTCATACGCCGCAAGAAAACTCGTCAACGTGACCAGAAAGCCTCCCGAGTCAAGTTAGAATTGGGCAGATTGGTCCACGTGTATTGCGAATCGACTGCAGACAATCGAAGTAGATACCTGAGACATCCACAACGTTGAAACGCTCCTTCAGGCCTTTCTCGCCAGTGCTGCAGACAAGATTGCCAAGATCATTCCCCAAAGTAAGTGATACGGCGAGGGTCCAACGGCAGCGAAGTTCGAGAAAGGAGAAAGATAACAAATTTCTGGGTTAAACAAGAGTATGCAGTCCGTCTCGATTAGTAGTCAGGTATCACTCAGTGACAACTTGAGTCTCCTGTGGATCCGCATAGTATGACGCCATATTCGCATTACCACCCAAGCTGTTACGATCACATTCATTCCGGATCTACGGACACACCTTTTCCTCTCGTTATTCATTTGTAACCACTTATTAAAACCTACCCAAACACACTCATTGATCCATGCTCGAACCTGACCGATACCATAAGGATATACGAACACATTGATACCGCATGTATTTAGATAATAGTTGTATATATACACCAGACGAACTTCGGATTAACTCCAAGTTTTGAATGGTTTTACCTGCTCATTTCTAAATTGATTTGAGTCCTATCATAATTCAAAACTTTGCCCCTTCGCACTCTCTCGACAGGCATTGCCTCGTCCTCCACCCACACTTCACCTCACTCAAAGTCCGTTGTACTCGACGGCAACCACCTCATTCCTCATCCCACTCTGCTTCACTCTTACTTGCTCAAGACCTCATTCGGAGGGATCCGAATTCCACACTCCTAGTTACTTTTCATATCGCACTCCATTCCTCCACCTGGGTAATCACGCGACTACAACTGTAGATTGCGACCCTTGTATTCCCTTAGTACATAAATCATTACTCTCACCTGGTAGTCCGCTCTTGAAGCAACCAGGAAGTAGGCGGTGCTGCAACCTTCTTAACAGAGGGGCCGTTGAAAAAACCTACCAGAATTTACCCTGCTCAGACCTAAACGACTGAGTGTACGGCAGGAGGTTTCGAACCTCGCTGGTATTCCTTGACTCTCTTGCACGTCGAAAGACAACTACCGCAGAGATCAATTTCTTTTTTTTGCGCCTTCTAAGGCCAAACCATTTTACGTAGCTACTACATATACCTACCCCGTGTGTCCGGATCGGCTATTGGCCGGAACACTTTGAAGGAGTACCTTTACCTCGGATCTATACTTGTCTAAGTACCAGAACAGGGTCGTGCGCCCGGTACAAGACACTATTGTTCACACATCACGTCTTCATTTGAATTCCCTGACTCCGTACCTATCTACCAATTCTACGAACGCCGATCACAACCTCCTCTCTTACCTCCATCACACTCATCTTTCACACACTCCACACCACCATCACCATTGTCAGAAATGGGTTCTACACAAGCCGACACTGGTGATCTTGAACAAAACCCAAATCCACCCCGACAACCACCACCAGTACCACCACAGCCAAACACAAAGGCATCTGGAGCGAAACCTTCAGACTTTGACGGAAGTAAAGACAAATTCCTTGCTTTCAAAAGACAATTGATACTATGGTACCGCACACCCAAGAACATTGGTCTCACCGATGAGCAAAAGGTCGATATGACTCTTTCATACATGAAGGGTCCACAGGTTGACGATTGGGTCAACAATTACTTTGACAATAATTTTGACATCGATGCAAACAGCTGGAAAATTACTTTTCGTCAGCTAATACTCGACCTACACGAAACATTCCTCGATGTAAATCGAGTCGAACAAGCAGTTATCCAAATGGATAATTTGACCCAAGGCAATGGAACGGCGCAGGAATATTTCCAGAAGTTGGAAATGTACATCACGCAGGCAGGCAGACAAAAGGACGATAAACACACTATCGACCTCATCAGACTCAACTGCAACGAGTCCATTGTAGATAGAGTCCTCGACAAAGACACACGACCAACCAACTATGCAGCATGGAAGCAAGCCATCATTGACATTGATTCCTCGCGAAGGCAGCGGGAAGAAGAGAAGCGATTGAAGAAGATCGGATATCGACCATTCCGATCGAACCAGAACTATGGGCAGAAGTACCCTGCCTATCAGCAGCAGACCCAAGGATCAGGTCAGAACCAGAATCAGAGTCCGAAGAAGGACTACGGAGAAAAGAAAGACGGAACCGGGACGACGTTCACAGGGCGTGGACAACCCATGGACTTGGACAGGAATTGCCTTAAGTGTAAGGCCAAGCAATCAGAGAAGGGCACTTGCGGAAGTGCATGGCACGTCCCTAATCGATCGGGACCTTCCACGAACACTCAACGTGTTCGAAAGAATGAAACGAAGACAGAGTCAAAGATTGAGGAGATTCCCGACTCAGATGATGACGATGATGACAAGATGATCGCCATGGTTCGGCGATGGATGGAGAAGAACCCGGAGAAGGCGAAGAAGTTGAATTTTGGCTCGGGCAAGGCTTAAACGCACAAAGTAACTTGCCGGATATGAACAATGACTCGGACAAACCCCTGGAGGGTTCTATGAAAACATCTTCGCTATATGCCTGTAATACATCGATCGGACAGTCCCCTTTTGTAAATATTTTACCTAACGCAGAGGCGTCTTCTACCAAGAAGCGCGGCAGGGCGGAACCTGTGCTTGATTCCTCTAAACAAAATACAAAAAAATTTGAAAATAAACTGAGTGCGTCGGATAAAAGCATCACAGACATTGGACCACCACTACTCCGAGTTGTCAAAGGACTTGGAAGAGGGAAACAAATGGACCTACCAGTCACTGTGATCATCCCGGAAACAGAAAGAATCCATGATACAGTAGCATTAGTTGACACCGGTAGTACCGGATCATGCATAAATTATAATTTCGTCAAAAGGCATGGAATTGAAACCTCTAGATTTGATCAACCGATCCAAGTCTATAACACCGATAACAGCGAGAATTCTCAGGGACCGATCACAGAATATGTCCGACTCACACTTCGAATCGGCGATCACCAAGAAAACATCATGCTTCTAGTTACCGATCTGGGGAAGTCAGACATATTCCTCGGATATGAATGGATCGAATACCATAATCCATCAATAGACTTCAAATTGCAACTTGTTGACTTTAACCGATGCCCACACACGTGCGTCACTATAAGACAACAAGAGGTCGAAGAAGGAGATACCGTATATTTACTCAATACCAATGCTTGGTATAAAGAAAGAGGAGAATATATTCAGCGAATGCGCATAACAGCCATGGACATAGCAATTGAACAAAGTAAACAAAAAAAGAAAAAGACCTTCGAAGAAATGGTTCCCGAACAGTATCGTGAATTCACAGACGTATTTACTGAGGATACTTTCGACATCCTTCCAGAAAGGAAACCATGGGACCATGCAATAGAACTGTTACCAGATTCATCACCGTATGCAGGCAAGGTGTATTCCATGACTGTTGAAGAACAAAAAATCCTAGACGGTTTCCTTGAAGAAAACCTAAAGACGGGAAGAATCCGACCATCAAAGTCTCCCTGGGGAGCACCTTTCTTCTTTGTCAAAAAGAAAGATGGCAAATTGCGACCGGTACAGGATTACCGAAAACTCAACGATATGACCAAAAAAAATAAATATCCATTACCATTGATCTCAGAGCTTATTGATAAGCTCAAAGGTGCTAAATATTTCACGAAACTGGACATTCGCTGGGGATACAATAATATTCGCATGAAAGAAGGAGATGAAGAGAAAGCTGCATTCATCACGAATAGGGGACTATACGAACCAACCGTCATGTTCTTTGGATTGACGAATAGTCCTGCTACGTTTCAGATGATGATGAATGACATTTTCCGTAATCTCATCCTTAAAGGAAAAGTAATCATATATCTTGACGATATACTCATATTTTCCGAATCCCTGGAGGAACATCGCCGTATTGTGAAAGAAGTTCTTAAAATATTACGAGAAAATAAGTTAACCTGCAAACCAGAAAAATGCGAGTTTGAAACTCAAGAAACAGAATATCTCGGACATATTATTTCGCAAGGAACTGTAAAGATGGATCCTGCCAAAGTCGATGGAGTTACGCAATGGCCAGTACCAAAAGCCAAAAAGGAATTACAGTCATTCCTTGGATTTGCCAATTTCTATCGACGATTCATCAAAGACTTTTCCAAAATTGCCACTCCCTTGAATAAATTAACCGGACAAGTAGAATGGACCTGGGGTCCAGAACAGCAGGAAGCTTTCGAACTTCTAAAGAAAACCATTACCACGGCACCGGTATTAGGTATTCTGAATAATGAAGATCAGTTCAAAGTTGAATGCGATGCATCCAAATATGCTATTGGAGCAGAACTTGCACAGAAGCAAGATGGACATTGGCGAACCATTGCTTTTCTCTCAAAAAGCCTTTCACCGGCTGAAAGAAATTATGAGATCTACGATCGAGAGATGCTAGCCATCATGATCTCATTAGAAGAATGGCGTCACTTCCTGATGGGAGCTGCCCAGAAATTCGAAATTCATTCCGATCACAAGAACCTTGGCTATTTCAAAAAACCCTAGAAGTTAAATCATCGCCAGGCGCGATGGATCCAAGAATTACAACAATATGACTTCAATTTGACTCACAAACCCGGAAACACAATGACGAAGGGAGATCCTTTATCGCGACAGACCCATCACGATATTGGAGACAGTCATAATGAAAACATTACGTTGTTAAAACCAGAATGGTTCCGAGCCAATGAAATCCTCGGGTCATCAGCTTTACGGGAGAAAATCATAAAAAACACTGATAAATATGAAAACAATACACGATTAAAACTATTGACAAAAGATGTCGACTTCAATGAGACCGAGGACGGTCTTATCTGGAGAAGGGGGAAGATTGTTATCCCTTTTGACAAGGAACTCAGAGGAGAAATTATTCATTCGCATCATGACTCAATTAGTGCCGGTCACCCTGGACAAGCAAAAACACAAGAACTAATTTATCGATCGTACTGGTGGCCTTCGATCAAAAAAGATGTAAAAACATATGTAAAAGGCTGCGAGACTTGTCAAAAAACTAAGATTAACCATCAACCGAAGAATGCTCCATTGCACCCAAATGCAATTCCGGAACACAACTGGGAATATCAATCTGTAGACATGATTACACATTTACCAGAATCGCAAGGGCATGATGCGATCATAGTAGTTGTGGATATGAAATCAAAAGACTACATTGAAATACCAACCACAGAGCAATTGACGTCAGAAGGATGGGCTAATCTCTATATCAAAAATGTATATCCGTTGCACGGATTACCAAAAAAGATGACATCAGACCGTGGACCGCAATTCGTTTCCAGCTTCATAAAAGACTTATATAAAAAACTAGGAATTCAGGGAAATCCTAGTACAGCATATCATCCGCAGACAGACGGACAAACTGAACGAATCAATCAGGAAATTGAAAACTATTTACGAATATTCATCAATCATCGACAAACTGACTGGCCAGAATGGTTGCCACTGGCAACATTTGCATATCGAAATAGAGTCCACTCTGCGACTGGATTTTCACCATTCTACATGAATCATGGACGAGAAGCCTACACTGGTGTAGAAACCAAAAAGGAAATTCGTAATGAAACTGCAGAGCAGTTTGTAGCGCGAATGAAGAAAATCCAAGAAGAAGCATCAGCATCGTTAACGTTAGCACAAGATGTTATGAAAAGACAATACGATAAACATAAAGGCGAAGCCATAAATTATAAAGATGGAGATTTAGTGTGGCTTGAAGCCACACATATACGCACGGACAGATCAAATCGAAAATTAGATGATAAAAGATACGGACCATTCCCGATTATCAAGAAAATTGGAGCTAGCGTATACAAGCTCAAATTACCAAAATCGTGGAAAGGAGTACATCCCGTATTCAATGAAACTTTATTGTTGCCATATCATGCACCAGAATTCCCTAATCAGAAAACACACAAAAACATTCCAATAATTATCGATATCCTAGAAGACAAAGCTGAATCCGTATTAGACTCCAAGATGGCACGTGGAGGCCTTCAATATCTAATCAAGTGGGCTGGAAAACCACGTTCTGAGAACACATGGGAACCTCGTCATAAAATTATTAAAAATATAGACAAAAAGATTATCGATAAATTCCATAAAGATCATCCCGATGCGCCGAAAGCACCCACAAGAATATTGCTAAAGGCACAAATTATGGAACAGTCATTTCCTAGAGAAGCGACACAAGAAGAATGGGATTATTGGGATCAGAAAGTACAGAGATGGGCAGAACGTAGAAAGAAAGAAAAAGCAATGATATCCGTAGACCCAGATTCAATTAAATTATTCGAAAATCGAAGAAAAGCACAAATCATATCTAATCAGCATTACCCGAATGCCAGCGAGTTATAGATCATCAATGAGCAGACGCTCAAACTGACACACGTGGCAATCACATCCGCGCCTACGAAAGTCAAACTCGAATGGCAATACCCCATTCTCTCCTTCTACCAACTCATCAAACCAATATCAATCCCAAGTATGGATTCTCCCATTCTAGAACAATCATTCACTCAACCAATGAAAGCTCTTTGGTAGAAATGCTCGACGATGCTGTCATCATATTCATCTCTGTAGGAAGCGCCTACTTGGTGATAATCATCATCTGTCTTTGCGTCTACCGAATGCGACTTCGAGAAGAAGAAAATTCAGAAGAATGGATCATCATGGTATGATTGAATAATTTCACACTCTATCATAATTAATCGTGAGGACACGATTCTAGAGGAGGGGGTAATGTTACGATCACATTCATTCCGGATCTACGGACACACCTTTTCCTCTCATTATTCATTTGTAACCACTTATTAAAACCTACCCAAACACACTCATTGATCCATGCTCGAACCTGACCGATACCATAAGGATATACGAACACATTGATACCGCATGTATTTAGATAATAGTTGTATATATACACCAGACGAACTTCGGATTAACTCCAAGTTTTGAATGGTTTTACCTGCTCATTTCTAAATTGATTTGAGTCCTATCACAAGCGCTGCTAATATTTTGCAGTGCATGAGCAATAGTGCGGGGGAGGCGTACTGTTTCTGTAGCGTTGTTCAAAAACCTAAAAGACGTTTTAAAGCTAGACACGCGGGCACAGAGATGGCACGATGCACTGAGACAACTTTGAACAAACTTGGACTTGGACAGCTTTGAAGTAAGCGCTTGAAAAGTGTGATTTACATAAAGGAAATTTATCTGGGGATAAATAACCTGTAAATAACCGTATCTGAAAGCGGGAGAGTTGGCTTCGGGGAAAATTGTGTACGGCCACCGCGTCACGGTCTAGTAGCAAATATTATCTTGACTCCTTCGCGTTTGCATAGTATGCTCCCTATGCATGCAACACTGACGTCTATGATTATCCTCTCTGTTTTCACGCAACGCGGGAAAAGCGGCAACTGTCTGGGGTCCTATGCTGCGGATGGTACCGCAGAGCCCCCGGGCATTCAGTGTGTGGGCCATTGAACCGCGGCTTGACTGGGCCCGACAGCAGGCTAGTGGCTACTACTACGTCAATAACTTTGCCCCGTCGGAATATATTTGAGTAGGCCTTTTCACACTGAGGACCCTTCTGGGCTCGCCAACATCCATACCCAAGTACGTCCACACTGGCCCTTGCGTGTAGTTCACAACACGCTTCAGGTTCTTCTCCTCACCCTCACGTCCTCACGAGTTCGATGCCCACTGTTCCCCCAACATGTGTTTCACTTACTAGTTTGGAGGATGAAGGTGTCATGTCAGGCGTGTTCTCTAGCCAGATCTCTATTGGCACATCTCCGAATGGTCCGACACCGGACCCTGACTTGGATGACGTTGAATTGGTGCCCGTTGTGACAGGCGATGGAATGGGCGCGATCACCGAGTCGGTGAGCATCATTTATATTTTTTTTTGATCGCGAAGAATGTCTAACGTCTAACGTCTGTATAGATCTCTCTGGGGAAAGCACCAAATCACAGAAACAGAGAGATGTCGATGAAGATGAAGCCCCGCTTGAGTCTAGGCGATATCTCCCTACACTCACCGTCTTCCATCCTCGGCACTCCCTTCGACGTATCCTCTCCAAAGTTCGAATACCCTTTCCCTCTCACTGTCCCAGAGTCCGGGATCATTACTCCGCCTTCCTCTATCCCGTCGATCAGTTCTCCGCTTTCGTTTTTCCCCGATTCGAATCATTCGATCATGTCTTCCGCACTTCCGCCTTCCATGCCTAACCATACACCCAAGAGCCATCAGCCGTCTACTCACATGAGACTGCCGTCGCGCGATCCGCCAGTGCCTCCGGGGTTGGCGAAGAAACGACGGAGTGTTGTCCTTATCAACCCTCCTGTGCGGCAGAGAGTTAGGGTACGGAGTCCAAGCGTAGCTATACCCCCAATGAAGGAGAAGTCGGCGGGAGAGAAGGTCTCAAGCAGGTCGATCAGCGTGGAGAGGAAACTTCAAGGTGAAATCGTGATACCCGAAAACGTTGTTAATAAGGCCGGGCCAATGCCATCAATGGACGCTCAAGCTGTCGAAGTAAAGTGCTTGTGAAACAAACAACCTCGTCCATCTTCTCTTCCCTCACTCATTTTCTCTTCCCTCACTCATTTTCTCTTCCCTCACTGTCTCATATTGTCTTTCATGATGCTACATACACGACGGCGTCACGAACATTCTATTCCCCTCCTTCCGCAGGCTTGCGTATCTTATTGCACACAATCAACCCCGATCATACTGGCCAGCACTATGGAAACCCTAAATCTTCATATGCTGAGCTTTCCTGGTTTTGGTTTATATCTTTCCGCTTGATATCTCTTCGTATTGCTTTTCTTTCTTGGTTCTCTTGGTTCATGTATAACATGTCTTGTATCAACATCCCACAATCGCTTTCTTGGTCTCCGTCATTCATTCCCTTCCTCACGTAGACGTTACTTATTTAAACACACACAAACACACACACATTCCCTTTATCTCTGTATCACATTATCATTTCACAGTCTTTCGTTCGGTAACTTTATCAAAAACCTCCCCTTTCATTTACATACACACGTCATACATCCTCCTCATCTGTCTTTTCCTCTCATTTTGGGCTTTTCGTCTTGGGTTTTCAGTTTCGTCATGTCATGTAGTAACCAGTAAACACGTAGGATTACTCAAACACACCACACATCATTCTTTCTTTATGTCCGCTTCTCTTACATTGAACTCCCCAACGCGTCGGTGCCAATTGGATGGTGGTGATCTTAGAGAGTTGCCCGATTAAGCGACAACGGATAATTGTCGGAGCTCATCGTCCGGGACGAGTTTGCGGACTGTGCTCGCGATGTGGCTGCAGACGACGTTAACGTTCCCATCGTCTGTGACAATGACCTCCTCCTCCTTCACCATCAACCTCCCTTACCCCGTTAACCCGTTCAACGGCCCGGTCTAATATGTAAACTTCACGCAACAATTATAAGAGCAACTATGTACCCCGTAGGTAGTCAAAGGTCGCTTTCCCTGCTCCCCATCTTACTGCTACTAGATCTACCGCTAACATGTCATTCGCATCTCCAGTCAAGGCCGCTTTAGGACGTGTTGCGTTCATTACAGGTGGCGGCCAAGGAATCGGTCGTGCGATCGCGACGCGTCTCGCTAGAGATGGACACGATATCTCCATTGCGGATATCCCTGGTCAGAAGGAGAAAGTCCAGGATGTGATCAAGGAGATCGAGTCTTATGGCAGGAAAGCAATCAGCGTATTTGCAGGTGAGTCGATTATATTATCGATTATTAGAATTACACAGTATATTCTCAAGCAGTGATTCATCTAATCACTGTTATATGTTAGATGTACGCGATGCAAAGTCCATCTATGCTGCTATCGAAGAAACTGTGGACAGACTAGGTCCCAACCTCTTCGTCAGCGTCGCAAACGCAGGCGTTACCCAAGTCAAACCTCTTCTAGAATGCACACCCGAGTACGACTGTCCTGCTTGAAACCATATAATCACTGATGCTCAATACGCTTTGACAGGTTCATCGAGAATGAAGTCCGCATCAACGTCCTCGGATTCATGAACACGCATATTGCTGCTGCTCGGCAAATGGTGAAGCAAGGTCATGGTGGTCGTATACTTGGTGCCGGTTCCATTGCGTCCTACCGTACTGCTGGTATGTCATGTCTCGAGGTGGATCATGGATTATAGCCTCTGTACTGAATGACTCAATTTATGCAGAGAACCTTGGGCCGTACGGGGCGACGAAATTTGCAGTGCGAGGATTCACTGAAGCTGCGGCTAAAGAGTGGGCACAGTATGGTATTCGAGTCAATGGCAAGTTTATGTTTTACGTTTAGAGGTGGTGTGGCTGTTGATAATGACGTTTGTGTAGCATATGCGCCTGGTATCGTCGATACGCCAATGTGGGACCACATCGACCGGGAACTCGCCAAGATTGTGCGTATAGTCGACTCCTATTCTCATAACTGTCGTCTCTAATATCCGCATACATGATTGTAGGAGGATATTTCAATTGGGGCTGCGAAGGCGATCCGCGTCCAACGTGATATCAAGCTAGGCCGTATCCAAGAACCAGAAGACGTGGCAAAGTTGGTCTCATTCCTGGTCTCAGACGAAGGGGAATATATCACTGGACAGACTATCAAGACGTGTGGCGGGTCCTCGCTATGAGTCCTTACCAGGGTCGCATCTGGTTGTATGAAATTGTATTATAGACAGCTACGGCGGTGATTTATACTTTGGTTTTTTTTGGGTTACCTATGGCGTGCATCTAGATTTGAGGACTACCTTATTCCCTATGCAAAGTGGATCTCTAGGATTCCAAGGCTCAGCATAGCTTGTTTCGTGGCCCACACCATCGGAACAGTTCTCGGCACCACGCGGACATCCAAAGACGGTTGCGGATTCTCTATATGCAGCATCCGACAATGTTCATCCGCCGAATGTTCACTTCGCAAGTCCATATTGTCTCCTGACCAGACCCGTCTTCCTTACGCCCCAAACATGAGCGCACCATCCTCTAACATTCTGTCTACTCTATCGCCGGAATCGCAGGCCTTTCTCAACGACACGGTCTCCAGGTTCTTGTCCGACTGCGGGGTCTGCGATACTGTCGAGATTGATGATTGTGTTCCTGTGCTATGAGTTGTATATTCCTTTGCATCGAGCTCACCGCTTTGTGCGGGCATTACTATCAACGAAGAACTCCAAAACGATGCCTACCAAAGGATGTTGCTACTAGTAGATAGTGAATTTCTACAGATCTTGAGAACGGCCTTTGGAAGGAAAGACTACTCTGCAGTCATAGGTCATCGTAAGTCATGTCTTGCAGTCATCGCTCCGCTTCCATGACTTCTAATATCTATCATATATTAGCTGCATTCTGCAATCGGAAGTACTTGAGTGGACTATTGCGATGCCCACCACCCCAGCCGTCTGCTGATATCGAGCATGCTGTTTCATCTCTCCTTGAGAGCATCGAACCCGATCTTCAAGATTATATACATCGTGACCTTCCCTGGCCCACCTATACATCAGCAAGCACAGATGTCCGGACGAAGGACTTCACCGGCTCGCTGGATATCCCGATGACAACCCCGAATGTACCGTGCTTACTGCTACATGGCCTTGGCCATGGTATCGTCAAACCAGAGGTGGTATCGAGCGTCTTCTGCGAGACGCAAGTGCCAACGTATGTATCTCTATATGTGGTTCCGTATGTTACCGAATACTTATTTCGGGATTGTTGCAGGCACCTCGTCAATACGCCTGGCTCCGGCAAGACCCGAGTACTTTTCGAAGGTCTCTCGCAATCCTGGGGATTCTACTTTGTATGCAACAAGGAGCAAGCGACTGCATTCGGATCGCAGGACTTACCTTGGGTGCTGGAAAATATGAACCCTTCCGAGCCCTCCAGTTTCACCATAGATCTGAAGACATGTGCAGAAAGCACATACGAACAGGTACATAGGCACCATAGGCTCACAGCACACCGTCAGTCTCTATCGGTCCTGCTTAGCAGGGCTTTGATTCTGCTTACGCTCCTTCGGATGGCTAGGGAGCAATACCCGCAGAAGCGTCTGGACGAATTCAGGCGCCATTGGCTGTATCTCCAATTACGACCGGCGGACATCTTGGAAAGGAACGTTCAAGGGGAAGATGTCTTTCAGCAACTTTCCTTGATCCTTCAGAATGCCTGTGACAAGTATCTTGAGAAAGATGACTATCAAGACAGGGAAAAACTACCAATTGTCATGGGTCAGATCCGCAGAATGTTTGGCATCGCAGATTTCCACAGCAGACTCTATGTTGTTGTAGATGAAGCACAGGAAGCTACGAAGAAGCTAAAGGCCGCTTTTCGATTTGAAGGAGGCCAGGCTGAACCTCCCATGATGCGTCCTATCCTCTGCAAGCTAGCAGAGACATTTGGACGCTATGGATCACTCATCTTCTCTGGCACCAGTCTTTCTCTGATTGAGGGGCTGAGGCCGATGTCTTATAATATCATGAAATATGATCCATGGTTTAGACTTGAAACTGATGTTGGTTCATTTGATGAAACTTTAGCCCAGAAGGAATATCTTCTTCGCTATCTGCCACCACACTTGCATGATACACCCAGTATACTTGCACTCATATCCAGGGCCAGTCATTGGATTACTGGGAGGTAAGTGCAGATAATGTATGTTCATGTTGCAGATCTAACTTGGGTATTTTCAGATATTGTTTTACGACAAACCTCATTCAAATTCTGCTCCAGTCATCATTTCTTAGTCCTCATCATGCCCTTGACTATGTGATAACATCCTATGTGGACATACTTCCACAGGATAGTGCAACTTTCATCAAGGATGAACCTAAGTTGACAGGTATCACTGATATGGGGGGTGAAGTGCTCAGCCAGTGCATACATCAAAACACAATTGCAGGTATGGTTTGATTCTATTCATGTCAATCCAAGTAACAACATGGTAACAATTTTTTCATAGACATGAATCTAGGGATGGAATACTGTTCACTTCATGAAAATGCATAACAAGCTTCATGCATAGCACAAATCATGTTATCTAAACAACATTTTGAAGTTCAATCTCAGCAGCTGGTGACTCCTTCTGCGCCTCAGAAGAACTTTCAGAGTTAACATGTTAGTACCTTAAGTTAAGAACATGTATATTCTAGGTAACATACCTCTGTTGTGAATGCTTCTCATCACCCTCATCACCTTCAAGCAATCCAACAGAAAGAGGCTTATCTGAGTATCTGATGATCTCTTCTTCTGAGGTCCAATGCTGACTCTCTCCAGTTGCCCAAGGTGCATTGAGTGGAGCACCCAAGTTGGCAACAACTGAGGTAGCAAAATGAACACTGGAGACTTCATAGTCAGAGTCTGTGCTGGTGTTGTAACTGCTTGTGAGATATATGGAGCGCAGATCCAGAAGAAAGCGAGAAATCAAAAGTGAAGTCATTCTATGCAAAATGGTTAGATCTGTCATAAGAGATGGTAATGTATGTACAGGTGGAAGAAAACTTACACTTCATTGATGTAAGCAAAGTAGGATGCATTGGCAGTTTGATAAATGTGATCAGTTCTTATATGCTGAGTGAAATTATGACTATAGGAACACTTACTACTGAACCAATTGCAACTCCCAATAAGTTCATGGTCATTGCAATGGCATTCAATATCGAAAGAGCACTATACTTGTATCTTGGTGACATGTTGATCTAAAAATGAAGAGAAACCCACATGAACTGTAGTGAACCTGAAAGACTCATTTTAAGATGATAAAGGCTAGTAGTTCACTTGATACATACCATTTCTAACTAGGACTGTTGTAAGACTGGTCTTGACTTTTAGCTCTTGGCTTGTCTTGAATATGTCTAAAGTCTCCAGAAGAGTTCCAGCCAGTATTGCAATATCTGCTACTACAGAAATGGCCCTAGCAATCACTGGCACTATTCAGAAACATGTGAATATAAAGATGATCATGGAATAATGTTTAGCATACAGCTATATATATTATAAGCAGCTTGACACTTGAAGGTATTGTCAACAACTTACTATGGATAGATTGAAACTTGGTGTATACCCCAGCAACCTGACACTGGATCTGATGCTACAAGCATAAATATAATAGGCCTTGCAAAGTTGTACTAAAGAATGCAATAATTCTTATCTGATTCATAGTTATATAACATGGAACAGGGCTTACTATGTTGATGCAGGGATTTAATATGCTCAATGCACAGACCAAGATGACTAGCATCCACCTCTGTCTACAGATTGCCCAAATCCTCAAACAGTTGAATGCTATAGATAATGCATGTCAGTTTTACACCAAGATTATTCTGTAAATCACTGAGACTTACCTGCAAGTCCAAACAGACATAAGATATCAAGAATGAATTCTATAATTACAAGGGTTTTGCAGCTAATAACAGTTCTTAGTTCAGGATAACTGGAACAACTATACAGCAAATTATACCTCTATAGAAGGGCCTTAAGTTAGCCAGACAACAAAAGTAACAGGAATATTGAACTCACGCTGAGAGTTTTATACACCCAAAAGTCTGCAAAGATCTGAAAGGCCAAATCCAAGATGGTAGCATATCTGATGAAAATGTAGAGCACAGTAACGGCACTGAATTTCCTTTGCCAAATGCACGGAACTTCCTGAGAGAATGCCAATATAGCATCATAAGCAGTTAGAGCTGGAAAATCAATTGTATCATGTCAGAAGTGGACTTGAGTAAGTAGTAATTGTTGTGACAGACTCAATGCTGCCACTAAGATGAAGTCTTATATGTAACTGGACAAGCTGAAAGATAAAGTTAGCATGTTGAGTTCTACATTACGCCAAATGAGAATATACACACATCGTTGTGATGATCTGGTCTAATGTTAAACCCGGATCGGACATAGTACAAAGTGTATGCAAGCGAAAGCCTCAGAGAGAAAAGCGAATGGTACATTCAATGACAGTGTTGAACGGACTGAACAGAGCAGCAAGCAACTCAGAGCGAAGGTTGTCAGCGCCGAAGAAGGTCAATGACACTAGCAGTAATATATAGCATCTAGCCTAGTAGACCATAGTCGCCGTTGTACTGCTTATCATTGGACCGCTGTAAGGTGTGCACATGGTGCACACCCTACAGAGCATGCATGCATCAAGACCACAGCAACACAACAACACTTATCATCAAGACAACATATCACTCCATTCTCAGCACGACAATACCGTCTCGACACCATTTCCCTTTTCTCTCTCTCGATCTCTCTATCTCTCTTTCCTCTATCTCTATATCATACAAACAAAGTCAACAAGCTTTCATTCTCATCTTCTTTCCTTCACCTCATCTTTATAGATAACTAATTCACCCATATACACCATCTCGACAAACACTTTCCAAACACTCGCATCTTTATTTCTCTTCTCTCCATCTCTCGTAGCTAGACTTCCCATCTCCACAATACAGAAAACAACAACACCATCTCACACTCACCATCTCGACACTCATCAAGATCCATCTCGACAATCCTCAAGCCATCTCGCATCAAGACGAACCAAGTTCACACGACGGAGGGAAGGAAAGGAAAGGTTACTGAAGAGGCTTCTATTTAGATTGACAGGACATCCCTATGATATGGTAGACTCGATGTGCAGGACACCATATCCCACTCGGACCTGAACCTGAGGCAAGTCTCGAGGAGACTTCAGCTGGCAGGATGCACCCATCACACCACTCTCTTGGATCTGGCAGCCCTACCCCTCTGTGCGACGGCCCTGGTGATGACGGTTGCAATTCACATGAGGAGTTCCCCTCTGAACTGTACTGGTACCAATCTCGATTACTCTCTGCCTCAAGCCCACAATCCTCTGGTTCAAAGCTGTGTATCGTCTCGACAACTCATCCATCTCGACCAACTCGTCGTTCAATGCGGCCTGCAAGGAGACAAGGTCCTCAGCCATATGATACGACTCCTGAGGACGTTGTCCAGCCAGGCCAGCAAATTGTTGTGCCTCACCCATTGCAGCCAAGTATCGCATCACTCGAAGTTCTATACATGAATCAGCCTCGAGACATACCACTAGATCTGATGAACAACCTACCAGCTGGTGGCCCTCCATGTGCATAGTTGTTGAGATGATGGAATCCGAAGGAGGTCCTCTCGCGAGGATCATGAACAGGCTCGGTGACCAGACAGAGGTCCTCGATAATTACTACTGCCTGTGCAAGGACACTCTCATCGAAAACTCGAGGAAGACTATCCCCATTCTCGCGAATCTTGTCATGACAAGACTGCACCAGTTCCTATTAGAAAAAGTCATTACTTGCCCCTCCATCGGCATCGAGATGCATTCCTACCATATAGGCTCGAACTCTAGTTATCCAGGCCAACCAATCGAGAGAGTCATGATCTTCAGGAATTCCGGCGAGATCGAGGAACAACATTTGCATAGTCACACACAAACGTTTGACAGCACGTTCAGACTTTGTGTCAGGTATCGAGGCAGCATATCGTCTAAGAGGATCAATCTGGGACATCGAGGAGAAGACTATCAAGGTTGGGAGGTTGTCGAGATGCAGAAGGGTATGAAGTCCCGAAGGAGGGGAAGGTCCTTTCGGCCGAATAATCCATGCAGGAAGAGGTCCGGTGGGTCTTGACTGAGGCAGAAGGTTGACCATGGCATCGAGACTTGCGAGAGACCGGTTGAAGGAAGGCCCTAGGGAGCCAAGCCAGGTGAAGACTGATCTCGATGAATCAGGAAGGCAGGATTGAGTTGGAGATGGTTTGGTTGGGATGTTTTCGTGATGGGACTGATCGAGATGGAGACGGTGGAATGGAACACAAAAGGATGAAGAGGTTTCGAGAAGGAGGACAGAGACTTTCCCCCCCTTGACTTAGGACTGACATTCCAAACACTCAATTCGCGACTACGAATTTGAGGAGGCTTCGACATCAGTATCTTTTCGATAGGACTATATTTCTCTCAGCTTGTTTAGATACAATTTCTGTTTACTCTAATACATCCCCACACTTTACAACATACTGGCTGGTCTTTCAACGAGGTTAGGACTTCCTCGCATTGTCAACAACCATTTCGAGATACCTTTTGTACCCATCTCGAGGGGATTTGTACCTGAGGGCTCTTGTTGGGAGGTGTGTCGTATTGCTTTTGAGACGAAGGAAGGAAAAGAGGTGGTTACAGAGAGGTTCATTGCTTGGTTTCCGAGGAATAGACTTGACTTGGTCGAGGGAGATTCTCGAGTCGAGACAGCTGTACCAGTGGTTGGGACTGTTGAGAGGTACGCACAGGGAGAGGAACTCGTCGCGACTCATCCTTCAGGACTTGGAGCTCTTCAGCTGTACTTCCTGTACATCGAGCATCTTCGAGAGACAGTTGGAGGACTTGTTGCCCTATCAGACACAGGCAGGATCAGGACTTGGGAGTGTGACATCTCAAACGCACTCGACCTAGGCAGTGGTACTGTCTACTGGATCTCGAAGGACCATTCTGTATATGGTTTCTTCACCCATACTCTTCAGTATTCTCCTCGACTACTGAACTAAATCACTACAGTCACGAGTAGGACTTCACCCTGTCGAGAGTAGTCGGAGACCACTCTCCTCCGCGACCGTATTTCATCTCGGTACGCATCAGCCTTCTACACACCTTACACCGCCTTAGAGAATTAGTTGATCAATAAGCACCTCTAATTTCGATCCTACCGAGGATCATTGATGGCTTTTACCTGCGACGTACTAACAGTAAGTGAGCAGCTCAGGAAGAACGCTGGTGCCTGTTTGGCGGTGCACTGATGATGATTTCCATCAGTTTAGCGTTATAACAAAACGCAAAAGAAATCAGGCCAGAGAACGACTACGAGTGACGTCCGACGCACCATTGGCTTCTCGGCGCCTTGCAACTGGGCAGTACTCTATTTGTTACGGTTTATAAGAGTGATATCAACCTATCAGCAGCGAAGTTCGTCGCTGAGCCTGGAGAGGTTAAGACAAAACCACAACAGCGGACGAAAAAGCGACCACGAGAATCACGGTATGAGGGAAGCTTCGAGCTCGAGCTGCAGTATAGTAGGCAATGAAGTCGCCTTGCGAAGGGGGCAAGAGAAGGAAGTATACAATTCATGTATTGAGTATTGCAGAAGCCCCCGGTTCATTGTAATCCAATCCTTCTGTTCGCCACCAGGATTGAAATATACATTTGAACGCGCACAGTTTCACACCTTTACGGTTATAAATGGGCGTGTTGCGATGGGCTAAGATTGAATGGGAATCAACCCGAGGTCATCTCTATGCGCCAGGATCACTTCAGCGTGCCCCTCGTGGCCCGTTGGAGCCCCGTAAGCAGCCCGGCTGGGCCTGTAGTGAACGGGATGTATTGTGATTGGCCATATAGTGGTGCTACAGAGCCTCTTCTACAGGCTTTCGCTCCCACGGAGTGCCTTCCGAGAGCATCTTCTCTGAATTTCAGAGGTCAGAATGTCCGAAAGTGTGATGTTACATGGCGATCGTACTTGGTTCTACCGTCACATCCTGTTGATTGACCGCCCGAATGCAGTCAATGCCCAACTCGTATGGACCCTCTACACCACTGTTTCCACCTAAAAGGGAGACACCAATTGTCCTGATGCGCTCGCGATACATCTCAATTTGATGAGACGCGATTTCACCGGAATTCGTGAGCACAAAACGGTCGAAAGGTATCTACAGGTAATGAGAGGCGATTATCAGTATGAATGCCAATACGCGAGAAGCGACTGACGAAGATATCTTCCCATCCGCCGTCCTCTCGGTTGAAAAATAACCTATGTTGCCAAAGGTCACTGGCGATAGGGCCGTCGGTTTGGATATTGACATAGTACGAATTGCGGGTACGCGGGTGTCCAGCAGCGCGAACACGTAAAGCAAGGTATCGGTGATACGAAACGTCGTCGGTCAGTTCACCGAACAGCGTCAGACGTCTCTGGAAAATCCGTGAGTTGGGTGTGCAGAAAAGGATGTATATGCGAGCGTGCCTTACTCCTGAAACCAGCATAACCTCCTCGTACTTTACCCTCCAACTCCTCTCGGACGCCGAGGCTCATTTCTCCCCAGAATTTGCCTGTCGGACGACCGAGGTATGTAACAGACTTCTTGTCCTTAGCTGATGTCTCGTCCAAGTCGAAGTGTGCCGTCGACTTTCCGCCGATGTCTGCATCACAGCCTAGAGCGACATCGTCGATGTCCTGTTTCGAGTTGAACTTAAAGAGTAATTTGGGAGCACGAGATGGTTCTTCCGCGCCCTGCATTCGTAGAACTGTACATGTAGAAATTAGCTCATATCGAAAGCGATGGTTATACATTAACCATACTTCGGGAGGTGTTGTCCCTGAGAACCTGACTAGTTCGTCTCATGTACGTAGAAAGACGAGACATTTTATCACAATATCACAACGTATGTGTCGAAGAATGTTATCTGAGTGTCGGGGGTAACGTTGGAGGATTAAGTCAAGTCCACAATGCACCCACGCCACCAGGCCGACTACGTAAGCGCTCACTCTAATTTCTTGCCACAACCTGCAGGCCTGGTGCTTGGAACACAACATTTATCTCCAATACACTCATATTCTCGTGTCTGCTTATATCTTCGTGAAAATCACTGCTCCTTGATATGCGAAGCTGGTTGGAACATTGGCTAGCTGTTTGTTACATTACGTTCGTTCTAATGACCTCCGGTGGACTAGTAACTGCACAACAAGCTTCTTCGCCTGCACGAATTCTCATATTCTCTGCTACGTTGGAGTTTCGACATGATTCCATCCCGACAGCAATACAGGCTATGAAAGACCAAGGGTCGCGGTACAATATACAGTTTGACAATACTGAAGACAAGACATGGTTTTCGGATGGTCGAATTAACCAGTATGATGCTCTAGTGTTTCTTGACAATACTGGCGAAGGTGCGACCAGATAGCTTTGAACGCCACGCTTTCATACCAACTCTGATTTTAGTGCTCGATGATGAGGGTCAAATTGCGTTCCAGGACTATGTGAATGCAGGCGGAAACTTTGTCGGGATCCATTCTGCATCAGACTGTCTTACGAACTCGTCTTTCTTTGAGAAGGAACTTGGTGCGCCCCGCCTCGAGGATACACATCTGGGATGGTCGTCTTAAGTGATCATTTTGCTGCAGGGGCACATTTCGACTACCACCCAGAGATAACCAACGCGGTCGGTACCTTGTCTTCTATGAGACAAGCTGAAACTCACTCCACCTAGACAGTGAACGTTCTTGATCATTCGCATCCAAGCACGAGCCTACTGCCGGATAGGTGGCAGGTCTTTGATGAGATGTTTGTTTATTGCTACATTATAACCATACAGGTGGCTGAGTAACGTCCAGGTACAACTTCAAGTCGGACCCTCGCAGCTTAGGGGCGGTTGTTCTCCTTTCTGCAGATGAATCGACCTATTCCGGTGCTGAAACTCTAGTTTTGTCCAGTGTATGCCATATTCATTTCATCCTCAGACCCTGGACCTCGTAAATTCGACCAAGGCACTCCTCATCCAACTGCCTGGTTCCAAGAGCATGGTGCTGGTGTAGAGGAAGGCGGAATACAAGGTCGAAGTTTCTATACAAGTTTAGGACACACAAATGAGACGTGGCAGGTTTGTTCTCGAACTCTCACATGTCTTCCAATCACGTAATGAGTTGGATAGGATGACTTGTTTCTTTCTCATGTGATGGGTGGCATTTCCTGGGTCCTGCAATCAAACACGACGAGGGTAGCCAACTCCAGTGCTCAGATTGGCTCAGGGTCCAGTACTGCGACTCCTGCGTCAACAGGTCCTTTGTCGACTTCATCGGGCAGTGCCGCAACTGACGTGTATGTATTTACATTGTCTCTCTATAAACGAATCTGACAGAACTTGCACTCGGTTTGTAGGCCCTCACCTTCAGGTGCTCAACCTATTACGTTAGCATGGATGTCTGCGCCTTTTGTTTTGGCTGTTATTGCGATAGGTGTATCTGTGATGTTTCAGTGACACCCATTTGTGTTCATGTACAGTAGACCCTATCGATTGGCACGATATATATCATGACCTTGGAGGTTGGACATTATTGATGTATACGACTGTCTTTTGCATCTGTATGCACACCATGTTGTACTTGCACAAAATTTATCTCCGACGTTTTCCAGCGCTTCCCATTTATGTTCATCAGAATTCCGCTCGTCAAACAATTATGCAACTACCGTTCCTTGTACCCGACGGCGTTCTACATCCCAGCACTGACTTGTTGAAGTCCAGTCACATCTACAAGGAAAATTACTCAACGTTGACTCATCTGACGGGCGTTCTGGGAAAACGTTGATATACATAAATATGAGAAAATCACTACTTATCTCTGGACGTTCTCGGACTCCCCCATCTATTCGACTCTGAGTCTCTAGCTCCCCATTCCTAGAATTCGACGACGATGGAGGAGACAGATGAAGTCAACGAGCAGAGCGCGCTATTGTTTCAAGAATCTGACGATGATCGTGATAAGAGTGACAAGAAACCCACACCTTTACCGAAGTTCCAACTGTTCAACTTGTTGCTATTGCAATTGGCAGAACCTATCACATCGCAATGTATCTATCCATTCTTGAATCAGGTATGTTATCCAATCGACTATGAAAAAGCTTGAGCTTATCTGGCGGTATAGCTTGTTGGCGAGTTGCCTATCACTGGGGGTGATCCAAGGAAGATTGGATACTATGCCGGCATGATTGTGAGTTTGTTAGTGGATTGAAAGCTTACCGTACTAAACAGTACGTTATGTTAGCAATCTTGCTTCTTTGCCACAGAAGCTATCTTCGTTCTGCATTGGAGCATGCTATCCGATCACATTGGTCGGAAGCCTGTTCTCCTGATTGGAATGGCAGGACTCTGCATTTCCATGATTCTCTTCGGTCTATCAAGGACATTCTTACATCTCATGCTAAGGTCATTTTTTTGTTTTTCTTTACGACGCATATACTCAGATTTCATCGTGTAGTCGGTGCCTCGTGGGGTTGTTGAATGGAAACGCTGGCGTCATGAAGAGTATGATGGGAGGTTCGTCTAGCATCAATATCCTATTCATGTCCTGCTCATCTTCATCACTAGAAATCACGGATTCTACGAACATGGCTCAAGCCTTTGCACTTTTACCAATTGTATGGTCGGCGGGTACTACAATTGGGTATGTATGTTCTCGTCCCATCCCCGTTGCAGATGCTAACGGGTCACTTTTGGTAGACCAATGATGGGTGGTCATCTGGCCAGACCTCATGATAGGTGGCCAAACCTTTTCTCGAACCAATTCTGGATAGACTATCCTTATTTCCTACCTTGTGTCGCATCTGCGGTGTTCTCCGCATTCGTTTTCTTGAATACAGCACTCTTCCTTAGAGAGGTTCGTCACCATCCGACTCTCTCCATGCTCCGGATCTGACCTTTTTATAGCCTGAGCGGAAGAAGAAATCCGTCAGTGCGCTTGTCGATGGAGAGTTCACGGACGAGTCCGATACACTCGACGACAAGCCACTCCCGTTACGAGCCGTGCTCACCAGACGAGTTCTCATCTCGGTTGGAAACTATGGACTTCTGGCCTTATTGGAAATTGCCTACCTCGCTATTTTGCCACTTTTCTACACTACACCTATCGAATTAGGAGGTCTGGGCCAGTCTCCTGCGCACATTGGAACGATAATGGGTTCTTTTGGAATTGCCAATGGGATATTTCAGGGGTTACTCTTCGCCAAAATTGTTGGTCGCGTTGGGCCAAAACGTTTGTTTATGGTTGGAATGTCACTATTCCCAGTGCTATTTGCACTGTTTCCTGTTATCAGTTTCGTTGCACGCCGTCAGGGCTTATCGCCTTTGGTTTGGGTCTTAGTCGGAGTACAGCTCGCTGTTCAGGTTATCATGGATTGCTGTTATGGTAATAACCCCGGGCACGTCATCATAACCTATCGCTGACGAGTCATATTTTTCTAGGCTGCATCTTCATGTTTGTCACCTCATCCGCCCCGAACAAGCGATCTCTCGGGACGACCAACGGCATTGGTCAAGTGTTGGCAGCTATCACTCGAGCCATCGGTCCTGCGACGGCCACCTCACTGTTCGCCGTGTCTGTTGAGCGGAACTGGCTCGGAGGAAATGCGGTTTACCTCATTTTGGCCGTCGTCTCTAGCATGGCTTTGTTCGTATCCAATCTTCTACCCTCTCAAATGTGGCACAGAGATGATGATTGAATACGCGTGCTTTGCGGATTGCTCGTTCCGCTGGCATCATCTGTCTATCACCAATCTTCCTTCTCTCCGTGCGTCGCCCTCCCGTTTGTGCCTATATTTTTGTCATTGCTGGTGTGACCCCGGCATCCTCGCCATTGAATTTCTAGAAGAAACATCTCATTTAGGGCAGTAGAGTCTTGTACCAATACTTTGGTACCTGAATGCTTCTGGTACGCCAAAATCTCGATGAATTGATATTGCTCTAAATAGACTTCGCTGTTACTTAAAGCGTCAACGGGAGAGCCGTCGAAGGGAATGGGACCATTCATTGTCCGCAGGTTTTGTTCAGATGGAGATAAAGCGGTCATGCGTTCTATTGGCTCCTCAAGCCATTTTCCCGGAGGTGATCATCTTTCTTGCCCTGGAGAAGTGTCGTTTGGAGTTTCGCTTGCTGTGATAGATTTAGTGCAGCTTGAAGCGACAATCGGTACACTCATGCAACACCGTTATTACTCGCTAGTTTCGTTGCAGATGATGTTTTGATGCTACCTATGCGGCTAGCATAGTGTAAATCGGTAAGTTGATCTGCTCAATCGTTCAAGATGCTTCCACTCATTTGCACTTCAGCTATTGGCAGGGTCAACAAAAATTTAGAGGCGTGAATTTGACCCCGCATGGCGTTGGACTGGGACCACGCTTCTCCCCTCGCCTTCCTATGACCCTGTATTTTTCCGCGGTTTCTTGAGGAAACCTTACCTACCTTGCCAGCCAAAGAGGTTGTGCAAGCCTCCCCACAAATTGTAGGTTCCTATTTGGAGTTGACTTCCAGCTGCGGTGCGGTTGGTTTTTTGAGGATTGAATGCGGCCTCGATAACACGCTCCACGACACAGACGGAATATCTGTGACATTCGGAAACTCATTTTGAGCCAATCAACCGTTCAAACTGATTGTTGCTGTTTGATATCTTCTTCCTAGTGGGCTTTCTCATCACCGTGCCTATTCATAACCGAATAGGACAGCTGACACCGATGTTGTAATGTCGGATTGCGTTCGGATGCATTTTTCTCAGCTTGTTCTGTTGGTTAAATCAATACGACGTGAATCCAACAGGGGTCCCCAGGGTTGTTGTCTGCACAATGTGCTGATGCCTCAAACGCCATCGGATTCTATTGACTGAAGTCATTCATGACAAATCGAACGCTATCGGTGCGTGTTTTTGCCGAATACAAACCTCAACTGACACAGGTTCAATACAGTTGATCTTCGGCACGACATAGGGCTTGTAGTGGCATTTCATCGATGCAATGTACTAGGACTCCTTATCCGCGAAGTTCCTATACTATCTTTGGCTCACGGGGGGGTCTTCGTTTAGTGATTCGAGCTGGATGGGGCCTCCTCACATGAGGTTTGCGGCGCGTGGTGCACTACATGCCCCAAAGTTCTCCTACCGCCGAAAGACGCTGCAACGTACCCTGTTCTAAAGATTGCTCTCCAGATTGGACACATGCCTATCCTATAGCAAGTGACTCCAGCTCCATAGCATCCGTTGTGCGGTAGTTATTAATAGCTTCAAACGATTTCGCGTAAGTTCGAGTGCCTGGCTTTCCAGGGAGTTGGCTTCGCAATTGAGAATCAGGATTTACACATGGCCTTCTCATTTCCGTCCAGAAGGGTTTAGTTGGATGTTCCTATACCATCCGATACGACGTATGCTCCACACTTTGCATACCGGAGAAATGCTAACAAATCTGGACGATAATAGACAGTCTCGAGGCATTGTTGGGTGTGCTCGGGACCCGTGTTTGCTCATGCTCGGACGGAGACGCACAGTATAACGCGCCTCCCATCGTTAATCATCGAAACCAAGTACGTACAGTATCTGGGCTATTTTCAGAGTCTGTGGGACGTCCTGATCTATTTTTGTTGCTCCAAAAATATCCCCCTGCCGTTGGAGAACCGCCAGAGAGGTGGTGGCTATATATCATCTTGGACGGAAAGAGACACTTTCTGCTCTTTCAAGCCCTCAGGGATTGAGATCCATCGCTCTCACCCTTGCAAAACATCTACTCCTCTTAAGACCTCTGTCTTTGGACTAGTGGCATGTCAGACTACGTGCATTGGATTCTCGTATCCGAATCCCTCCTTACGCCAGCATTGGTGTGGCTCAACCATGGATCTGGTGACCTCGATTTCGCTCGCCAGATGGTCACTTCACGCTAGTGTTCGGGTGACTTCTTGGGTTCCTTGATCCTTACACCGTCTTTCCGGGTTGAAGCAAATCCCATTCAGTCTTGTTTTCGTAGCTTAGCCGAGTATGCCCCGGCCCCCAACCGCTGCTCTCTGAGCCGTCCTGACATCGTTCGAGTCGTCGAATATACCTCCGTTCCCGCCCGCTTCCAATCCTTCATGTGAGCACCCATACGGAATGCGCTCTTGATTCGACTTGCGAGGCCTCCCGATTGGCATAACTTGGCACCGAATATGTGGGCCTCCGTCAGGTATATAAATGCCCTTACATGCTCCAATCTCAACATCGGCTAATCCAGTAACATCTGCAGCTTTCGAAATGACTACGATCAAGTTCACAAAAACTGTCATTTGCGCCGTGCTCCTCACAAGCCTTTCGGCCGCTGTTCCTGCTGGTAGTGCACCCATAGTGTCGAGCTCCGTCATTCCACCAACTAGCAGCCTCGGCTCTTCTCCAGCAAGCAGCGACGTTTCATCAGTTCCCCCTGCCATAACACCATCCGCTCCCGCCAGTAGTGTTTTGTCCACTGTCAGTTTACCACGCACATCGCATTCTTCCACCGTCTCTGCAGCTGCTCCAAGTGCCACCGTGCCTTACGCTAGCGACGACCCAAACGGAATACTGTGGGGTCCCAACGATTCAACTGTTCCCCAGCCTATCCGGGGCTCCCTTGGCGCAACCGTTCTCGGACCGCAGGATGTTGGCATGGTCAAAGAAAATCCTGACCTCCTCGCACCTCCTACTACCGACTCTGGCAGCGTGTTTGTATCGAATGTACTGGACATGCCTGCAATTATATGACCTTCGTTTCTATCAGATCCAACGCCAAGTGGCCATTTAGCTTGAGTCACAATCGCCTCCAAACAGGAGGTTGGGCTCGTCAAGAGAATAGTGCGTTTTACTCCTTAGTATGAATATTCTCAGCTAATTACTGCGTGCACAGTTGGCGTAATGCCGCTTGCTACTTGTACGTTTAATCGTGCCTGCATCAAGAAATGAAATTGACGAGCGATGAATCATCAGCTATGGCTGGTGTCAATATGCGTCTTGAGGCTGGCGCTGTTCGGTGAATCTTATCGACGGGTTGTTGTTTGAATTATTCTGACCCTAAATTTTCAGTGAACTTCACTGGCACAAGACCGCCGAGGTAAGTCTTTGGAACTGTCTCGTAGACCCAATATTCAATAATTTCACCATACGCAGTGGGCCTACATTCTCAAGGTAAGTCAAGAGAAACTCCTGGTTTAATCACCCTTTTAAAAACGTCTTTACAGGGAAGCGTTCAAGTTACTGCTATCAATACAGATGGCCAGAACTACCTTGGGACTGTCGTAGGCACTAATCATCAATTGATGACCTACCATCTGGTGACCATGAGCATAACAGAACCAGGGCGACTTGTGGTACTTCCCTCCCGGCATTCCTCACTCTCTTCAAGCAACTGCCGACCTGAAGGATGGTGCTGAATTCCTCTTGGTGAGTCATAACGTCAGAGGCAATGTCACAATATACTTACGCCTTTTGCGATGTATCAAAGGTCTTCGATGACGGCGCATTCAGCGAAGACTCCACTTTCCTGGTAAGTCACTTTGGTCTCATTGGATGTGAGGACCTCTCACATTTTTGCAACAGTTGACCGATTGGCTCGCCCATGTTCCTAAGGAAGTGCTCGCCAAGAACTTCCAGACTAACATATCTGCCTTCGACCATATTCCCGCTGACGAACTGTACATTTTCCCTATGGGTACGCCATCCATCCATTATCTGCTATATTCATATTGATGATGTGGATTAATAGAACCTCCCTCGGACAGCGCCTCCGCTGTTACTAGCCCTCAGGGTACCACTCCCGAGCCATACACATTTAAATTCTCTCAAGTCAAAGCCACGCAACTGTCCGGAGGTACTGCGAAAGTTGTCGATTCGACCACCTTCAAGATTTCCACAGGTATCGCCGCCGCCGAAGTGACTGTTGAGCCCGGCGCAATGAGGTACGTATATTCTACGCGTCTTCTCAAATTATTGCTCATTTTTTTCGTAGGGAACTGCATGTAAGTAAATGTCAAGTCATAGCGAAGCACCTTACTTAGCCCTTCTTTCAGTGGCATCCTACTCAAGACGAGTGGAGTTATTTCATGTCAGCTTCGCCATGATTTCTTCCCTATAATTTACTGATATCTATGCTGATAGCGAGGGTGAAGGTCGTATCACTCTGTTTGCATCAAGCGGAAACGCGCGAACGTTCAACTATCAGGTATGCTTTCGATCTTCGTCCTCGCCGTTCCTGAAAATCACTCATAATTTAACAATTTTTAGGCTGGTGATGTCGGTAAGTAGTACCTATGTCGATGTATTTTTTATATGTCTGATGTTTCACATAAGGCTTCGTTCCCGCCTCTTTTGGTAAGCACGTGCTCTTATCCCAGTTGCAACGATACTGATGGTAAATTTCGCAGGTCACTACGTAGAGAACACCGGCAACAGCACCCTTCGCTTCTTAGAAATATTCAAGAGCGGTTTGTCTTCCTCCAATTAATGCTCGTGCGGAATGCTAAGGGTTGGTTGCAGATCGCTTCCAGGATATCAGCTTGAACCAGGTTAGTCGCCTTGAATCGTGTCTTCATATGATATCTCATAGTATTTATAGTGGTTGGCTCTCACTCCGCCGGAGCTCGTAAAGGCGCATTTGCAGCTTGATGACGAGACAATCGGACATCTCAGCAAGACCAAGCCCACCGTCATCGGCCCAGCGTAAGGCGCGGGTTTATTGGTGGTAGGTATCTTGTATTTGATACTATTGTCCGAGTCGACTGTTTTTGTACTTTCTTGAAACCAAAACGGTCCAGCCTTGTATTTTTACGACTATCCATGGCTCCATAGAATGATCAATTACTCGTTATTGTGTCACGCTTGAAGAATGTCCTGTTCAGCTGCTGCTGGATGTGTGTATATTGAAACCCGACGCACTCCAAATTACAAAAGTGTGAAAATGTGACTTCCGTGCTTGCGTGAGGCTCGAACCCCGTCCACGATTCGGATATAAAGTTCAAATATCGAAAAGGCGCAACACTTCATTAAAATCGCTTGGCTAAAATAAGGGAAATACAAATTACATTATTATCTATTATGTATGTTTGACTCACATCATCTAGACGAGAGTGAGGCAATTCTTCGCTCTAAGAACGCTGTCTCTTAGAGTAACGTTGCACTTCCTGAACGTTCATAACGCAACTGTCGGTTTTGTAAAGCTCCTCTGACCTTCTGCATAACCATCCGCGCCAGTGCTGCGCTAGACCTATTTTGGGCTTGGAACCGCCTTTGCCGCAGCTGCAGTGCTTTAGAGACTCCACTTGTTCTTGGACCTCGTATAGTCTCTTAAAGGCCCCTCAATCGTCTATGAAACAACCACTTTGACTTCCAACGACATGTTCAGAAGTGCCACTACCAGAATTGCCCATAGCTCTACGATTCCCTCCCTGGGAGGGAATTTGAATAAGGATCTCCGAGCTCTTCAAGAGCTCATCATTGCCGAGAAATCGGTGCTTCATTCGTGAGTTTCATCACAGCATTCATATGAGAGTGGACGGATAATCTCCTGTACAGATTACAGAAATTAAGCACAGATGTCGCAAAGTCAGCAGAAGCGTTCAGGCATTGGGGATCAGGAGAAGGAGAGGACCTCGCGGTAGGTATTCACTGTTGTCGGACAATGTCCAAGACTTACAGGGCTTCAGGATATCTCGACCGGTGCAGAAGCGCTGTTGGTTCACTTCACCTCTGCTCTGTCCCGGTATGCGTACCTTGAAGAGTCTATTCGTGAACAGATGAAGGCAATTCGGACCCGCGAGGAACAGCTAGATGACCTGAAGCGTCGTCGGAAGGTGGTCGCTTCGAAAGCAGATGCGGCAGAGAGGAAGCTAAGCAGGATGAACCCAGAGAACAAGAACTTGCAATCGCAGTCGGATGCTCTTACCAAGTTGCGAGATGAAATGCGAATCATGGACACCGAGATCATGCATGAAGAAGCCAATCTTGGAGATTTCAAGCGTTATGCTGTCAAGACCTGGATGGGTCTGAAGTTCGGCGGCTTACAGGAGTGTTGTCAGAAGGGAGTGGTGAGTACTTTCGTTCAGTTTCGCCCAGACAACGTACTCAAAACGGACGGTTAGATTGTTGGAGAACTTGGCAAGCTTGTGATTGCCGTAAGTAATACGCTTTCGTCAAATTGAGACCTTCATTAATAGTGCATCGTAGGAGATCCCAATTTCACAGACACAACCAGGCTTACCACGACCCTACTATGCTGGACATCCTCGTACCGAGTTCCTTGTCGCTGAAGCCAATCGAGTCATTCAAGAAGTGCCGTTCTCTCCCGAACCAAACCAGGGTGTTCCCTCTCTAAATCTTGCACGTTATCCTAGCCCAGAATTCACTTCTGTACAACAGTCCCCCCATGCACCATTCCAACCACAACCACAATCCCCGCGACCTCTGTCTGTGCAATACACTGGTGCTGCTGAGGCCGGTGATAGTACCTATCCCGCTCAAATGCCAATGTCTCCACAAGAAGCTCCAATGACCGTTTCTCGCAACGGTCAGGGTCCTGCATTTGGGTCCTCTTCTTTTGTTGGATTACCACAGGTGACTCCTCAGACACCCGCATCAGACTTTGGTCTTGGTTCTTTCCTGAACCAGGGACAAGGGAGTCCTCATGTTGGGGAGAAGATGCCTGAGATGAACGAGTTTGGCGCATACAATGCACCCAGTTCGTATGCTCCGCGCACAAGTTCTATGAACAACTTGGTCAATAGAGAAAGCGCTTCGTCTATGTCATCTCCTATTGAAGCACCAGGAGGTCCTCGTGGTGGTAGATTTGCTACGTTCCCTGTCAAGGGAGGTCCTCGACCTCAACCCGGCACTTCTCCATCTGTATCGTCCGCACCGTTGCCTCCAATAATGGGCGATAGACCTCCTTCTATCGATGTACATCGTAATCATGAGGAATCCTTCTCGTCGAGTATTGCTGAAGCACTAGGACAACAATGGGGTTCGAGCGGACCTTCTGCTCAGCAACAAGAAGATCATCGTCCAACACCGATTGATTCAAAGAAGGCAGCGGCATTGGAGGATGAACATAGGTCATTCAATTCACCTCCGCCAATGTACACACCAGAAGTACCTTCTGCGCATCCCGAGACCAGTACGCATACATCTGGGCCTATCCCACAGGGTCATACTGAGGCTGAGGAGGTCCAACTAGCTTACATGTCCAACCCGGACGACAGTGAAGGAGAGAGTCCTGATAATGCTCCGGATCGGGGAGATCGCAGGGTCCGTTTTGGAAGTGTGCGAGATGTCGATGAAGAGATGGGGAAACGGGAGGTGGAGCAGCACGAAGCAGCAACGGCTCAGCATCCTCCTGCCCAGCAAGGTAAGTCAATATATATGTATGGCACCTATGGAATTATTCACACATATGTTCACAGTCGCTGATATTCAGAATGCCCGTCCCCCGTCGCAAACAACGCAGTCTGAATCGTATTTTACCAATGTTCCTGCATCTTCGCCGGCTCCCCCGGTGGTCGTTGCCCATCGACCACAAACGCCCTCCACGGATGAAAACCACACGGACGAGCAGAAGGCTTTGAACGCTGCGGTTGCTCGCGAAGTTTCCCGTGAGCTTGATGCGTTGATGTTCTCTTCTCCTATCGCACCTCATCCCCCACCACCAGCCATAGACCGCACACCTTCCCCACTCCAGCCTCCCCAGCCTCCATTCGCGCGCAGCGCAGTATCGCCGAGACCGGAAGGTTATCCACCATCACAATCACCTCCTCCTTCCAATCGCCGTGACTCAATGATGAGCCCTTTGAGTCCGAGAAACGAACCTCAGTATGTAAGAGAACGAGATCGTAGTTTACCTTCAAGTCCGTCACAGACAAATACCTCGTATGGAAGTCCTGGGCACGAGAGTCCATTACAGTCTCCACCAAGTATAAGCCTCCCAGACCGCCCGTCACCGTCTGCATCTACAGGCACGCCATTCCGCACGCCTCCAGAATATCCGAGTGGCGGTTCTGGTTCCATGTACAATATGTCCGCATCGACAGGATCTGCCTCGTCGTTCACTCCGGGTGTTGGCGGGAAGATCTCAGCGGCAGCGTTCAAACGGCAGATACGTCAGCCTGGGAGTATGTCACCAGAGATGGGTGGCGGAGACTCGTTAGGAGATACTAATCCGCTCTCGGTGAGGAAACGACCTTTACCGGGCTCCCCCTACCCTTCTCAACGCCTGGTTCCTGGTGACCCCAATCTTGCGATGCAGCGAGTCCCCTCTGCGCCGCAATACGGCAATCCACCACATGATTCTGGTGTTGGGTGGCAGCAGCCACGATCTGTATCTGCCACTGATCTAACGCCGACGGACGATGGACCTGCTGGTCACCAACGTTTGTCTGCTGCGGGTGGGGCTAGTGATGATGACTTTGACTATATTTCTGCCTATGTGAATAATTCTACGAGTCCTCAGCCTTCGCGTACTTCCGATTCCAATGGGCTGCGGTGATTGTTGTATTCTGTATTGTTTTAAATAATTTACGCCACGTTACGTATGGAGTGTCTGACTATGTAGCCTACTTTTTTTCTTTTCTATTTATGTAACGGTGATCCCCTCCACTCATGTACTCAGCGAGCTTAATATGTTATTGTTCAAAGATGCAGCCTTTCGTGTTCTCAAATCACGCCAATTTTGTAGAATGGTCGCTAAATGACGGTGTGCGTATACACGGTCATATCCACAGGAGTTGAGGTCTGAGAGTTAAATGTAAACTAGCCACACGTTATAGTAGATCTTGACTAGATTCATCTTCAACTGTTCGGCACGGTCGTTAAACGCATGGGGCGAAAGGTAACTGGTGCAAGACACTGGACGCATGCATATCATCCAAGCATGTCATTCGAATCCAAGCAAAAGAAATTATTAGAATAATAACATACATACAAGTAGATCATACTTTTCATTCCAGTCCCTTTCGAAACTCTTCACACAACTACTGCGCGGCAGATTGGGCCTGGATCGACTTCAAGACGAATCCCTCCAATCCACCACACAGCCATAACTCTTGTACACTAGCACCAACGCTCCCCACATTATAACTCTTCTTCTCGCCATTAGGCCATATCACATCCACTCGTCCGTCAACCGCCTTGACATCAATTGACACGCCTTTATCCACCGTCAACTCTCCATCTTTCCCACCTTTACCCCGTACGCCGTCCTTTGCGAATTCTGCAGTAAGGTCCGCTACGAGTTCGGGGCACTCGACACATACGAGACCGTTGTTGATAGCATTGCGCTTGAAGATGTCTCCAAAGGAACCGGCGATGACTAGAGGGATCCCTACGGACTTCAATGCGGTGGCTGCTTGTTCGCGGGAAGAGCCTGTGCCGAAGTTGTATCCTGATACGAGGATGATGCCGTGCTTGGTAGCAGATGAAGAGGAGGTGTCATCATTGATGTGATCTTTGCGCAGAGTGGCGACAAGGCTGGCAAAAGCCGGGTCATAGTTTTCCATGACAACTTCGGCCTGACGTTCTAGAGTGATATCGTCTTGGTAGGTATACTTTCCTGGGTAGATCCCGTCGGTGTTGAGGTTGTCCTGAGGTGCAAATAGCAATGGACCAGAGAATGACGTGGGGAATCCTGGAAGAGCAGCCTCTTTCGGAGCTGATACCGAGCTGGATCTAGATGATGAAGTGGGGTTCACAATGGAGAAGGTTGGGGGACTAGCTGGGGGCAGCGAGGAAGGATCCAATGAATCAGGTCCGGCAATGAATCCTTTGACGGCACTGGCGGCGACGACAGCAGGGCTGGCTAGGTAAGCTTGAGCCTTGGGATGTCCCATTCTACCTTTGTAATTTCTGTTCGTCGCGCTAATTCCAATTTCACCCTCTTCCAACAAACCTGTGCCCAATCCGATACATGGTCCACATCCAGCGGGCAGTGGTTTAGCACCGGCAGCGAGTAAGGTCGCCCAGTCACCGTTTTGCTCGGCCTCTGCCTGAACTTCCGAACTAGCTGGTGCGACATAGAACTGTACTCCAGGTGCAACTTTGTGACCTTTGATGACGGCAGCTGCAGCAGAGATGTCAGATGCACGAGCGTTAGTACAACTGAGGAGGTACGCTTTGTTGATTGCAATGTGGGAAGCCTGGAGGACGGGAAGCGGATTCGCGACCTTGACACTGTTAGGACCGGAGACGTAAGGTACAAGGGTCGACAGGTCGAGTACGAGATGTGATGAATACTGTGCGTCAGGGTCTGAAGTGAGCCTGTTTGCGCGAAGTGCATCGAGACGGCGACGGTTGATACGAGGGTGTTCAGGCGGAGGCGGTATCGACGAATCAGACGCAGAAGCGAACGTGCGGAATTCCAATTTCTTTAACCTGTTCTCGTACCATTGGAGCAGAACATCGTCAACAGGAAAAACACCGACTAGTGCGCCCCACTCCGTGGTCATGTTTGCAATAGTAAGTCGATCGTCGACAGAAAGCTGTGGGATAGCGTCACCAGTGAACTCGATAGCTGCATTGAGCACCTCGTCGTGATTAAATGAGCCGCAGAGAGCAACAATAACATCCTTTCCAGTTACTCCGGGCGAGAGTCTGCCCTTGAGTTCGACCTTGACCATTCGAGGAACTTGCCACCATGTCTGTCCGGTCGCCCAAAGAGCCGCACCATCCGTACGAACAATCGGCGTACCAACACAACCAACACCGCCGTACATGTTACTATGACTGTCACTAGCCACAGTGAGGGTATTTGGGAATGCGTAACCCTCTTCGACGAGGATTTGGTGACCGATACCTCTACCTGCAGGGTAGAAATTGACACCATGCTTTCGGGCGAATGCCTCGATCGTAGCGTATTTCTGCAGGTTCTTCGGTGATTTATTTTGTACGTCATGATCCAGCGTAAAGACGGGTTGTGAAGGATTGAATATATTCGTAGCACCTATGGAGTTGAACCTAATGCACACTCGGTCAAAGGGTTATTCTCAGAAAATGAAACACAAGAAATGAAGTATTCACTTTGAGATTACAGGTCCAGTATTGTCATGGGTCATAACATGCTGCGGACGAATCATGACATAGTCTCCCGCCTTCACAACCTTGCCTTCAGGCAGGCCAACGGCATACTTCTGAACGACCTTTTCGATGACAGTTTGAGGAATGCGAGGTCGATCGGTTACTGAAGCATAGCGTCGTATGCCTTGAGCTCTGTGCCTCAGGAGCTGGAAGGCAGATGGAGGGCGCATGTTACCCCGCTACCAACCTGCTCGTCGACAGAGGCAAATGTCAGCAAGGAAGAAAGCAAGAGACGAAAAGACTCTGGAGGAGAAATAAAGACGCGATATTGACTGGATCCGATCTCATTTGGTTTGGCTGAGTTTGTAATCCTTGCTTTTTTATTGGCTGGATTCCAAACCGATCTGGTTGGTTCGTCCATAGGGTGTCAGCCAGCCAGAGGTTGTGCAACTTGAACGTCAACGTTCATGTCCCCTTCACGTTAACGTAAGACTTCAGTCCTCTTTCAGTTCTCTTATCGCTCCTTTCTAAAGTAAACACGCCCGCACGGCAACCACGATCCTTACGATACCAAACATGACTGCTACGAAGAAACTTACGCTCCTTTACTTCCTGGTTCTTTCTTTTTCCTCTGGTTTCTCAAACCCCATTCCCGCCGATGGAACTCCTCTCTCTCTTGAGCCGCCTACCAGCATGGTACAGTCTGGTGATACTTCTGTGACAACTGCTCCCAACGACGCGAACCCTTCTGCCGACCTACCTCCACCCGTGGCTGACACAGGCATTACAACCCCAGACCCGCCAGCCCCATCAGATTCTAGCGAACCGGACCCTGCGACAACTGCGACACCTGCTTCAGCCCCTTGGTCTTCTCCGGTCGTCTTTGAGGTCACTTCGGACCCTCCTACGGACGATGCGACACAGCAGGAACCACAAGCCCAGGAGACCCCAGATTTGCTGTCGTCGGCAGAGTCTGATCTCCCTGAACCTGCCGCCTATCAAACACCTACTCCCACTCTTGAACCCCCGGTCGTTGTAGATGACATCACACCTGTTCCAGCACCGCCGAACGAGCAAGTCACCCCGGATGCAGATGTTGTTCCAGTGGTGGCTGCCCCTGCAACGTCCAGTGACACCCGCACCACTTATACTGCATCTTTCACACCACAGTCGACAGTATCACGTACGTCGTTTACGTCGCCAGCTAGCGCTTCTACGACCAGGCATCTGGTACCCATACCATCGGACGTACATTCAGGAATATCTCCAGCTACGGAACGATCTCGTCGTGCTGCCGTTGTTGGTGCTCTTCTTGCTATATGTATCGTGGTTTCCCTGGTTGGTTGCTTCTTCTGCCTGCGTTGCCGTTCCCCCGGGTTCTTGCGTCGAAAAGCCGCGTCACAGAAGTACATTGAAGATCAAGAGAAGCAGTCCATCAACAGCGAGAAAAATTCTCCAAGTCCGAAGTCTTTATCCTCGGAAGACATGACGCTCCCTGTTCTGCAGTCAAATACCGCTACCTCTGGCACCGCGTTCCCTCAGGAGCAATGGCGATACCTCGCGACCAATAATGCCGGACAATACGAGGATGTCTCACATGCCCTCGTTGGCGGACCGTATACAGACATCAGCCTTGAGTCTAATGCGGATATCCACAGTTCTGCAGGTTCTATTGGTGGTGAATCCGACGTTGCTATCATTGGTGACAGGACAAGTGCTGGTGCTACTAGCACCACTCAGTCATACTCTACCTGCGGTTCTCGATACTCCGGACAAAGTGGTGATCATACTCAAGACATGTCTCTTGAATCCATCGAGTGCCTCCCTACGTTTCTTTGCGCCCCGCCCCCTGTTGCCAAGCAAGGACGAGCTCGATCCAAGACAGTCACTCACTCAAGTGGTAGCCGCCTTGGTACTGCGTCATCTACATCTGCTCTCTTTGCTGCTAGCAAGAGCTACCCCACTAAGCTGTCCTCTTCGTTGGGAGTCAATAGCCGTCTCAGCACTGAAAGCACGCGCAGCGAAGCTACCAAACGTTCTACTGGTTCGGAGTGGGACGTTGCGCAGGAATATGGAAGGTTCAGTAAGGAGAGTATGTTGACTGCGATCTCGGAGGATCCAGAGCATGTGGAGGCCGTTGAGGTTGGGGCAAAGACTTGTGTATTAGTGACGGGAAAGTTCTAGGGGATACACGACATCAAAGCAAACAACAAAAACATCTTCAGACTTCTGTAGTGTATTCATTCCTTCATGAGATATCTCTCGATGTATTGGGGCACAATTATACGTGAGGTTGGAATGCTTTTCATGCATCCAGTGATGTTCTAGTCAAGCGATGTGGCTGGCTTCCGGCTAGTCTGGTCTAGTTGAGGCTTCAGGTCGAAAATGAGAGAAGTTAAGCGTGCGAGCCGAACGTGGGTCATAACACCTGAAAAATTCCCATACCTCTTCGCACTTTTATTCAAATATTTCTCTGAATTTTGTTTATTTGACTCTCATTTTCTGGATCCATAGACTGTATAAAATGCTGGAAGTATATAGCACCGCAATGTTCTATATTGTTCATGTGCAGAAAGATGAATTCAATGCCGCTCAGTACACATGAAGAGCGTAGGCGCCGGGCTGGTGCACTATTTATGGCGACCACTATACGAGGTCTTCTATGTGTGAACGCACTCTACACTCCATGGTATATATATCTTAGCTGCTTTCCTACTCTAATAAGTCCTCAATCTTTCGGCGACACATATACTCCCCTATCCTCACACTCTACGAAGCAAAACCGTTGGATAATCTGCTATCATGTTGCGTACAAGTTGTCGATTGTCTGTGAACCCTGCAAGGAGGGTAGGAGCGAGTTCTGCTTGTTTAGTTTCTCGCCAGATCTATAATCTGCCTAAAGTGAGTAAACTACCTGCTGCACTGCGACTTAGCCATTAAGTAACGGTCATTATCAAAGCATACACCAGTCACTGTAACCTGCTGCCGCAGCCTCCATAGCACACCAAAATATTCGTCGGCTTCGGCAGTTCTTAAACCTTCGTCACCAGAGAATTCCCCTACGAGCGCAGTATCGAGCCACGACCATGATCTTCCTGTTAGCAGAATTGATGAACGAAAGGTCATCGTAGGCTTTCCCTCTGGCGAGTGGTGTCGATAGTGAGTGTATGCAGACATCCCGATATTGGCTTAAATGACATGAATGGCTTTGCAGTCATCATATATGGCTTCGAGACCATTGTCGGTGTTCGGAGTGTTTCCATCCTGTCACCAAACAACGATTGGTGAATACGTTTGATGTACGTTATGTCGACTCTTGATGGTGGGACCCTCTCCTCATTCAATTCCACGGTCATAGATTCCTCATGATGTGAAGCCCGTAAAAGTGGAATCCAAAACCGAAGGCCTTGAAGTCACCTGCAAGTTTGTCGCTCCCTCGTGTGTACTTTGATTCGCTGACGTTTTTTTTCTCATCATAGGGCCGTCTGCGCAGCCGCATACATCCTTGTACCCATGGTCATGGCTTCGCTACAACTCATATGATCCTCCCTTGCCGCGGGAACAGGGTACAGAGTAAGTTCTAAAGCAGCGTTCATCGAGGTCTCAGCAGGTGTAACCCTTACGTGTTTTGACCCTTCTGCAGGAAGATTCTGTGGGGTTCAAAGATTGCGCAATCCCCTCCTACAGTGTCGTACTCTGAGGTAATGGAACAAGATGACCAGGGTCTATTCAAATGGCTATCAAATATCGTAGGTACTGGGATATAGCACTTCCCAAGTGATGCTCACGAGGCCATGTAGGACAAATTTGGCTTCAGCTTTGTTTCTGGAGTCCCACCAACGACGGAGGCAACAGAGGCGCTCGTGCGTCGGATAGGATTTATTCGGGAGACGCAGTACGGAAGGTTTTGGGATTTTACTTCCGACTTAGCCAAGGGCGACACCGCTTATACCACTCTGGCTCTCGGCGCACATACTGATAATACCTATTTCGTAAGTTCCATCGGGTTATATGCTAGCTACACTGTCATCCTCACACTCTGATCTTAACCCTGCAGACCGATCCATGTGGACTGCAGCTCTTCCACCTTCTTTCACATACTGAGGGTACCGGTGGATCTACGCTACTCGTCGATGGTTTCTACGTAGCATCTCTTCTCAAGGAACTCCACCCAACTGCCTATGAGATCCTATCACGAGTCGGTGTACCGACACACGCAGCAGGCGAACCAGGTTCTCTATATACGCCGACTCCTCAGGGCGCATACCCAGTACTCAGGCATGCGAAGGGAGAGCTGGCACAGGTGAGATGGAATAATGATGACCGTAGCGTCATGAATGGCCTTGCTCCATCTGAGTTGGAGGAGTGGTATGACGCTGTCAGGCTTTGGAATAAGTTTTTGACTAGCGCAGATTCGGAGTACTGGGTACAGCTTTCTGCTGGTACAGCAGTTGGTGAGTCATTCATGTTCTCTATATATTCTTTATTAATGTTTTTGGCTGATTATACATACCTCTGATAGTTGTGGATAATCATCGTGTCCTCCATGGTCGGTCTGGCTTCACTGGCAAGCGACGAATGTGCGGCGCATATGTAGGCGTTGATGAATATCGATCCAAATTGGCCGTCCTTCAGGAGAAGTTTGCACCTGATCCGGTCTCGCAGGAGACTGCTTCATTTGCTACTGTTCATGGAAGGAGTCTCTGGAATCCCGCTCTCTGATCAATCCCCGCCCGCATAACGCGTGGTTGGAGAAAATGCATTCTAGCTTGAAGGAATAACTTACTATCCTCAAGGGACTATACATGTACTATGCGTCTGTATCTCTCATCAGCAGCATTGCCTCTTGGTGATCATCATGCTCGTCTCTACTCAACCAATTGTATTTTGTATTTTGCTTATCTTTGTTGTCCGTCCCCGATCCCTTGAATGGATATGCGGTGGGTGCCTTTCGACGGTGCAAGATACGACTAACTTCGCAGCTCCGAACGAGATAGTCTTACACTGTAGACTTTTGACAGTGAGTCCCACTCATTTCTTCTGAGGATCCGACTCCTGGTCTCAATCGTACCGTAGCAAACCTCGTAGACCATCGGGAGCTGAGCTGCTGCTGGTCATATTCCACCTAATTCGTGTCATTCTATTCGCGATATTCACGCCCGACGTCTACTAGGGTCAGCACATATCTTTTCTCTCCCCACGGCAAACTTTGATCGTGTATGGCAAGTGGTGATAACAGGCGTTCGGTATGCGGTCATGGAACCATCATATTCTCACTCTCACTCTTCTCCTGCTGCCGCTAACGTCACGTTACTTCCGATAGCCAATCCGGTTGAGGAAGCCGACTTGCTGATAGAGTTCCTTTTAATTAGCAGTTCTGAGAACTCATCCACAGCGATTCAAAGCCCGTCGCTTTCAGGATTCGCCCAAGTCCTGGACTTTTGCTTGTTGAGGCAAAGCTGTTGCGGTGGCACGGTTCTTTGAAAGCGCCGTACACCTAGTGCTCACCCAGACACTCATTCTGCTTTGTGAGCGACCACAATTTATTTTCGTGCACATATGCACAAGACTAATATGTACCGGCTTGATGAAGGTGGATAATACAACACCATTAGCTGATGGTAGTTGTCCAGAACTAGACAATTGTTCAATTTCATCTGGCAGTTCGCTCCTGAGCGATGACACGACCTGCATTCACAATGCATGACATACCATGCATCAGATGAGGGAACTGTATCGGGGATGCGGTCAGTCAGCATTCGTCGACGCGTACGGGAAGAAGCTCTCATTAAACCTTGCCATCAGTATCCAGTGTCTGTTGATGTGCACATTATATCCCTTATGCTAACTGAAGCTTCAGCGACTATCGACATGACCGCAAGCGCGGAACAGCGTCCAAAGTTTGATGTGTATGGTCGAATCTCACCATATGCGCCACTAAATATCGATTGGTATGTCTCGTGTCTGCTTCATCGCATATATAAGGTACCGTTCTTTCTATGTGTTGCTGCATGGTCCCATGTGCTAGAGGCACTCCTCGGTACCCCGTCGAAGATCACTCTTTTAGTCTAGGCCGCCAGTGGAAGTACCGAGTTCCCGTCCTTCCGATGCTTCTGCCTGTCGAATGCAGCAAGCACCTTGTTGAATTCGGAGTGCTTCAAGTTGACTAATTATAACCTTACGTATTCAGCGACCTCAAGTCAGAACTTTCCTGGCTTCCACGCTTCTTGTCTGCGCTGATCTCTCCGCATTACTGTACCCCTTGGAGTTCAGTATATATAACGCTCTACTCTCCTCGTTGTTTATCTAACTGCACTTCGGCTATTCCTGTATCCATCTTTTCATCAGCTCGTCTCTCAAACTGCATTGTCAATATGTCTGAACCTACTGGGCCATCTATCCGCACCCGATATGCCTCACGCATCTTGCGTGACTTTGTAACTCACAAGTATAATCAGATTCATGGGAATGTCCCCGAAACCTTTCCTCCCAGTGCCCACCCCACGACCACCAGCCTTGACTTACCGTATTGGAAGATTCCCGACTTTGGCCAAGAGTTGTGGGGTGGCAAAGTTTGCATCATCGGTGCTGGAGTGGCGGGTCTTTACCTTGCCATGCAACTGGAGAAAGCTGGTATCATGTTCGACGTGGTTGAAGCCTCGGACCGCATTGGAGGGCGCGTCAATACCTACACCTTCACCGAAGGTGGTGGGATTCCTCACAATTATTATGATATCGGGGCGATGCGCTTCCCAAAGATTGCCATCATGAACCCGTGCGTGCAGCGTTCTGTGAATCCTCCCTTGGTGTTTAAGCTAATAATCTTGGTTACAGTGTCTTCAACCTGTTCTCCGAATTAGGATTGGATGTTCAACCTTACTATCTCAGTCATCCGAGTGCACCAAACCTATTCGATAATGCTGCTGTCAGTAGCAGGTATGAATTTATTGACATCCAAACTTTTTGCATGCTTATTTTGTGATACGAAGTGACATAGACGGTATTATGAAGCCTCTGGACGATGCCATCAGGCCTTTCATTACCGCTCTTCAACAAGATTGGGATCAAGGCTTCAAAGTCTTGATGCAAGCTGATGGCTATACCACACGACAGTGGTTGACTCATCAGGAGTGAGTTCAGACTTCACCCGCCTTTATACTGTCCTCGTCTCTGGTTAACAGTTTCATAGAGGAATGACTTTCGAACAGATCACTCGACTCGAGACGTACAGCACGTGAGTTCATAGTCACTGGTCTTGCGAACAGAAAACGTTAATCAGCTGAGATAGGGCTACAGGACTCTTTGACCAGGCTTTCGCTGAGACGGTCCTGGACTCCTTCGATTTCAACGAAGCGAAGGAATGGAGTCGTGTGGAGGGAGGGACGTCAAATCTCACTGCCGCAATGGAGAGGTCGCTCAAGACCCGAGTACAGCTGAAGAAGCGCGTGATTGCGATTGCTGTAGCTAAGAACAGGCTTACGGTAGAGGTCACGGTCTCTGACGAAGCATTGCCTCGCCAATACGACGCAGTCTTCAATACGACCACGATGGGCTGTTTAGGCCAGATGGACCTGTCCCGTCTCCCATTAAATGAAGGACAACAGATGGCGATCCGAGCGTTGTCGTACGATAAAGCGTGCAAGGTTGCTATCAAATTTAGCAATGCATGGTGGAGTCGCTTTGGTCTTCCCGCGGGGGCAGGAGGAAGTTCAGCCACAGATCTTCCTATTCGCGTCACTGTCTACCCTTCCTGGGACGATGGGGAGGACGATCCTGCTGTGGCAATCTGTTCCTACACCTGGGCGCAAGATGCGACCCGGATGGGTTCTCATGTCCCTGACGGCGGAGGAAAAAATGAGATTCTCCTGGAGCTTGTTTTGAGAAACCTGGCACGGTTATTCCAGAACAAAATCACATACCACGAACTCACCGGCTTAGTCGAAGATTATCACGCCTTCAGCTATTCACACGATCCTGATACGCTGGGTGCTTTCGCTCTTTTCGGTGCGGGTCAGTTTACGAATCTTTACCCCGCAATTAGAGAACCTGCGGCCAACGGTCGATTCTTCTTCGTTGGAGAATGCGCCAGCGAGCACCATGCGTGGATCGTCGGATCGATTCAGAGCGCACGAGAAGCTTTGAAGGAGTTCGGCATACGCTTCGATGCGACAAAGCTGCTGGCGTTGGTAAAACGGGACTCGAAACACTTCCGAGCTGTCGAGCCTGAGGAAAGTGAAGAAACTGTCCTTTATCATCTTGTTCAGTTTGCTGTTGACGAAAAGTTGACGATCGGGGAACCAGCCTAGGTAATCGTGATTTCTGATGAGTGCTTTGCCCTCGCGCTGACCACTTCACTTGCATCAACCACAGGATCCCGGCGCCGTGGTTACAATCCCTTACAGGCAGTCTAGACAGAGGTTTAACCTCTTTTCTTCAGAATATCTCCGTCTAATAGTAGCCGATCTCTTGAACGGTAAGGTGTCTCTCGATACTACTTCGTTCCGTCTCCGATTAGCACTCTCGTTATGTTCATCGACTTGGAAGGGAGAAATGACACCTCTGTATGATAGTTGTCCCCAATGGCGTGGTTCCGTATTTCTGTACAGTATGTAACTTGCCAATGGGGAATGTAAACGCGTTGTTGAATGACGAAATCGCTGGTATGAGCGCCGTTGCATGTCTCGTTCACTATATGTTGAGCCAGGTAACTTCAGAGAGCCACAGCGGAAGAGTTATTGGGGCATCCCATGACGATCTCGTTACTTTTCAAGCTTTTCTCGCGCCATCCCTATTGGGTCATCCTCATTCTCATCTTGTTCTCAGCCAGAGAAATACCGCTATGCATAACTCTTCGACACAAACGATGAAGACTATTCGTGGATTATTTTTCATTACTGGCATCGTCGTTTGTGAATTCATTTCTATGTGTAGCTTTTGTCAGAGCATTCTCCATCCCCTTGATTACTCATAGGACCACTTCGTGTCGGATCGAGGAGAGCTAAGAACCCATATGACCATAACTGAATAGCGTCCGATTCCGTTCCATCAGGAGACAATTCCGCAAGGTCTGCAACCTTGAAAGAGCTTGTAGTGTTGTCGAACGAGTATGACCATACTTCGGCGTATATCTCTAGTTGATCACGAGGAGTGGATATCATTACACAAGTGGATAATTGAAACGCAGAAGCTACTCACGTTCGCGCGCACCATTTATTGAGGTCCAAAGACGCGTTTCGGCGTCTCGCAAGGACTGTACGAAGGTGCTGTTGGAGCACCATGAAGGGATTGCCGAGGGTGGCGGGTTTACATCTACAGCTGTCGTAGTATCGATTGAACAAAAGCCGAGTTGTCGTGCTAGACCTCCCGCCATAAGGCCTTGTTGGAACGACCTGAGTGGCCGAGTCAGACTTCGGCTGTACTATAGTTGAAATGAAAAAGAACATACCAGATGACTGTCCCGTGATAAGCAGCCCGATTGAGGACTTGTATCATGGTCCGGTTGGAGTCGTATGCAGGGTTCGCGACAACCATACCGATGTTGGTCAGTAATCCTGCCGAATACCATTCAGCAAGCAGCCAGACGACGATTAGAAATGATTTGGAACACACCTCGAGGATATGGTTGCAACGCATTGATGACATGCTGCAACAAAGTCTGTGAAATATTCGAGCCGTACATGAGATTGAAACCGATATCCGAATTCAGCACTTCCACATGAGCCCCATCCTGCATCAGCGACAGAGCGTAGTACGAGAAGTCGCTTCCCATCGTTGAAACATTCGCAGACTGCGACAACAACTCTGTGCTTAAATTGGCGGCTTGAACAAAATCTTCTAGGCGACTTTGACTGGTATTAAGGTCCACCTTGATCTCGAACAGAGCTAATGCGCGTTGTTCCCAAGCATCGGCAATTTGCCCCACTTCGGAAGCATCCATCCCAATGTCAGAGATGATATCGGCATTGAGAAGAACCTGAGTGGCTCTCAAAGAAGCTGGAACCAGAGCGGTGTTCACGTCGAAGGGATAAAAGCCATATCCGAGCCCCGCAGTGCTGTCGCGCCAGTTGCCTACAGACTGACCTGGGCGAAGACCGATGAGGTTGGATATGGTGGAGTTCTGGAAGAATGGAAGTGCACGACCAAGATTGTAGGTAATGGTCCTGACAATTTCCTTAAATCAGCAAGGTCTCGAAGTGACGACTGTTCTACCTGTTCAGGATTTCTGCGTACGTTCCGTTCTGCAGGGTCGCGTTCTGGGATAAGAAGGACACTGCACGATCCTTCCCTTGTGGCAAGTCAAGGAGGTAATGGCTGAGAGCTGGAAGCAATAGAAGATCTGTACTTCCGTGATCAGCTAGGTAGGGTGAGCGCAGGATACACAAGGGAAACTCACCCGTGTCGATCATCTCCATATATCGTGACAAACATAAGGACATTCATCCTTCTACCACAAGAAGGATACACTCACTTTGTAGTCGTAAAACGGCTCGTTTCCAAGATCACTTCGATTGTTTTGAAGGTTAATCTAAGTACAGATGAGGTAAGAATACAACTTTTTTTTCTTGCGAGAAAAGGGCCCACGAATGAAGCATAGTCTCCTATAGTAAAGCGTGTTTGAGCCTACGACAAATCATGCACGAACACGATGACCTTACCAATGGTCTCTTCGTGACAAAGTGCACCGGTTGAATTCGTTCGCTCGATCACCGCGCCTAAAACCGCCTCAATCGCGTCCGAAGTCAAGACGGGCATGAGAAGACGAAGAGCGATGAGTGTGTCTCGCCCGAAATACTATACAAAGGATTGGGATCGGAGTATGAAGCATGATGACTGAGCATAAGCACATACCGTCAAGAAGCGCCACCCGCCAGCAAGGAATCTGTCTGTGTACGTGAGGAACGAAACCTGGTTCGCGGACGTAACTTTGCCATCGGACAACTTTTGTAGTGCAGTAGGCAAACCGGAACCCTCATCCTGAGTCTCAGGAAGGAATAGGCTATGTGAATTCAGGCCTACTAAGGAAGTTTCATTGGTGACGACCTTTACGCTGATGGTACCATTGGTACTTCCAGAAGGGAGTAAAATGTCAATAGTGGGCGTCATGAAGGTGCCATTGTTACCAGGGGTGATATTGAACTGTGCATTGCTGTCAGGCGGCACGAATAGATACAAATCTGCGCCTCTGTACTTTGTAGGATCTGTTGTGGCAGCGTTGATCCAACGACGATGTAGATGGACAGACGTCTTATTGTAGGCGGCTAGGGTATAATTGAAGATCTGATGCATCGTGCCATTTCCTTCTATGTAGTCTACAAACAAGTGAATTAGTCTTCTACGAACATCTGAAAGATATCAACAGGCTCACCGCGCATAGCACGTACAGAACCGATGATAGTGACGCCAAGAGTAGCATTGTTATTGAAGGAAAGATCAGCCTGAACGCCCGTATTGTTGAACTCTTCCCTGGCGCTCTTGAAGGTCTCGTTCACTAAGTTCACGGCTAACGACGCTGATGTATTCAATGGAAGGAAATATGTTAGGGCACCGGAGTTCCCAGCAGGCAGAGCGACGATGAAACGTTTTGGTTGAGTGTCAGTATTGTTTGTGCTTGTAAGCAACATCTGGGCGGCAGTGATATTGTCGCGAAGGAAATAGTTATCATTACTGCCTGAGTTCACTGTGAAAGCAAGCTGAGAGGATAGAATGTCTTCCTTCGCGAGGATCGGGCTGACATACAAGAAGAGTAGTTGGATGAGACGGCAGGCATTGGTGAAGAGGTTTATAGTGCCAGTGGTGAACGGGATGGTGCTGACTTCCCGTTGACAGTGGGAGATTTATCATATACGATGGAATGAAATTTTCGAGTCATACTGAAGCTAATCCACCATGCATCATGGCCCGGTAGTGCCAGTGCTGTGGTCAGCTGTTCATAGTATCCTTCAGGGTGTGAATTGAGACGTCACAGCAAAGATTAGAATCTGCGCAATATTTTCATGAGTTATCTTAATTGTATAGGCTTACCGTAACGTACCATTTATCGCTTCCTAGACGTGACGGAGTAGTGGTGACTTCTAGCAGTATCACAGTGTAGCAACGTCGCAGCGCGAACATTGTCGTTTGCTCAAACTTGAAGCGGTTGTAGCAACTTCTACCAGATTAGGCGCTATTGCAAGCGATCGGAGTTAGTATCTGGCGATAGATCTGGGCCAGTCTTCCTGGCCAGTAATTCGTGGAACGACCGTCTGAAGTTCCTCGATACCGGCTCATACCAACCCTAAGCAATTCGGTACTATCACCAGTGTCATCATTCTGAATTCTCAAAGGAAAACATAGGTCTATGCGTTGACTAGCCTCCCAATCTATTCTACTTCCGAAGTAGGATGTATAGGCGGGCTCATCCAAACATTCATCTGCCACTAGGGCACTACGTGTGTTCCTATTTTAATGGTCCACATATGCACAAGCCTGATATATATACAAGCTTGATACGGATGAAGAGTATAAGCTGACCAGTTCACGATAGTTTGCCAGAACCGAAAATGGTCCACCTTCATGAAGTTTCATTTAGCGGTTCGCTACTTAACGATAATGGTAGCAAATGAGGGAATTGCGCCGCGAAAGATAGCCTAAGCTCAAGAAATATAGGCAGCAGGAGAGGATAAGCGTGGCCACGTTGAAGTGGTACGGACAGTTGGCTATGCACGGATGGGGCTCGTTATTCTCACAGGTGGTGCTTCTACGGAACCTTTACCACGCGACACAGTCATGTGGCGGGACTGTTCTCTTGTTTACGCAGTCCGAAGCCGCCCCACTCGTCTACTACGAGAATATAGATTGAGATGCCTTTACAAAAGACTGCCTCGCAACTGACAATATCTTCTGCATATAGGACATTATCTCACACTTAGAGCTGCACATGCTACAGTTGTGTTCGGAAGCCTGGTAGCCATTCGGGTATAACTGGGAAGTTCTTAGTTCAATGTTACCAGACATCGTGTAGACAAGTGTAGGCGCCGCACGTATGGCACTCTGCACATCTACCTACTCAACGTCAACCTCGGTGCTTCGCCGCATCAGGATCGCGATACAACCCCATCCGGACCCTTCTTGCACTCGTGCCACACCTGCTGACTAGGTAAGAGCGCATTCTACGCCATCAAAATTTATTCCATCGAAGTGTTTCTCAGCGTCGATTTTTTGAACTGCCAAATGAATAGGAAAAGGCCATCGAATGGACTTACGTCTTACTTCCTTCTTCGGCGCTTTGTGTGAAGCTGACGCTGTCAATACGCTGCACATTCGCAATGTGCACCTCGTTTGGAGAAAACACTTGACCCTGACAGACGGTGAACGATGACAATGCTCTATCCATGATTTCAAAGATGTCAGCTAAATTCTTTATGGAGTTCCTTCTATCCTTTCTGTCTAGGTAGCCAGACTCTGAACTAAGCTAGGTATTTTTGGCGTCCATTCAGAATGTATTTAAATATCCCATCCTCAACCCCCTTTCACTTTACTGCTGCAACATCCCTTCGACTCGCGAGCAGCTGCTTTCTACCTAGACACTCAACATGTCTGATATCCTAGCACTCTCTAAACTCGAGATACCCAACAACACAGGGCTGTCTGTCCGTACTAGATATGCCGCTCGTATTCTTCGCGATGCTGTCACCCAAACCTACCGCCGCCGCCACCGTCTCGCAGCCGATACTTCGCTCCCACAGTGGCGGCTTCCCGACTCCGACGAAACCAGTGCATGGCAAGGCAAAGTATGCATTGTCGGTGCCGGTGTAGCGGGTCTCTACTTTGCCATGCAGTTAGAGAAGGCTGGGATTGACTTCGATATTGTGGAAGCATCGGATCGTATTGGGGGACGCGTGAATACCCACCACTTCACGGAAGGAGACAAGATTGCTCACGATTACTACGATATTGGGGCCATGCGGTTCCCCCATATCCGGATTATGGATCCGTGAGCAGTGTCGTATGCTGGATTGTATCAGTAACTAATGTGTTTGGACCTGTCATGTAGGGTCTTCAAGCTGTTCAAAGATCTGAACGTGGACATCCAGCCCTATTATCTCTCCAACCCGAAAACACCAAATCTTTTTGACAACGCGTCTGTTACCTCCAGGTATGGGCTTTACTCGCTATATTTTTGGAAGTCTCTCAACAGGCATGGGAAATAGTGAGATGGGAGACATCTTGACTAAGTTGAGCGACGCTGTCGAGCCGTTCATTACTCTTCTTGAAAAGGATTGGGATCAAGGCTTTAAAGCTTTGATGCAAGCCGATCAGTATTCCACTCGCCAGTGGCTTATTCAAGAGCAGTACGTATGGTTGCCTTCACGTTGACCAAACCAGCGACTAATCTGAACGAAGGGGTTTGTCTTTCGATGAAATCTCACGACTGGAGACATATAGCACGTGAGTCTATAACTGTTCAATGAATAAAATAAGTACGCTAATCAGTCTTGTCAGAGGAACTGGGATGTTTGAGCAGGCTTTCTCTGAGACTGTCCTGGATCACTTCGATTTCGATGTAGCCAAGGATTGGAGTCGCGTTGAGGGCGGGACATCCAGTCTCATCGCCGCTATGGAGAGAAAATTGGCGACCACGCCGCAACTAAACAAGCGCGTCACTGCAATCGGCCTATCTTTAGATAGGAACAAGACAGAGGTTACTATCTCCGGCGAGACGTTTCCTCGCACGTACGAAGCCGTCATAAACACTACGACCATGGGGTGTTTGGGTCAAATGGACCTTTCGCGCCTCGAATTGAACTCGCGTCAGCAGACCGCCATTCGGGCATTGTCATACGACAAAGCTTGTAAGGTTGCTATCAAGTTCAAAAACGCGTGGTGGGATGGGTTGGGTGTGTCGCTTGGGTCAGGGGGGTCTTCTTGGTTAGACCTTCCTATTCGCGCCACAGTCTATCCATCCTGGAATGACGGAACGGGTAGTCCTGCTGTGTTAATGTGTTCATACAGTTGGGCACAGGACGCGATTCGCATGGGTTCCCTCGTTCCTGATGGCGGAGGCAAAAACGCTGTCTTGCTGGAGCTTGTGCTGAACAACCTCTCGCGTCTATTCCAGAACCGCATTACGTATGACCAACTCACCCACTTGGTTGTCGATTATCATGCCTTCAGCTTTTCACATGACCCTTATTCGCTTGGAGCATACGCGAAGTTCAGTGCTGGGCAGTTCACCAACCTCTATCCTGCGATAAGACAGCCTGCAGCCAATGGCCGGTTTTTCTTTGTTGGAGAATGCGCCAGCGAGCACCATGGCTGGATCGTGGGCGCTATCCAAAGTGCGCGAGAAGCATTGAAGACATTAGGCATTCGCTTTGATTTGAAGAAACTACTTCATGTGCTAGAGCAAGACTCGAAAACTTTCGAGGTCGTGGAGCCTGGTCATAGCGAAGACACCGTTCTCTATCATCTTGTTCAACACGCTGTTCAAGAGAAGTTGACGATCGGCCGTCCAACCTACTAAGGTACATATCTAATGAGTATTTCTTACCCTCGCACTGACCACCTCCACCAGCGTATCCCGGTGTACTAGTTACCGATTGTTCCTAACAGTAAGGTATTATCTTTCCTGATACTTACAGTACGTTCCGTCCGATATGCGCTTTCAATCCGATTACTCCTGTTATGTTCACTGGCTCAGAAGAAAGTAGTGATACCGCTCTATGATAGATGTTTGCGATGGCGTAGTTACGTACCACCATGACTTGTAAATTGAGAATGTTCAACGATAGAATAGGATGGAATGAACATGAATCACAAATAAGCGCCATTGCTTTTCTGCAGTAAATTGTAGAGTTCCTGTCCCAATCCGGGTTCTCTTGCACTTCTTGAACCGAACGCCGAACTACACATTGGGCCGCACAGAAATGCAATCAACAATCACCCTTCCAATTTCTACAATACAGCATGACTTTGAGGCCGTAATCTCAGACGTTCAAGAAGGAATAATACCCGACGACTCGTTCTGGGTTTCATTCTACAAATCTGGTGAACCGTCAGTCCACGGGAAGGTACACTTGACACTGGATGAAGAGAACCGAGACTTGGTGAGGTTTGAAGGGAGAGGTGGCGTTGTTTTTGAACATCGTGGAGGAGTGAGTACCTGGCTTAGTTCCATACCTTCAATTTATAAGGCAGTGTGAGCCCACTGTATGTTCTTCATAGCGTGATTACTATGTGGCTTGCCCCACTTTGTCTGTCCCGGAAACAAGAGTGGTAGTCCCTTCAAGACAGTACTCCGACCCTCTTCCCAGGTTGGCGTCGGATCAGGTATGGTGTCTTACGTTTAAAGTCACCATCATCACTAAAGGCGTTCGCTCCAGTACCGGAAGATATATGCCTTCGACGTAGCTCCTGATGGCTCTCAATTTGCAGCAGGTTACGAGAACGGTACCGTAATGATCGTTCCTACCACTTCCAGACTACCACCCTCAGCGCACACGACTAGCAAGCCTCATTTGAACACAATAACTTCTTTACGATTCTTCCCTTCATCTCGGGTTCTACTCACATCAGGAGTGGACTTCGCTGTCAATATCCTCCCAGCAGAAATCCCATCATCTGCACAATCTTTGACACCCAAACGCATTACCCCTGTCCGTAGCCTCAAAGGCCATAGTCGAGCTGTTACATCCACAGCTGTCATCTCCAGAGGACGGAATGTCCTTTCTTCAGGAAAGGATGGAACACTTCGTCTGTGGGATGTTCCGTCGGGCAGTCAAATTCGTTCGATGGGTGTGTCTGGTTACTCGCCCGTGCTAGCAATGTGCGCGGGCGAGAGGGCCGAAGGTGCATTCGCCCAACCTCCTAACGGCGAGGAAAAGAATGCTCCTGTTCCTTTGGACGATCGAGAAGTTGATACAGCAGACAAAATGGTATTCTGTGCACTTCAAGATGGGTCTTTCGAAGTATTCGATCTTGGAACCAAGCTTTCAGTATTCCACTCAAAGCCCCCGAAAGGCTCGACGTCACTTTCGTCCATCGCGTACTCGCCTTCAGCAAGTCTTCTTGCAACGGGTTCAAGTACTGGTGTCATCAATGTATATGATACTCGTGCTATGGACGCGCCTCTGGCTACTTTTTCTCGCAACAGTGCCAGCATCGAAGATCTGGTGTTCTTGTCTGCACAGGGTGGGTCGGTTAGTTTGGTGGTAGGAACTGACGATGGCCTTCCCTATATTGCAGACGTCCGACCAGAAGGACCTGCTGTTCATGCTGAGTTAGTAGGACCGGATTGCGATGCAGTCAGATGTGTAAGAGTTGGTGCCCAAGCAGGGGAGGTATGGACTGCAGGAGATGACGGCATCGTCAGACAGTATGAAGGGGCAGGAATATAGGAGAATAATATGTGAATATATTGTATCATGCAGATATGTGTACTGTATAAGACCTCGTAAGCAACGTTGTTTTCACCTTCATGTCTTTGGAACGTATGTGTGTATTTTCTCATTGTAAATGGCGTCATTCGTAGGGTTTCTGTCAAGATATTTCGCGCAAATGCAGTCAGGGGTAGCGGCTCGTATTTTCCCGTGGCGCCTCCTTCTAGTTCTTATGCTCCTGTCTGTGCACGGTACGAACCAATTTTTGTTTTCTCCATGCCTCCATCCCTGCCGCTTGAACTTTCCGATCGCATAATCGACTTTCTCTATGACGACAAGGCTAGCCTTGCGCAGTGCTCACTTGTAGCACACTCATGGCTCCCCGCATCCAGATATCATCTATTTAGATGCGTTGAATTAACTTGCGAGGATGATCTCGAGTCTTATGGATCATATTTCGACATGGCGCCTCATGGGGCACTCGACTGTGCGACGGAACTCAGGATCATTGGGTCACGCTCACATCCGGACAGATGGTCCCCTCAGTGCTGCATAATATTAAATACATTGCTCGGAATCGTCGAAAGACTGCCCAATGTGACATCAATAACGATCAGTAATGTTGACATCGAGTACATGGTTCAATCAATGGAGGCGGAACCGCCCACAAGAAGGGCACTACGGTCATTAGTATTAGAACGCGTCAGTTACAGTGTTCTGGACACCCCAGACATACCCGCATCTGAACGAGTACTCCTTCGGCGATTATTTGGCGTATTCTCCATGATCAACACCCTTCACATGATCAACATCCGTTTCTCCTCATTTTCTGGGGATCCCTCAGAACGGGTGGATATTCCAGTCAAGTGTTGGAGGGTCCGCACGACGGGTTTTCCGAATGCACGATCAGCGTTCCTGAAATTCCGACCTGTAGGACCGCTCCAAAAACTCTCTTACGAGCCCCTGCAACTCGATGAATTTCCGCTCCTTGTAGAGCCACACAATATACAAAGCTTCAGGACAGTGCAGACGCTAGAACTGTGTCTAGAACAATCTGTCAGCAGGTACATGTTATACGAGACATCTTCATGGTCAAGTCAGTAGGAGAGATCATAATGACTCAGGATATGTTCTCATGCTTATATTCTTCGTTTTTAGTTCCTCGCCATCATTGGTATGGATTCCCGTTCTCCGCCTTCCCTGCCCTGGACCATCTCATCCTGAATGCGTTTATGAGGTCCGATTTGTACGGATCTGCATTTCTTTGGGCAATCGTCAATATATTATCGATATTCCGCCGCCATGATTTCCGTGCCACCCAGACTCATCCTACAGCATGTGCCAATTCGATCCCCCTTTTCAATACGCTCACACTTAAACTTCCTATATTCCGGCATATCGATAGGATGCATTTGGACCGTTTACACGACATCATAACCTTTCTGGTAGAGGCTCGTGACTTGCGGGACATTAGGATCCAATTGCCAGATCATGATCCTACGAAAACAGAGTGGGAGCGAGACCAGCGAATGGCAATGAGAGCCGCCTTCCAGGATCTCTTTGATCAACGGTTGTTGGCGTATGAGTCTAAACGCGATTACTTCTAGGTGAAGACTCAGTAGGCATGAATACTATACGCATTCGACACGATATCACGAAGCATTCCATGCTAGGATTTGCTATTCTAGTGTAGCAACTGCCTTTCTGTATATGAGCATTAGCTTCCATATGTGGCAAATGCTTCGGAAGATAACAAACGTAAACAATCCAAATGTGTCAAATTGTATTCCCTACCAACGGCTTCCGATATTCGATACAAGACGGTACATGCGTCGCCATTCATGATTCGTTGAGACATTTGAAATAATACAGGGAGAAAGCGAGACTTGTCACAGTGATGAGAGCACGGTTTGCGACAACAGAGATACCGGTGATCTGCTTGTGTGGATGACTCAAGGGAATCGTTGCGAGGCAAGAAAGCAATGTGCAGTTCGTTCTGCTGGTAAGATAGAGATGTAGAATTAGGTTTATTAACATCCAAGTGTAGAATGAACACATAGAAGAACCTCACATGAGCTCAGCCAATACGCTGCGGTCTCTTCTCCTCTTTGATCGACACCCGCTTCATTGACTTCCTCTGCATAGATGATGCTCGCGGGGCATGCTCAGTTTCCACGGAGTTCGTTGATGGAGAAGCAGATGGTTCCAAGAGGACTTGACCGGCAGCGTAAATTATAAGACGTGCTCCAAGGGCGACAACACCGGCACATAGACATGCTGTTCCCACGAAGACATACACGGGGTACAACGCGTCCAGGAGGTATGTGACAATTCGATACGGTGTTAAGATAAGGGATTCGATTAGGACGCGTATGAAGACGATGACTGGAGCTAAGATGTAGAGCAGAGGTGTTGAAGCGACGAAGACCGGAGTGAGGATGAAGCGCCCCGTCCCCACAAGTGCTCGACCGATTAAGGAGAGAAGTGAACCTATGAAAGAAATGACCCGAGGGAGTACCTGAAGAATATAGACAATAGGTGGTTGATTGGCTACTACGGGCGATGGGGTGGACATCATGCTCATGGTGGTCGAGGAAGACATAGTGCAGCACACAAGCGCCGGCGGTACATACCACTACCGGCCACTACAACACGAATTTTGTTTATACAGGATACATAAAGATATTCGAAGCTGCCGAGGCCGGTATAATACTAGTACAATGGTAAGGACTTCTGCTTTCAACAACGTGAATGCATTGCTATAGTTCACCAACCGAGCTGCTCATATGTCCAACCCCAAACGATGCCTCTCTCGTTCGCTTTGTTGCACAATCGCTCATTCCTATCAAGCGCATCGATCTTCTGAATATCCTCAGAAGAAAGCGTAGGAAGTTGCAGATTCTCTTTCTGGTGTTCCTGGTTCGAACTTTTAGGAACAGCAGAAACACCCCGAGAAATGTGCCATGCCAGGATGATTTGAGCCGGTTTTACCGCATACTTTTCTGCGAGCGCGATGATGGTCGGGTCTGAGCGAACAGTCGCATAACCTGGGAAGTATGTGTTTGTCAACTTAACAGTTTGGCGGAAAGAAGATCTTACCAGTAGGTGTATAGGCAGTCAGGAGGATCCCCTTTGAGTCAGCGTATGCCTTCAACTCTGGTTGAGCGAGGTAGGGGTGCAGCCTGTATGGACCAAATGAGCTTCGAGTGCAGTCCGGCTGCATATTAAGAGGTAACTAACTCGACTTGATTGACAGCAGGAACAACTTTGGCTGTGGTGAAGAGTTTCTCGAGACTATTCAGGTCCAGGTAAATTATTCAGAACATCTATCAGAAGAGACGGCGATGATCTAAGCAGAAAGAACCGACTTCTTGATTGAGAAGTTGCTAACTCCAATAGCCCGAGCTTTGCCGCTGGCGAGGACTTTCTCCATTTCTGCCCAAGTATCATTGAATGTAATCGATTCATCAAGGAGCAGGTCGCCGGCAGCGGTCTTCGGCGAGTCGTCACCCTCTATCAACCGATGTCAAGATTAAAAATTGTTGTCAGGTTCTGTCGTAGAAACTTACCTTCGTATTTCACAGCAAACGGCCAATGCACTAGATACTGGATGTTGACAGATCAGTAGCATCCGGATGTAATGTAAATGATGGACGCATACAAGATCAACATAGTCGGTCCCAAGATTCTTCAGACTCTCGTCGATGGCTTCTTGAACTCGTCCCATGTGATTCCAGCTATCGTGCAGTGTCTCAAATCATCGAACCAAGATCATCGATACATTTTGTAATAAACAAATACCCACTGCAGCTTCGTTGTGATGAAAAGCTCCTTGCGCGGAATGCCAGACTCCTTTATCGCTTTGGCAAGGGAAGCCTCGGTGCCTATTGACGATGAGTATACGAGTTCCTCGTCAATGTGATAAGGCAAACCCTACCATACGCGTACGCGGTATCAAAGTGCCTGTAGCCATTCTGACCTGGACGTAAGCTCTGACTGCATGACTATGGGGTGTTTTTGATTACCTGAATCCCGGTCAAGAACCAGGACCATCCTGCGGCGCGCTCTTCCTTCGTTAAGCCGGCCCAGCATCCCAAGCCTGCAAAGAGACACGGTTCGAGAGCTTCTATCAGCGCTAAGAGGGTTGAAATAACTCGTACCAATAGCTGGGATCTCGACACCGTTGTTTAGCTTGAAGTTGGGGACGGGCATTGTGTTAGACAACGTATCTGAGGAAGGCACCTTATACGACTTCACACCTGTATTCAGGGGAGCTCAATATAAGTAAACTCTCAAACCCTGTCACCGGATACCCTATAATTGAATGCCGTAGCTTCTCGACCCGCTCAGTCAGCATTGAACGTGGAAGAATAGACGACGATCAGATATCATGCTCACACACCTGCCAGTGGAGGAGCTAGTTATAATGGCCATCCGGGCCGCTGGAAACGATGCAGCAAGGATAAGTTTGGATGACTGGGAAGGAAGAAGGCTGAGGGGCCTTGACCGAAAGCATTTGAAGGTGTCGTCTAGGGACACGAGTGTGGTTTTGCGGTATGGCAGTCGTTATGAGAAGGCCATAAGTCATGGATCATAGGAGAACATATAAATTACCACACTTATCTTCTCCTTCCGTTAATTCCAGTGAACGAAATCTTACTCGTTCAGGAAAGACCAGGTTGTCAGAACCTTTGGAGAGTCATATCGCACTTGCAAGCCCTCGCCCCCGTAGGAATGAGTATGAATGTGTCGGAGGGCACTGACGACTTATAAATTCGAGTAGTAAATCATAGATAGAGGGACGACCAAAGAAAGGGAGAGCAGAAACAATCGTTGTATTCGGTTGGAACCCCTATGATACAGATGTGCAAGGTGAAGCTGAAGATACACAATAACGATAAAATCAGAACCACTCAAGCACGCGCTACTACCGTGGCAGCAGGCGGCGCAATGTCTGGAGACTCCAACGACTTCTCCGCTGCAGTTGCAACCGCGGTTGGTGCTGGAGCGATAGACGATTTAGTCTCCTCCGTTGGAGGACTGTGTGTCGTTTTCGCTTTCTTCTTTTTCTTCAACATAGCTGTGACGTTTCGTTAGTTCGATATAAGACTGAATAAGCAAGCTAGATAACGTACCAACAGAGACCGCGGACTTGACATTGTCAACAAGGTCTTTCGTCTGTTCCAGATATTCCGTATCTTCCAGACGGTGCTTCTTGCCCGCCAGAGGATCTGTAGAACCTCCACTTCCGTCCTTGTTCATGCCCAACTTCTTTTCGAGTGCTTCCAGCTTAGCCCTCTGAGCTTCCTGCTGTGCTTTCTTACGAGCAGGCTCACTCTCGATGTACTCCGCTAACCTGTCGTAAATGTCAGTACGTAGATAGCGAGTGAATGAATGAACTCAAGACGTACTTCTTAGCTTCTTTTATGGTAGACAACCGCCTTCCACTCAAGTCACGGCATGAATCGTTGTTGCTTGTCTTTTGACTGCTCATACGACCGCCGGCTGCACGAAGCTGGGACCCGAAACCTCCTTTCCCTCCACGTACTCTCGGGATCAAGCGCAAACTGACGAGACTTTCTCTTCCATTGCCCAAAAGTGAGTATAGACGGGTGTCTGCTGGAGGAATCGGTCCCGAGTGCGGGGAAAGTACTAAGTCGAGGTTATTGGAGTCATTGCTAGGAAGTTGAGGATAGCGCTCCGTCAAGAGGTCATAGAGGTCAATAAGAGACGTGTCCGATGGCACCGAGACCGTCAAAGTATTGAAAGGAGGGAAAGCGGAAACAAGAACAGTAGTGGCCATTAGAGAAAGATAGCGCGGTGTTGAGGACAGAGTGAATGAAGTGTTGGTAAAGGACGAAGGAGGTGCGCTGCTTGAAAGCCTGAATTGGATAGGATCTTACGTAAGCACGCGGAAGCAGTTCAATACTTCCCAATTGGGCGTTACGTCGTTGGTTGCACCACTACAACCACAACTTCGCACCATAGCTTGTGAGCTCGGTTCCAAAACTTGTTCGTTAATATTGGTGAACTTTAGCTGACATTGAGTCCACAGTTATCATGGCCTCTCTACCGACTTTCGTAGAGACCGTTCGCAAAGAATTTCAGCCATCCTTCTGGTGGCCTGTGCAGTTTTGCGTCTACACGACCCTCACGTCCTACATTTTGTCAATCATAACCGGAAATGTTTCTCAAGTCGACCGCGTCTGGACGGTGCGCGACTGAACCACATTATCCTTTAGAAGACGCTAATAGTGCGTGCTCTTTATAGTTCTTGCCTACGATCTACACAGCATATTTCGCACTGTTACCGTTTTGGCCGAAGAATGCCCTACTACCACTGTTCCCCTATACCCCAGAAGAAACATACTCTGAAGCTGCTCAAAGCTATAGTCTCAGAGCTCTCCTGATGCTCGCGCTTGTGGTATGTCCATCGTCCTACAACGTGTACCTTCGAGGTGGAGTGGTGCTCTTACGTCATTCCGTATAATCTAGGTAATCTGGATGTTTAGGTTGTCCTATAACACTTGGCGCCGTGGACTATTCAATTTGTTTGTCGTCGATGTTTCTGGGTTGTGTCCCGAATACTAACGATTACTCGTATTCGTTAGGAACGACGAGGATTATAGGTGGGCTATCTTACGACAGAGGGTCCCGCCATGGTTCTTCCAGGTCGTTAATTTCACTTTCATTGGTAGGTTCCAATCCGCGAGCATCGCCGTATTCCGCACTGATGTTGTTATATTCAAAGCGGTCATCCAGAATATCATTCTCTTTTCATTGGGTCTTCCTACACATATTGCTGCCTTCCAACAACCTTCCAAGCTCAGCACGTCCGATTATATTCTAGCGACGCTAGCTCTCGTTGACCTCACATGCGAGTTCATCGCCGACAATCAGCAGTATTCATTCCAGACATACAAAAAGACGGGCGTACTCGACAAAAACGAATGGCCAGCTGCCAGGATTGCTTGGACGCCGGAGGATGCGAAAAGAGGTTTCGTCACCAGAGGTCTTTGGGCATGGTCAAGACATCCAAACTTCTTCTGCGAGCAGACGTTCTGGGTATGATGATATTGTGCTTCTGTAGCTACACCTTGCTGACGTCGAAGCGACTGTTTCAGGCTATCATCACGCTATTCCCACTCTTGGCTCCAGAATCCCCGAATTTGCCAGCACACCCTCTCTCTTCACCAACCGCTATCTGGCCTCTTACGCCTGCGCTTGTGCTCTGTACACTTTTCTTCTCATCTACTCTGTTCTCCGAGTCAATTTCGCTCTCGAAGTATCCCGAGGGATATAGCGCGTATCAACAACGAGTCGCTATGTTTGTTCCCTTCTTGACTCCCGTCTGGGGTGTCTTGTTGAAGTTGCAAGGCAAGCAGGGGAAAGTTGACGCGCTATTATTCAAGCATGGGAATGATACAAAGGCTTTAGAGAACAAGAAGTCACAATAATGTCGATCGCGATTTGGCATCTCTTGTTATGTGTTTTTCGCTGGGCGTTCGTGGACGTTACCTTCTTGTGTCTCGTTTCGAGTTTGGCATGTTGTTTTGATGTGGTGTTTCCCTAGCTTCGACGTGCGCAAGCCCTAGTGGACTATACCTGATGTGTCTGGTTTTCCAACCAATAGATACCATGTACTGTTCGTGTGAACCAGCCTTCCAGTTGGACTTTTCTTTCACGACATAGATATTCGGCATATATTCTCCTCTTGTATGAGCCTAGTGTCTCGGTAGAGTCGGCAGCCTTGCACTTGCGGTTTGTGTTCAAGTTAGCCGCGATCAATGTTCCCATCATAAGTATGTGAGTGACCTATTGTTCGTGTTGTGACCTGCTTAATCGGACATAAAGCTTAGAGGCTTAACATGCTTTCTTTAGCGCCACAACCACTCATTAAACATATTTAATTGTTCTGCAAAGAGAACAATTGATCGCACAATTCCTCCTCAACACACTGGTCCCACCCAAGGTCTTCGGACGTCATCTATCTTGTCGCAGCCGACCACTGGGCAGAAAGTACCTTAGGCTTCTTTCATCATGACTAGCACCACTGGTCAGCAGACATCTGGGGCCACCGCTATGACGGCTTCAAGTGGTCAGCCCCAAGCCACTCATCCCAATACGCAGGGAATACCTCCGAGAGCAAACTTCCCCCCTCTTTTTGCCAATTCGTTTTCGGCGGCCTACCGAGCTTACCTCAGTAAGATAAACAGGTCCCTAGATGACAAGTTACCCTCTATCGACGGGCGACCGGTTGACCTTTACAAACTCCATGTCGAGATGATCAAAGCTGGCGGGCCTCATTACGTACGTGGCTGCATCCGCTGATTGTGTGCATGTGCATTGATAAACGTTCAGTTTGTCGAAACCTTTGGACGTCCTGTAGACGATTGCTGGGCGATTCTCGCTGCGAAACTTGGCTGTGTTCAGATTCCTGAGTATGAAAATGAACCAGCTAGGTCGGGACCTGCTCATGCCAAGGCACTGGAACGTGTCTACAAGGATTATCTGTTCTCATTCGACGTAGGGTACATTAGAGTGGTCCTTGAAAAGCGTCAACGTGCGACGGCGCAATCCGCCACTAATGCTTCTAACTCTCAGGTCAATGAGAGCAAGCAAGGGCACTCCACGCAGAACACCGCTGTTGACGGCCAGTCCGTGTCAACTTCTGGTGGTACTTCGTCTTTGCAGGCTACCTCTGACATTGCTGGTACTGAGGACAAGAAAGAGGCTCAGGAGCCTCTGACTTTGTCGCATCTCTCTGAGGATCAACTGAAGGCTCGTAAAGTCCGTGAGGAGATGACCAGGAAGATGACGGCCCATAGATCCTATCTGCAACAATGGGCCCAGTCCCAAATGCAATTCCTGAATGAAACTAGGATTAATCATGTGCAGGCAGAGTGTTCTTCGGCAAGTATGTTCGTGATGATTCTAGAGATGATGCAGAAATTCATTGACGGAATCAATAGAGCCAGAAGGTACAGAAGGTCCTGCCGAAACAAAAGGAATGAGCCATGGTTACGTTCAAAACTCTTCCAAGGTGCAATTCAGTAACAACAGCAGTTGACGAGCGGGGTATATGATCGCCCTACTGCCTTTCAAGTTGGGCTCCGCACCTGTTATGTAGCCTCCAGGACCGATCCAGCAGGCAACCACACAGGACTGTATGACTTTTTGAGAGTCCAGCTCCCATCAATGTAAACGGTTTAGCGGATGGATCTGGTTTGAGTGCCACTCTCAAATCAGATGGCTTCATAGTAGTGCCACCAGGGAGTAATGCTACTGTACTGTGATATACTGCGACAAATGCATAAATGCGTAGAAACTACCATGGTTCTAACCTCTGTTTCCAGTAAAATATTTTGGCGGACGGTACCGTTGTTCAAGCGATGCCTGTGAAAGTGAGTTGCAGATCGTCTCAAACAAAGAAATCATCGAGCCTGTCAGCGTCTAATGCGACTCAGTCGCTCGAGTCGCTCGTACGCCGTGCGCTAGCTTGTCGTCCACTCTTGAGGAATACGCTTGTGCAATCCAGTGAGCCCTAAACCTCGTAAGTACTGCAACCGTAGGGACTGGCCTGCTGTTAAGCGGCTCATTGTTTGGCGCAGGACTCCGGACACTCTACGACAGCGTGAACCTGAACATTGAACGTTGAACGTCAACGTTTCCCTGTTGCAGTACGTAAGACCCACTTTCTAATGTATTTTGAACTCGTTCCGAGTTATTTTACCGCTATAGTACCGATTTTTAAGATACGCCAAAAGGGTCTTTCATCCTATGGTCAGGTACGCGGAATACAACTAAGACATATGAAAGATCCCACTGTGGAACCATCACCGTCCCCGAACCTTATGCTCTCGCTGGAAGGACTCCGTCAAAGGACGAGGACAAAGCCGGCTGCCAGTAGGATAATGTTTTTCACGCGTCGTGCCTACAGAGTGCTACAGAGTTAGATGATGAATGAAAGCTCGTCACAGGTTAGACATCAATTCAATTTGATTCTGAGCGAAACTCAAATCTCCATTCTAGGTCGGCACATTTTGCTTCAGATTCGTGAGTAAATATGCTCTCTTCATTTATGTGATATTAACATCCAACCTTAGGGTGATCTCTCAACCAGTCGAGTAGATCTAGAAGGTATGACAAGACGCATGCTTCCTTTCGCGATCAATATTGCAACTGCCTCGAGTAGAGCGCGTGTTTGCCCTTGCGCCGATAACCATCACCGCTGCAGAGGCTTCTTCAGCTGAACCACAATCGATTAACCTCCCACCAGCACAAGCAACGATGGTGCAGAATGAGCTTCAGGGTTCGCAGGGAATGCCCAACTTGAACGATCCGAACAACCAGTGGATGCCTGGAACCCCTCAAGACCCTCCGTTCATTACGCTAGGAATATTTGTACAGCGAGCCGTCGAACCTCTCCCTCCCGCGGCGTTTGCAGCGGCGTACTCAGGTTACCTCAACAAGATGCCTGCAGAAAAGCGAACACCTTACATGGAGGGGCGATTGGTTGACCTTCACCTTCTTCATACCGAGATTATCAAGGCTGGTGGACCACACAACGTCAGTCAATTCAATTCATAGACTAGGCATATGATATTGATGAGACCTCAGATTGCTGATGCCTATGGACGACCGCTGGACGACTGCTGGCAGATCCTTGCTGCGAAGCTCGGTTTCGTGCAGTTTCCTGGAAATGATAGGGAGCTCCCAATGTCGTCGCCTTTACATGGTGTTATGCTGCAGCACTTCTATGCGGACTATCTGCTCGGATTTGATGTAGCGTATATAAGGACATGTCTGGTGAATAACGGGACATCTCAACTTGGGGTAAAGGGTGCCAACTCTGCCGGGGGTCAAGTTAATGGGAACATGGATATGCACCCGATGCAGGGCAGTTCTTCTGAAGGCCAAGCCGTACCCACTGGCGTTCCTACCCACAACCCGCAAGCTATCTTTACCATCGCTGGTTCTAGGGATCCAAAAAAGATCCAGGAGCTTCTCATGTTGGCGCAGCTGCCCATGGACGAGCTCAAGGCTCGTAACATCCCGGAGGAGTTGATCAAGAAGATCGCAGTGCATGGACCTTATCTGCAACAATGGGTGCAATACCAAAGACAGTTCAACAATCGCATTAGGAGCGCGCAGTCTGGGCAGTCGTCAGCGGGCATGTCACAACCTCCGAGACCGACGATGGTGCCTCCGACTATGCCTGGTCAAGTGCCACAACAAGGTCAGATGTCTAACCATAATGCACGTCCTGAAGATGGTATGGCTGGTACTTGGGCTGGTCAACAGCCGAACCAAGCGCCTTCGTTGCAAGCTGCCAACGCCTGGGACCGGCCACCAACGCAAGTGATCCAGAATATATCGATGATCACTTCGTTGCAACGTGGAAGAGAAGAGCTGGAGAAATGTGAGCAACGGCATCAGTCGATTGCGCAAAGCCTGCAGTTGGCTATCCAAAGACAGCATCAGGTCGCGAGCCTTCGAGAAGGGAACGAGGTTTTGTACCAACAGCACATGCCCCGCCTGACTGCCCAAATTGGGTTGATGCGGATGATGATTGCGAGGATCGACAATTTGCGACTTCTGTTGCAGGCCCGCATCCAGCAACTGCAGCAGCAGGAGCACCAGCAAGGTGACATTTCTACGCCTGCGGTGTCGGATACTTCCAATCTGTGAGTGATCCTCCATTGTTACCTGGCTAACGACCAGGCTGACGTGAAGCTTTTTTAGGGACGCGACGTTGTCCGGCCTAGAGGATGAGCTTGAACGTCTGAATATGTGATCCCAGCGCTGAATTAAGTATACAACTCTCCTTCTGATGTCCCTTCCGCGGTTGGATAAACATCCTCGATCGCTTTCTTTTCTAAAATATATCCAATTCAGAGCTCGTTGGATTTTCACGCACGTCAATTTAAGTAGCCTGAGACCGAAAAAGGGTGCGTGAGAGGAATTGATCTTTCCACGATCTGGCTGAAATCGGTTCTGAGTTCTAACTTGTACGCATCCACACGCTTTGCAACTGGATGCCTTTCCGTAGCTGTTTGGAACAAGGGGTGACGCCGATCTGAATCTTTGACCTCACCCACGTGGGTAGGTAGGGTCCCCACTCTTCTTGATGCGTTATATTCGACAAGCGCCAGAGCAATCGACTTTCTCCTGCCGTGTACTGAGTCGCAATTCTGAGCTCATAATCGGACTCAGAGGGCTCAAGAACCTCTGAGCAGATACCAAAATCATGTATAGACGGTAGGAATTGAGGCCACCACCAATCCACGAGAAGTCATGCTAAGTATATTATGTAATATGATAAGTTCTGCTTCTCATGGACATAAGGTGTCGTCCGATAACGTTGAATACACCGACAGATTCCTGACGTAGGACTGAAGGTGCGATCTTCTGAGCTTTCATGGCAGCTATTGACCCATTGTACCTGTTGTCAAGAAGGTCCCCATTTTTGGATGACCGAGTAGCGTTCGTGAACTTGAATGGCATGGCACCTGTGCCTCATCCTCATTCACAGTCCTGCTTGTGTCGATCATTCTCTGGTCGGCGTCGCCCATTATGTTGTCACACTTTTCCCTAATCCTAAATTGAAAGGGATTGTGAGTGACGACATGAACGCAATAAACTCGATGCTTGACTGGATGCATTAGTGCAGTATTTGTCGAGGTGTTTACCAGCTTTGTGGTTTGCTAATCTCGCCCAGCGTAAGTACTACTGACTTATTCAACTGAGACGGAAATTCTCGCATTCATGTAGTAGCAACTCTCTATTTGGAAGAGAAACTGCTCGTCTCTCACGGCATTCGACTGAACGACATTTCTATTAATGCAGCATCATACGGCAAACCTCTTGTGATTCATTCCGTAGTAAGTGGATCCTGATATTTCTGCCATATATCATGTCGGATTTGGTCCCTGCACTCAGATCACCCACGACAACTCAGTTCCTATCCAATCTCTCGCTAGTAGTACTGCGAAAGCATCTTCACATTCCCAACTGATCTTCGGTGCAGCGGGCGTATCAGCTTCACAATTACTAGTAACAGAGCCTCTATGACATTTCCTCCTCACAGCTAAATGAAGATGGACCCTACCATGTCTTCGCCCGAGTACCATTCTTCCACCTCAGCGAGACAACTCAACCACTACAACAATCCAAATTCTACCTGACGTTACAACAGTAGAAACCAGCTTCATTTTCTATGGTCCTGCTCATACATATCGCAGATTCGGGGTATATAAGTGTATTCCTACTGAATAAATAATTTCCTGAAAGGCGGTGATGGACGTTGATCCCAATTTCGGCTTTGCTACGGCAGAGACTCTCGCGTGGCCTCTCCATGGTCAAAGATTCAGATCGGCGTCACCCCTTGGTTTGGAATGCGTTCTGAACAAAAAAAACCAGTATAAACCTCCTCAGACGCTTGCTGGCCGAGGAGCCGTCGAGCGGTAGAGCGGGTACAAGGTTTGACAAGATGCAGGACTATTAATAGTACAACCATCTGAGGCAGTATAGCGCTCTTTGCAACTAACCATCACCCCCGAAGGCATTCTCAGCGCAACCATAATTGATATCCTTCGCTAGCGCAATCAAATATGGTGCAGAACGAGCCTCAGTATTCGCTGAACGTGCCCAACGTCAACGCTGATGGCAATCAGTTGACACCCGGAACTCCTCAGAATCAAGACCCTCTGTTCGATACGTGAAGAATACTTCCACGGGTCTCCGTTACTCCTCTTCCTCCCCAGGCGTTTGCAGCAGCGTACTCAGGCTACCTCAACAAGATACGAATGCCTGTAGAAAAATGAACACCCTACATGGAGGAACGGCCAGTTGACCTTCACCTTCTCCATACCGAGATCATCAAGGCTGGTGGACCACACAACGTAAGTAAATTCAATTCATAGACTAGGCATATGATATTGATGAGACCTCAGATTATTGAGACCTACAGACGACCTCTGAACGAGTGCTGGCAGATTTTCGCTGCGAAGCTTGGATTCGTGCAGTTTCCTGGGAATGATAGAGAGCTCCCAATGTCCTCGCCTGCATATGGCCATATGTTACAGCAGGTCTACAAGGCCTATCTGTTCTCATTTGATCTAGCATATATAAGGATATGTCTGGCGAAGCGTAAAGGGGCATCTCAGGTTGGGGCAAACAGCGCCAACCCTGCGGGGGTTCAAGTTCACGGGAACATGGGTATGCACCCGATGCAGGGCGGTTCTTCTGAAGCGTCTTCGATGCAAACTGTCAACACCTTGGGGCGGCCACCAGTCCAGATGATCCAAGATGTATTGATGATCACTTCGTCGCAACGCGGAAGGGAAGAGCTGGAGAAGTATGGGCAACGGCGTCAGTCGATCGCGCAAAACCTGCAGTTGGCTATCCAGAGGCATAACCAGCTCGTAAATAGTCGACAGCAAGGGAACGAGTCTTTGTACCAACAGCACATGCCCCGCCTGACTACCCAAATTGGGTTGATGCAGACGATGATTACAAGGCTCGACAATTTGCGACCCCAGTTGCAGCTCCGCATCCAGCAACTAGAGCAGCAGGAACGCCTGCAGGGTGACACTTCTACGCCTTCGGTGTCAGACGCTTCCAACCCGTGAGTGATCCATTGTTATTTGGCTAACGACTAGGCTCACGTAAGGTTTCTTAGGGACACGACGTTGTCCGGCCTGGAAGATGAGCTTGAACGTCTGAACATGTGATCCAACACTCCCTTTCCCATAGAGTACAGCAACACCGCCATTCCAAGGGTGCCCAAGAAGTGTCTGCGCGCTCGTGATACATACCCATAATGTACCCATGGCCCGCGCGGGTTTTCTCTGCCTTTGCATATCACAATGTATTATGTTCAGAATCCAAGGGGAAAAGAAAGTATCTAAGATAGAGATAATCAGTGGTAACAGAGTCCTAGTCAACTGGCGACTACTAGTACCACAGCCTAAGACACACTGGGATGGACCTGTGAGTGAAGAGCTTAAGTTCGAGCAGTTCATGAACTTAGTGTCGCTTGATCGGTGGACAAAGAGATAGAAGTTCCAGAACGGCTGGTGACTACCTCCACCCAGCAAAGAATCATTCTTTGGCCGGAGAGGATGATGGATCAAGAGCGCCACCTGCACCAGAGCTTTCAGGACCTACCGGCTCAAGTTCAGAGTCGGTTTGACACAAAGAAGGGTTCTCATAACATCATGATCATAGTGTCGGGATCTAGGATACAGTCACGTCGGAAGTAATTAAGCGGAGATGGTAACCTCAACCTCGACACCAGGCTCGAGAGAGATGCTAGTCTGTAAAACAACCAATTGTCAGAATCACTTCTAAATTGGAAAACATGACTACGCACGATCTGCTTGACAATCTCACTAGAAGAATGAAGGTCGATCAAACGCTTGTGAACCTTCAACTCGAAGCGGTCCCAGGTCTTGGAACCCTCACCGCAAGGCTTTTATTTATTGCATTATTAGATACGCGGGAGTGAAATATAACAAGGCGAAGGAAGACATACACTCTTACGGGTGGTGATCTTTAGGACCTTGGTGGGAAGACGGACGGGGCCCTTGACACGGAGCTGCTTGTCCTTGGCACGAGCAATCAGGTCAGCAGAGACTGTGAACGAATCGTCAGTTTCTCTCTCACGCTTTCAATTCTATGTACGCACACTTCTCCAAGTTCTTGACATTGCTGCTCGTGAGCGTGATGCGGATTTTGTGGATTTTTGCCTGGGGCACAGGGGCGCCCGTAGCGTCGTACTCTTTTTCACCCTTAGCGACGTAACTCATCCTGGTTTTGCTGGAGAGTCAGATGGTGACTAGAAAAACATCGTAAGCATTCCAAACGTAGATTCTGCTCGACTCTGAGCGAGGACTTTACTGACCTGAGGGTTGTAGTGGTTTGGTGTATAGCGGCGAAAAATAGAGTTTTGGAGGATCAATGACTGCGGCATCTGCCGACATTCCCTTTACGGGATATGGGCGCTCCACGAGGCGAAGGAGCGCTTACCAACTACTTGCTTCCGTCTGTCATGCAAGGTGAGCGAACTGTACGTGTTTGACTGATACATGTGCTGAATCTCGGACAGGCTTCAACAAGTACTATCCTCCTGACTACGACGGCGAGAAACACGGGAGCCTCAATGCTTACAGAGGCAAGCATGCACTCGGCGATCGAGCTCGTAAGCTCGACCAAGGCATCCTGATCACCCGTTTCGAGCTTCCATTCAACATTTGGTGGTAAGTTGCACGTTTTAAATGTGATAATTTGATCCTGAACTTTGGCTTAGTGGAACATGCAACAATCACATTGGTATGGGCGTCCGTTACAATGCGGAGAAGAAGAAGATCGGGAACTACTATTCGACACCCATATACTCGTTCCGATGCAAATGTCACCTTTGTGACGGATGGTTTGAGATTCAAACTGACCCAAAGGTAACAAAGTTTATGACCTTGTTGTGAACACATGCTCACCTGATCACTTAGAACACACGTTATGTTGTCACTTCTGGAGCGAGACAGAAGGAGGAAGAATGGGACCCAGAGGAGAATGGCGGATTTGCAGTGCATGGTAAGCTACCCTCTCAAATTAAGGTTTCGAATACATTATTGACTTCGGATTATCAGACACCGAGGGCAAGGATGGACCAGTTGATCCTCTCGCAGCACTTGAGAAAACAACGGAGGCGCAAAACCACATGAATAATGTCCAGAAGCCTCGTTTGGAATCGTTACAATCCCTCGCAGATCATTACGGATCAGATCCATACTCACTCTCTATCAAAGCTCGGAAACGTTTTCGGGTGGAGAAGAAGATTGACAAGGAGAAACAAGCCGCAGATGACCAACTGAAGGGAAAGTATGGTCTTCCGGAAACTTTGCCCTTGCAGGACGAGGACGAAGAGATTCGGTCACAAGCGAAAGACGATTGGCTGAAAGGCAGACTGGCGCTAGAGGCAGAGCAGAATACGAGGAAACGAAAGTTGGTGGAGATTAGTGTCGTCCCGCGGCTAATCCCCTTGTCGAGCACCTCTTCTGGACGATCTTTAAATAATTCGACCGCTGCATCAGATCCAGTTGCTTCACTCCGCGCACGGATATTGGCGAATACTGCTCGTCGGAAGCCTCCAGACAGCAAGTTGGGTGTGTTTCGGAGATAGATCTTGCATTCTGATTTCATTTTATCTTTATACCACTGTATTGTAGCTGGATGGAATTGGCTGTAGCTTTAGCTTGTAATTCATGGTAGTCTCTGTCTCGCAGACCTTTAGCTCCAAGTCGCCGGGTACTCTGGTAAGAAGACCAGCGACTAGGCATCGCGCGATCGCTTCCTCAACCCTCTGAATGAGCCAGATGTTGCGTTTACATTGATACTGGGAGTTGGGGAAAATGACCTGATTTATTTCCGTCTAATGCAATTGCGCTGGTAGTACAAAAGGAGATGTTCCTGCATTATCCGGTCCCAACTCACCCAGGGTTTACAAGCTCTCATCCGAAGTCTTATTCTCCTCCGGCCTGGCTAATTTCACCAACCATTGAATGCCTTCCTCCCAATCATTATGCCAATCCTTCGAGATCTGAGCCTCGGGAAAGAACCTATTCCCAGCATGGGGTAGGCCCGGATACCTGCAATAGAGCCCATTTCATCATTGTCAGCAAGCCACTCTAGTTTCCACTTATGAGAGTGAACGTACTCGTCGATCTTTGTCTCCACACCCGACTGGTTTAGCAGCTTAATCAAAAGCCGACCTTCGTCGCGCAAGGGATCGGCTCCACAAACTTGGACGTATGTGGGAGGGAGATTCGTGTAGTCTTCATTGAGGATGATGGAGAATTCGGGATGCTCCAAGGGTGCTCCATAAAGGGCTGATTAGAGGTCAAGGTGAGCATTGAGGCCTGAGGGACAGCGAAAGGGACGACAAGTACGTACTGGCAAGCTTCGCGAGTCTTTCCATGTTCATCAGACGCGCGGTTTTATGAGTCACACGAGATTTCAACTCAGACTCATACCTAGACACTGTCAACGTCTCATTGCTCGTGCATAACAAGTCTAATAAAAACTTACTTCTCCGGACACAATTCAGGATGCAACAAAAGTGGCGCCTGCAAACCAAGGCCCGTAGGTCTCCGGCCTTCAAAGAACGGATCATCGCGGGCACGGAAAGCGAGGGCTGTAGCTAAGTTCGCTCCAAAGCACATCCCTGTCATGATGAAGCCACGGTCAATAGAGGCGGAGAAAAGGGACGTATGCTCCGCAATCTATCCAAGTACGAAAAAATGTTTAGAGACCAAGTGATATGCGGAGGGGAGAACGTACCCATTTCAAAGCGTTATAGCAATCGTTTAAGCCTGTTGGGAAGGGGTTCTCAGGTGCGAGGCTGCGTAAAGAACATACGAATAAGTAGATGCAGCGAGAAAGGTGGATAGGGCGTCACATGCTTACCGATAGTTCATCATAACGACGGAGACTTTCGTGTCTACTGCATTTCGTCTGAGATACAGATCGTCTATGTCGTATGACCCAGAAACGCCGCCTGTGGCAGAACGTTCAGGAGGGAAGAAGCCATGGAACAATGTGAGTGCAACTGACCAGCGCCGAATATCCAAACCATCAATGGGAAAGGTTCGTCTGAATCATCGTTCGTAACAGGTACGATCCCACGAATGGCAATATCATACCCATCCACCGGTATGCTGAAGTCTCTGATCTCGTACTCCTCATCTTCAATTCCATCAGTAGAGATGACAAGACGAAGATACCAAAGATACTCACCTTTAGGAAGAAAGAATTGTATCTGGATTGCCCTCGCTTGCGGGACTAATTCGTTCTCAAAGTGCCATCGGCGACCATTGAGATGGGCCGGTTGAGGTCCTGTGCGAGGAATCTGAGCAAGAAGTTTACCGAACTCGTGGTCTAATTGCTCCCATGCGACATGATCGTGTGGTGGGAGCTCCTTTCGAGTTGTTGTCGTCATTGGAGCAGATTTCTTCGCGATGACCAGGAACTTGCAAAGTGGTGGGAGAATGGGGTATGCCTGTAAGAAAAAGAGGGATGAACAGTGCCTTATATACCTGGCCTTCGATATCTTCATGACTACGCCGGTCGGTGTCGGTCAATGTGGATAAGAGTATCCACCGAGCTGACCGTTGAAACATTCAGGATTTGAGACAGGAGACTCGAGAATCGGGAAGCATGCCCTTGCTTCGTAGGCACGATCTCTATTGCAGAGGGGACGAGCCCGGCGATGAAATATAGGCTTTGCCGCCTTGCACCTTGGTCATATCCACATCATGTTGCGATTGAAACAAGTGGCAGATTGAACCAAGTGAGTGAGCTGAAACTGACGTCCCAACCGACGCACCCCGGAAGTAAAGCTCTAGCCTAAATAGGTAAGAGCACATCCAAGAAAGGATATTTTGCAATGTAATCCTCTCTGAGTCTCGGGGAGCTGAAGTCTTTTGCCGATGCTGCAAGCTTGTGAGCTTTCTGGAGCTTTCAATTATTATGTATCAGTGCCTACATCTGGAGATGGTCCTCGAGACACAGATGTCACGAATTTCTCTGCGACTTGAAGTCATAGCGACAAATTCCTGAGTTCAAGCCGGGCGATTTGAGGACCAGCCGCTTGTTCTCGTGAGACATTTCTAGCGATATGTTTGAAATGAAATATCAACAGCAATACTGAGCGGGAAAAAACCAGAACGTCTCCGAGTCCGTTGTATCGTACGTGGACGATATTGCAAAAGGGTTAAGAGAGGATATATCTGTTGAATAACACTATCGAACGTCACTCCTATTGTTGCGAAATTAGTCTCTGTGTGGCATAATTGGCCCTGTAGATCATCCGATTCGCTGTTTGCATGCGGTTAATGATCATGACTATGTCCTTCTCATGTTAGGCCGTTGCGAGAAGATGGAGTTAATAGATTGAAGGGGTTATCTTATCAGTTACCCAATAAGGCAGCATTCCAGATTCTCACGGTGGGAAGCTGCACTGCGACTCTGCTGCGACTCGTGCGAGAAGTCTGACTGAACTTGCACTCTAGCCACTTCATGTCTGGGCTTAACTTAGAATCATTTGCAGAGAATGCCTCCAGACTGGGAACGCGACTCCAAGAAACGATCTCTGAACACACCAGAGATCTTTCCATAGCGCGGGCTTCAAGTGCAGGATACCTTGACACGCCTGAGGAGAAAGTGAGGCTCATTCGCAAGCAACTCGACTCGAATAGCGATAGGGAGAAACTGGATGCTATGAAACGCCTTATTGCGGTACGTGGCCCTCGACGTGGTTCTCTGTATGGAATCGTGAGATTCATTTATGTAGCTCATTTCCAAAGGTCGGAATGTCTCCGAGTATTTTGCTCAGGTGGTCAAGAATGTAGCCTCGCATAACTTGGAGATTCGAAAGCTGGTCTACATCTACCTCTTGCGATATGCAGAACAGGAACCGGACTTGGCTTTGTTGTCGATCAACACATTTCAAAAGGACCTTTCAGACCCAAATCCGCTCATACGTGCTATGGCACTTCGGGTTCTCTCTGGGATCAGGGTACCAATGATCGGCAGCATCGTTGTCCTAGCCATAAAGAAGTGTGCTGCAGATATTAGTCCCTACGTCAAGAAAGCAGCGGCACAAGCGATCCCGAAGTGTTACAGGTCTGTCGAACGTCCATCGTTGCCTCCGTTATGAAGGCTAATTGGGTTCCTGGATTTAGCTTAGACTCGAGCCATCAACCTGAACTAATAACCATCATCTCCACCCTACTCCGAGACCGGTCACCGTTACCCATTGGTAGCGTAGCCGTAGCTTTTGAGGCTGTCTGCCCTACGCGCCTCGACCTTTTCCATCAACATTACCGACGTCTATGTAGGACCCTTATAGATATGGATGACTGGGGCCAGGTTGACTTGCTGAATCTTCTGGTACGCTATGCGCGTACGATGCTACCTCGTCCGGTTATAACGGAAGATGCGGACGGACAATCCGAAGAAGTTGACCCCGACCTGAAGCTGCTTCTTTCTTCGGCTGAACCGTTGTTCCAGTCCAATAATCCTGCTGTTCGTATACAAGTTTAGACTTCAGTCACCTGTCTACTGACCGGTGTCATATCAGGTCGTCTTGGCTGTTGCTCGCGCATTCTATTATCTCGGGCCACCTTCAGAGATGAAGAAAATTGTCTCTCCGTTACTTCGTCTCCTCCATATCTCTCCAGAGATTGAGCGAGTCACCCTGTCATACATTCTCGTCGTAGCTCGCTCCTCTCCAGTGAGTGATCTTCAAACATTGGTTATTTCATACTTAATCATACGATCTTATCGTAGTCATTGTTCACCCCTCATTACACTTCCTTCCTTGTTAGGACGGATGACATCCGTCAAGTCAAGAAAGACAAGATGCAACTTCTACGACTCCTTATATCCGCGGAGAATCATCAAGCATTGCTTCGGGAGTTCATTGTAAGTATTTCACAGTATATCCGCGCTCATCACCAAGTTCAATCACCTGTAGTACTACGCAGATGACTCAGACGACGATCTCGTCGCCGATGCGATTCAAGCCATTGGCTACTGTGCTCGTCTAGTTCCTGAGTCGACTCAGCAGTGCTTGACCGCCCTGATGTCATTCATTCAAAGCAAACATGGTACGCCAACTTGTGTGACACGTGCATACTTACTCTCATATCGCGTCGGTCAGATCCTGTCGTTGCAAACGCGGTGCTTGTCCTGAAGTCATTAGTGCAACTCAGTCTCCACCATCACCAGACCTTGACAATAGCCTCAACATCTGGAGCGTATTCTCCGATGGCAATCATCTCCCGCCTCGCGTACCGGATTGAAGAAATACGTCATCCTAAAGCACGAGCGTGCGTTCTATGGCTCGTTGGTCAGTATGCGTCTATTGATGCGGGCACTGAGGCCAAATTGGGTCCTGAGGGAATTGCAGAGTGGGCTCCTGACGTTCTACGGAAAGCAGCAGGGTTCTTTACCAAAGAGGTGTGCACAGGGTATTCATCGCCTTGAATCATCTAATACGTTCGAATTGTAGACCCCGTATGTGAAGTTACAAACCGTGACCCTGGCTGCAAAGCTATTGGTACTTTGTCCAAGCGATCGCACGTTAGGTCTCTTGAACCGTTATGTACTTTCTCTTGCACGATACGATCTGAACTTTGACGTACGGGATCGTGCTCGTATGCTCGGCTCGCTGTTGTCCGGGGTTACGTCTGTGTTACATTCCGATGAAGATGGTCATGAGGATCAAGGCGGTGTTGTCCTTCGGAGAGAACAAGTCAAGATGGTGCTCTTCGAGGGCAAACAAGATGTGTCGCTAGATACCGGCATTCCAGGTACGCTTCTACGCTTCATTCGCAGACTCAATATCTGAACGGAAGTTTTCGTTGTGTAGTGGATGATAGACATGCGCTACTCGGATCCCTCAGTGCCGTCGTTGGCAGGGACCTGACCTACGACTCATACCTTCCGGATTGGCTGGAAGAAGGCACAGAGTCTTCTTTGCGAGACAGCGAATATGATGCGCCACAAGTCCCAATCCATGCTCAACCACTACCGTCTGCGATTCCTCGCTCGATAGCATCATCCAGCAAAAATACACCCGTTATTCTCACGCCCACAGGACCGTCACCCTCGGGTTCTTTCGTACGACAGAATGGCAAGAGCGATTGGACAGATCTCGATAAGTTCTACGCTGAAACGGAGAGCACTGAAGAGGAGGAGGGGACCGAAGAAGAAGCAGTTGAAAGCGACGAAGAAGAAGCGGACAGCAATGAAGATGGCGATAGCGAGGAAGAGGAAGAGGGGTCTGCGGAGGAACCGGACACCGATAGTGTGGATGAAGGTAAAGGCGAAAGTGAAGATGTGCTACACCATGCGAGATAGTCCGTGATATATATACAACTTCGTGGATCGGGAATGGTTATACAACAGCACCTTCAGGCAGTTTATAGTACAGTGGCTGCAAATAGAGCTCGTTAGGAGCAACATACAAAAGGATGCTATGAAGATCATACCGTATTGAAGACATGGTAATAGTGCCCTCTCACTCCACCTCGTTGCTGGTAGTATTCATCAGGGAACCACTAAAATGACACGCAGAATGTCAGTTGGTACACGATGGAACGACCACGAACTGCTCACGTGGTCAACAGGCATCTCTTCCCTCCATGCACGAAGATAACGTGCTGGTTCAGTCTCATTAGTAACGGTGTGCCCGTATTTGGGGAGTTGGAATTGGCCAATCTGGAGCTCGGTATCCGTAATAGTGCTCCTGGAGACTCGAGCATACGCGGTACGGTAGAGACCGCGATACAGGATGTATTCACACCATCGGTCGAGGTCAGCTTGGTCGATGTCATGCATACGACCGTCGGTAACGAGAATTTCGTATGGAGCGGCTGAAAAAGCTACGTGAGGCTTTAGAATGGTCGAAACGGATGAGAGGCTTACGGCGAGGTGTGTGAGGCTTAGTGACAACGTATCCAAGGAATATAAATGGCTGAGGATATGTCTCCGACATAATGCGTGCCACTTCCTTGCTCTGTAATTCGCGATCTAGGGGAGTTTCCTCTGTAAAGGAGTAGATAAGCATTAGACTAGTGGACATATGTGTCAATCGTACCTTGTCCGTTATGCACAACTACGACGTTTACTGGGGTACCGAAGACATCCAGCACGGCATGTATTGCAGGGGCCAATTCACCATGAGGTGATGGTAGCAGATGATGCGTAGAGTTGATGATAGGGAACTGGGTGATACGTAATTTAAAGATTCAGCATGTTTGCCGAACAAGGAGGAACTGACCTTGGAGAAAAGTACAGCGCCCCATGTATGCTGAGATGACCATGAAATTAACAGACTTCTAACGTTTGGCACACCGTGTTGTACAATGTCAGACTTACTTTATTCGGTCCAGGTCCAATATCTACGTACTGAGGCCAATCAGGACAGCTGCGGGTTATTAAGACTGACTATGTACTTACGTAGCCCAGATCTTCCACGATTACACGGGTCCTATAAACGCATAAGCACAAGAAACCTCAACAGTAAAGTAACTCACAGGTCGCGGTTGCCAAAGACTGGACGCTACAGAAGAAGCACAGTTCAGCGATGTCCCGCTCTATTGTCAGATTACGATCCTTACATGTAGATCCGTTTCAAGCAATCCGAATACATCCAGCTGCATGTCCCTGCAGACACCGGTCAGTACTGGCTTGCATCCAAGAGCGTCGACGACATACCGAACCAAATCTCTGATACGTCTTTGACTATCTCTGCCTTCATTATCGATACCAAAGTGAACGGTCCAGATACCAGTTCGAAGGATACGTGGACCCGGTCTATGTGGTTGAGGCATTCTAGTCGGCCAGCGATACACAGTGGTCACAAGCGAAAGAATGGTCATGATTGCCAAGCTATATTGTGCACGGGATCGTAATGACTTGGACAAGGTGAATGTGACGGGTGGCAAGGTTGAGCGTGGCCATCTGAAAGCGGGGGCGAGAAGAAGGAATTGGGCTAACAAGATGCTATGGATGAAAGTCAATGACACGCAATGTGATCTTTGGAAGTCAACTTACAAATTGGTACGTTCTCTGAAGTATTGGCCACCGGGCACGAATGCATATGCAACTGTGAAGACACTTGTGACATAGAACAGACTGACGACAAGCATCGCAATCGAGTATGTCTTCGCAACCGAACCACTGGAAGCCGCACGGAAGAGAATCACAGGGATTATGGACATAAGGAATACTGTCAAGTTCAGCCCACCGAAGTACCCAAGCCAGTCACTATAGCTGTACATCACGCATGTACTGAGACCACCATAGACGAACCACAATGGATGAGTCAAAGGGTCCCAACTCGATCCGAGGCTGGATAGGACTAGAGGGATGAGAAGACCGACAGCTTGGGCAATGTGGGTGAGAGAACCATGCAAGTGTGGTACAGGCCCTTTGATAGGGTAGCCAGTCCATGACCAGGCAATCAGGGTGCTCGGGTCCGCCAACAGGGAGTGAAGGGAGAAAATAAGAGATCCTAATCCGAAGGCATCAAGTATCCAATACTTTCGAGCAGTAATAGGTGCCGTTGCTATGGGGTCCTTCTTCTCCATTGGTAGTTCATCGGAAGGGGAGGAGCGAGTGTAGATGTTATAGATGGCGAAACAGGCTAATGCAATTCCCGTCTTATTGTATCCTCCAGAGGCTTCGTTGACGATAGGCCATACTATCAATCCGATAAGTGAGGCGTCGTGAGATTCTTTTACTAGGTCGCTTACTAGGAATGTTTGAGTGGTTTGCATGTTTGGACACAGACGTCAGCAGAAAGCCCAGACCGGTGACTAAGACAATTCAAAAATTGGTAAAAGAGCCAGACCCGCACATACTGTCGTTGAGTGAAACATACTTGTTGCTTGATATCCTACACCGCACACTGGTGCAGACCAGTCAACCGCAACCCCGATCGACAAGGCGGCGTTCGCGAACGCGACAATGAGAAGCCGAGCCAGCGGATTCTTTGACGCATAAGCCAGCAATCCGAACAGTGTCAGGATGTGCAGTAGTGTTCGTCCGATCTTCATAGAGGCTACATCAAGGACTACAGGGTACCGTAGGAGGAGGGGCGATAGGGTTGAAAGGAGACTAAATTCGTGACCTGCAATCCCCAGTTCCCAGACAGAGAAGTAGAACAGTGTTGGTGTCAAGGACGTAAACACAGACCAATGAACGAATGCTATGGCCTTCATTAGCTCAAGGTATCTTTGACTTAAAAGGGAATCACACACAGAGATAAAGGTCGCACAAGAAGTTCACGGTAGGTTGCAGTCGGTTTGCAACGGCATTCAAGTTAGAGGTCTTGTTGGGAGCCTTAGCAGTTTTGACTTGTTGCTGAGGATATGTCACTGGGTTCTCGTCGCCTTTGCCGTTTACAACAGGATTTGCCTTCTCAATGGCGACATCAATATTTGCTTTGTTCGCACTAAGACAAATACAGTCAATTGTAAGCGGAGTGGTCATGCCAAATGGTGAACTTCATAGTACATGTTGTGAGAGTCTCTCGTAGTAGGCGAATCGAGAGATATTCCAATGGATATCTACATCGAGTGCAGCATTAATAGAAAAAGCAAGTCCTATAACTGGCAGTTACCGATCTTACCTGTAGATTGGCTGCGCGAAAGTCTGATGCGGCGACGGAGTCGAACATGATGTCCAGTATGATTAGAGACCACTCGAAGAAGCTGTAACGCGTGTACGCTACATGTATACTGTAAGTTGTAGTTTATGTTGAGGAAATAGGGACATACCTCCCGGTATACGGTGCACCTTGTGTTGAATGAAGAAATATATCATAGGTAAGAGAGCGAGCCAGAATCTGACAGGCGTTCAATTGGCATCAGTTAAAGTCGCCAGTACGCTTTCCTTGCTCACTTACGCAGCTGCAATCCGTTGTCTGGAACGACCATGATGAGTATGACGGCATTAACCAAGCTTATCTGGCTTACTTTCGTTTGCGACTTGTGGTATTTTGGGCAGGAGTGGCGGCAATACTGCCAAACATCCACGGTATATTACATACAATGTACATGATCATGAGTATGTCATGCCAGTCATGATCGTCACTGGAGGTGATATAAACCCAGCCACCACACGAGAGTGTTCGTAGGGTTCCTACGAAGAGCAAGAACCCAGGAAGGCTGGAATACGCAGAACGTTGCAGATAATACTGTAGAAAAACCAAAGCAAAACGTGGACCTGAATGAGGCAAGTCAATCCGATTGAAAGCAAAAATAGCATATAATCAGGGGTACCAGAGTTCAAAGCAATCAGGATCTGGAAGATATTTCGTTCTGGGTACCAATCACCAATGCTAGCAACGCATAGCCGGAAGCAATGAGGTCATTTTCATAGTAATACAGAGTTCTATTAAAACACGCACGTAGCAGAAACAGATGGAAACCACTCTTCTGGGTATCCTGCAACTCCATTCTTTACTATCTTCCGGTAGTGAAGTACACATCCTATAATGAGTGCAGAAAAGAACGCCGAAAACGCGAGGTAAGTGTGCACAACTACGATGTGTGCCGCGTCCAGGGTCAGCCTTGACCTGCCACGTCTCGAGGACATCTAAAGTTAAAAGTACAGGTGTACTCAGGACCTAATGGAAAGTGAATGATGGTTGAAAAGAAACGAACCGCAACACGCGAAACGTTCCGAAGGGCGAGGCCATGAACGTGAACCTAAACGTTACTCGGCGAATCGGGCTTGCCTCATGTGGAAGGTACGGATGCAGTTACGTAACACCTCTGACCCTTGCCGATAGCCAAGGTGACTTGATATGTCGAGCAAATACAAAGAAGACGGGGCGGACTTCTGTATTGTTGGAGTAAGTAGACTGCGGCATCCTTTCCATATTCGCGGGTTGAGTGTTTAGTCGGCAACCGAGATCAAAAGCACATTATTAACCACGATACCTGCCTAATCCGGATAACCGGAGCTAGCCGAGGCGATCGTGCTGAGGAAACGGACGACAAACGTGCCTAAGACTAACCCACGACTGCAGCCACAAAGACAAATTACCTGGTATACCAAGGTGAAAGGGCGTTCTATAGGTTTGCATGGCCCTCACACCTATTCCGATCACGGTCTTCACTGGATTCCTGGGTGCAGGAAAGACATCAGTGATTCTTTCCCTTCTGCCGCAGCTTCCTAAGGATTACAGGGTAGTCCTACTGAAGAATGAGTTCGGAGATGTCGAAGGTAGGATGACAGGGGAACATCTGAACTTTTAGTATATTAAATAATGATATAGTTGACAGTCAGCTAGCCAAACAGTCAAGCTTGGCGGCCGTCAGTGAAATTCTGAACGGATGTATGTGAGTGAGTGACTGACGACATAATTTAATGTTATCGTGACGATCTATTCGTGATCTAGGTGCTGTGTCCTTGTTGGTCAAATGAAGACTGCCCTGCTTGAAATTCGCGGTAAGATTGTCCAATGGGGAATTGATCAACGCCATTGACCATTGATGTTTAATCCAGACAAATTTCGGCCAGATCGCATCATCGTAGAATGCTCGTAAGTATCTTGGTTTACATGAGTTTTGGTAGAATGTTCAATGCTCAATTATTTTTCTTTTTGCAGCGGATCCGCCTTTCCGGCTACGTTGGCCTTCCAAATTCGCGAACTAGAACGTGAAACAGAGAATGACCTCAAACTCGATGCCATCATCACAGTCATAGATGCGGAGAATTTTGCTGGCTACGAAGATACCTCACCTACCGCTCGAATGCAGGCAAGTTACACCGACATGATCCTCATCGTAAGTTCTCCCCTTTCGTCTCCTACTTACGCTCACATATTGGCTTAGAATAAGTCGGAACACGTTAGCGAACGCGCATTGGATATTCTCATAGATCATCTGAATACCCTGAACGACCTGACACCCAAGATCAAATGCGATGGCCGGAATGGAGTCGAGCCAGCACTCCTCTTCGGGCTTGACTCGAAACTATTTCTTGAAGATGATCAGACTGATGTTGACCACCATGATGAAGTGGAAACCGCTACGATCTATAGAGGAAACCCGCCGATACCTCAGCATGGCCACGCTCACGAGCACGACGATAGCGACTGTCACTGCAGTCATTCGACTGACTCTTATGCATCTCACCCGCATGCGCATCCAGCTGAAAGCTCTGGCATTTCCACCGCTGAATTCATCGGTGAAATAATTTTGTTGAATGCGTTGTCATCGCTCTCTAAAGAAACCATTTGGAGAGTGAAGGGCTTCGTAATTACAGAGAAGGGCCATTTCATTCTCAACTGGGCGTTTGGGAGGTTTGATCTGACATTATTTGATGATAGCGAACAGAATGAAAGTGAAGGGGTTGTGAAATTAACGGTGATGGGTGAACGCGGGGAGGTGAGAAGGACTGCACGGAAATTAGCAGAAGCCTTACAAGCGAAACTTCGATAGCGTAGTATACCATAACTTACATACCTCGGAAACAATAGACTTCGAATCCAGAGATGCTATGATTCTTAATTCTCAACAATGAACCATCACTCCCCGCTTGCACCAAGACGCCGCTGGTCTTGCTATGTCATAGACACCTTCAGAGTGCTTCAGCGTTTCTCATAAGCCGGAGGGTTTACACAAAATAAGCCTTTTACAATTGGCGATAAGATAAGGAACCATTACGCCATAAGTGATCGACGCTAAAAGGAACCGAGAATCTGGATCTGCACAGACCAACCGACGCTTCTTTGGCGTGGATTATAATCACATGGGTTTGGAGCCACATGTTGCTTAGGACGACGATGTTCCCTAACATCTCCACGATTATTACTTCAGGTGCGTGCTCTTCATCACAATGGCCTCGAGGATATGTCTGATAATTAACTGGGCTTGTAGCGAGTTCGTATTTTTATTTACCCGTCGACGAAGATGCCGAGGATTCAGATGATAGTCTCGACCTCGAACGCGTCCCAAGACATATCTCATGGAGTTCAAGTGATTCCACTGAATATGAAGACTCCTGCTTCAGCTCCACCTCCTCTTCATCTTCATCATCCTCAATAGCCTCCGATTATACTCCTTCTCCACCGAGACCTTCTAAAAATCGCTCTTTAATCAAGGAGATCCTCGCCGAGGACGACTTGTATAAGGTCCTTGGTATCAGTCGATCGACGCCTGTTGATAGACTCATCCTCCGACGCGCCTACCTCTCAAGAAGTAAAGCATGTCATCCAGAGTGCGTCTAACCGTCCCTCATTTTAGTTTCTGTGGCTGAGCATGATGGTCGGATAGTAAATTTCCAGGCAGTCCACAAGCTACCGAGGCCTTTCAGAAGGTCACTGTGGCGTATGATGTATTAAGTAAACCTGCCGCCAAGCGGATGTACGATACCAATCCTTCCTCTTCACCATATGACTTTGCCGCACATCCCTACCAAAGAGCCGAGGAGACGTTCCGGAGCGTTGTCCTAGGTGTATTTAATGACTTCCTTGAAGGAGATCTCGAAACTGTCCGAACCTTGCTACGTAAGTCTCGAACGTCTTTTACGTTGCGGTTTTCTTTTTAATTTTCTATCGTTGCCTCATTCTATATCGCCGTCGCCACCTTCTGACGCTGTGACTTTACAGGTGCTGTGAATGACTTCAACCCCTCTCTACGACTCGGCGACGACGGCATCGATGCCGTGCTCAACGCCCTTCAGTCAATCCGACAACGTGCACTCAGTACGCTCACACGGTCGCATTTCCTATTTCCACTTCTGACTCACATGTGCCCCTCCAGCATGTCGAACCTGTATCCTAACCCTTAACTCCGAGCTTTCTCGAGTCCTAGAACTGCAATACGCCTTCCGTCAATTATCCTACTTCGACCTCCGCCGCCGTTCGAGGCTAACCATTGAACTTGCCCGGATTGCCATCAGTCTTCCGGTGGCACTTGATAGAGCGCTGCAGAGACAGAAGGTTGAAAACACGTCAGGGGACCCGGATTGGTCTAGAGAAGAAGGGGGACAGTCGAAGTCCCCACCCCGCTCGAATGATACGGCAATTCTGAACCGCAGGCTTTATAGACTCCTCTGCGGTTTCGCCGTTGTACTGGAACGCATGGAAAAGTTGTTGTAGACCAGCAACCTCTTGGGATTTTCACGTTCTACATTCGGGTCTTTTTTCTTCTTCTATTATATCGGTTTGTCATTTATTGCTTCCTGGCTGGTTTACTTCACATATAGACTTTCGAATTGTACTTCTTCCATTAGATACATTATTTTTTTTGTAGAGGAACCTACATGTAACATCCGCCTCGATACATATCCACACCTCACGCGTAACAGCATAATGGCGTAATGTGAAACCTTACCGGTACCTTGTAAACGACTGTGATCGCAGCGTGCACATGAGGTCATAGAGCTTGAGAAAAGCCGCGCGACATCGGAGGTAAAGGACACGAAGCAGATTGGTGGCTAATATCAGTGCTCGTCATAGGTGGTCAGCTGGGTATGTATTGAATTGGCTAGGCCATGTCACTTAGAAAGCAACAACCGAATTAACGCCTCCGACCAAGGTTCTGGACTCTGAGGTTGAGCGTGATGGACATGAAGCTTTTGAGCATAGAGACCGATATCGATGCAAGAGAACATGTGAACTTGCCGGTATATTCACGAGATGAAGCGAGCCAGACCGCGGCTAGGATAATGATAGCGGAGGGTGACCCAAAGTTGGTACTTTCGAAACAAAAACCAAGAGTCCAGTAAATGGCGGATGGTAGGAGAAAATCTGAGATGAGGGCTTTTCTGCTATATTTGGTGCAGAAGAAACACGACGGTCTTTGCACGAGCCAGGATTCAACGGAGGCCTATCGGATCCGCGTGCCACTCATCTATCAGGCAGCCACAAGAAGAGGACAGCCAAGGGAAAAAAAATGGCTACAGCATTATGCTATTCCTGTGACTTGAGTGGCAGTAAGAGCCTCTCGAGTCTAGTACCCGGGCGGAGCAAGTGGTTAATTTTTCCAACCAGAATAGGGAGACTGAAAATGGGCCGGTGAGCTCGAGAAACTACTGGCTGTGGAAGTAAATGGTTTGACCTCGGCGTTCATATCGGCCCCGCATGAGACCAGGGGAACGAAATACGAAAGATCCGAGGATGACGATAATGTTTACCGTCCCGGATCGTGATTAAACATGAAGGCATGCCCGACTGTCTCCCGGATTGTAAAAATTGGCGACATACTGTACCTAATATTTTTGGCCGCCACTGTACCTAACCACCACTCGTTCCATTCCATGTGGTGCATAACAAACTAGAGGTGAAGCAGATGGTGGCGGACATGACGGCTACATACAGAGCTTTCGGGCTTCAACTCGCTCTCGGTTTGTGGGGGGTTTGCACGGCGAGGGTTGGGTCTTCCGAACTGCTGTGCTATATTTCATGCTTCGAAGACGCCTTGACGCGTCAAACGTTATCAGAACGTTATCATAGTGGTCATCAGCTGAACATGCGGGTCACCCAGAGCGCTGCACAATACATAGTCTTGTTGTTCGCATCGGATGTAAAAATTGGCGTACAGCGAATGTTCGCTGAAGGCTGGGGGAACAAAAAGGGAACAAAGGGCAGTAGCGGGGCTGTAAAGGCGACTGTAAAACGTCCCTGAAAACAACAGTTCAGTGTTGGACATGACATGTAGAAGCAATGCATCATCCTTGGAACAATCTCTCCCGTTAGGAACAAACGGTGATAGGACCGACCAGCTGTCATTTTATATGTTTTCTGTGATGAATTATGGATTCTGATACACACGAGGCGATGAGATCTATCGGACAGAGTGACTTGAACACAGAACTTGCCATACAGGAATGTTTTTGAGGCAGAGAAGCGCAGGAGCAAGTATACGGGGTCCCGTCGGAGGTGAAACAAAGCTGCCATATATGGCATCAATCTGAGCTCCGCCACGTATGTTTTGAAATAATTGTTTGAAGAGTGGCCGGGGGGATTCTGGCTCAGGAGATATGGAACGCTGAGCAAGCCCTTGTTTCTTTGTTCTCGCCATCGTTGAGAACGACGCCGACGACGATGACCCATATGCTACCGCAGCATCCAGATCTAAACCTATCGCAATCATCGTTGCAGACGGCGCTGCACATGGACCCTAGCCAAGGACCGCCGCCGCCCCCACAGCAGCAACCACCCCCCGCTCAGCAGACACCTCAATCGACGTCGTCAAGAAAGCGCAAGAAAGCAGAGAACGGTGACGAAGCACCTCATCCAGCAGAGCCGAGACGTCTAAGACGTTCTCATGAAGCCTGCGCTCGTTGCAGAAGTAAGAAAATTAAGGCAAGTCCCGCCGGGCGACACCGACGGCAAATTCCCGTCGCCCCCCACCTCCGCATTTCAGTGACTTACCCGTTGTCTATCAGTGCGATTCTAAACATCCAAAGTGTACGGCGTGCGCAACTGCTGGTGTACCATGTCAGCAAGAAGATCGACACCGACAGACCCTCATCGTGAGAGGGTATACCGAGCTCATGGAGAGGCAGCTCGCAGGATGCGTCGCATTGCTCAAGCGTCGTGATCCTGGTTTCGACCTCAACAACCTCGACGAAATCCTAGCACGCGAGGGCATTGAGATCGATCAGAACGACCAGAATGCCATGCAATTTGCGTATCAACAGCCTCCAGGTGGCCCCGCGCGAGGATTCCCTCTGCGCTCAGAGGCGCCGCCACCGCCCAACGATGGCTCTCCCAGACCGTACCCATATGGCCCTCCAGGTCCTCCGATGCTCCCTCCTTATCACGCCCCGATGCCTATGCATTATCCTCATCCTTACGGCCCCCCTCCCCCTCATATGATGCAGCCTCCACCTGGTTACAATCCTCCGATGCATCATGCCTTCCAACCACCTCCACCCCCACCACCAGCCATGCAACCACTCCGTCCCCCTTCAGAGTACGATCATCGTACAGCTGATCCATTACCTCATGACTTGTCCAATAGCGAAGTTAGTATGAATATTCGCGGCATGTAGAATGGACTGACAATAGATTATTTTTAGGCCTTAGCAAAGAACTTTGGTGTTGCTGCCTCCATAGTCAGCGACCTGAAGCTTGCTCCGGCTCCTATTGACACGGAGGACCTTGCCGTCGGTCATAGCGGTCTCTCGTCCCGTCGCGATCGCGACATATCTGAGCCAAAGCTTCCTCGCGATAGCAACAAGTGGTTCTCTGTCAATATGCGCCGTAATTCAGTAGTCTCTGCGACTAATCCCATGTCCAATGACCCCACTTCCTCCCAGAACTCGTCCATCGCAGTTTGGCTTCCCAAAGATCGTAACATGGTGAAGAAAATCCTGGACGTCTACTTCACACGTCTCAACTACCACCGCCCGACGTTAATACGCACATCGTTCGAGCAGATGCTCTGGACATTGTACGAGGGACAAACTGTGCAACACGATCCTGGTTACATCTGTTGCGTCTACTTGGTATTTGCGCTTGCTACGCTCAGCGAGCTTAACCATATCGCCAATGAGAAGGAGGGCAGCTCGAATGGACCGTTGAATCCCAAGACTGTCATCCCAGATTGGCCTACTCACGAGGAGTTCTTTGATCGCGCGCTCGCTGTCAAGCCTGATCTTCGAGTATCGGTGTCCAGTTTGCAAGCTCTTATCCTACTGCAATGGTATCTCTACACCGAGGTTCGTATGCGCTCGATTTCCCCGGTATCCAACACTGACAGGAATCTCTAGCGACAAGGACGCACACTATGGCGTCTGGTTGGAAGCATGGTCCGGCTGGCCATTGAACTCGGTCTCCACCATGATCCCACCAATCCGCCTCAGCTCAGCATGGGTGACCCTGCAGTCCAACCCCCGCCTTCTCCACAGTACTCAGAGGAAGAATGCCAGCTTCGCATTCGTCTCTGGGGTATTGTGCTTTTGCATGACCGTGGAACATCGATCCTGTTAGGCCGGCCATTGGCTATCGCACCATCCGACTCCAACACCCCACGTCCGACACGGGGCAAGGGCACCGAGGTATCTGAGCACTTCGTGTTGTCCGCTCCTATTGCTGAGATACAAGCGGATATCATCAACTCTCTGTATGCGCCTATGACGCAAAGCGCTGATAGTATCATGCGTCTTGCATCGAGGATCATCAAGAGTATGGTAGAGTTCCGACGACAACTGCCTGACTCGTACAGGTGGTTCTTCAGTGGAACAGATGAGTGGCCGAGGGACAGGAGGACGAAACTCGTGCAGGACATTACCGAAGACCAGGGTTTGACGTTGCTGAAAATCGGGATCACGAGGATCTTGCTACTTAGGGCTTTGTTCAGCTCCAGTGCGGTTCCATACCCTCACCGGTACCGAGCTCTCGAGGATGGTGTGTATTTCTCCTTTCAGATGGCTGAATGCTACTGACATGTTCTGCAGCGATTGTCACTTCGCACAATATCATCGTGGTTCACAACCAACTCATTCGCTTCCCCGATATCTCATTCTTCGTGTCACCCATCCCATTGCACATCGCTGCCATGGTTATCCTTTTCGGGCACATGTCAAAGTGCGAACGGCTCCCTCGCGAAGTCGCCATGGAAGACGTGTGGATGGCACTAAACATGCTTCCGTCCTTCCGTTGGCGCTGGGAACGCAAGGATCTCAAGGGCGGCCATCCGCTGATCGGCAAGCTCGCTGAAGAAGTCCTGAAGGTGAATCTGCACCAGGTGGCCCCTACATCTGCGCCTATGCTGCTGTCTGAACAAGACTGGGACACCGATGTGTTATCGCCGAAGCAGCCTGCTCCCTCAGCCACTCCTCCTATGCGCCCTGGGTTCCCATACCCTCAAACCCCAGGTCCGACTTCGGGCCTCAATAGTCCTGGCAAGATCAAGAAAAGCCCTGGCGGCGGCGGCGGCATCCCGAGTACGTCTGGACAGGATAAGAAGTTGGCAGAGATACCTCCGGGTTTGTTCTATCCATTCTACCCTGAGAACCAGAATGCGGCTGCCAGCGCCGCTGTGGCAGTCGCTGCTGTCGTGGGTAGTGGTGGTAATAGTCAAACTCTGAATGAGATTCTAGCTGCGACTGGTTCACCGACGTTCAATCGATATGGGTATCCGACCGGTAGTGAGTTCATTATGGAAGAGAAGGAAGGCTCTGTGCAGTCTACTCCTAGCATGCAGATGTGGATGAATAGCGTACGTCTCGATATGAACTGACGGTTGAACTTGTCTCTCACTTTCCTTTTTTTAATTTTATAGCAGAATGGAGAACAGCGGCCGATGCACGCTATGCCGATGCCGCCTGGCGGTCCTCCCCAAGGGTAATGATCTGAAGTGGACTGCTAACGAATGTGTTCGCCTTTGTTTCTGCTATGGGACAAGCTTCCGTGACTTATGTGTTTTATATGATTATCTGTGTATTATATCTGTTTGTACTTTTCATAATGGATCAATCTGTAGCCTTTACCCCCTCCTCTTTCGACTCTGTAAATGGAGGGTTCATCATGAACTTGAGCCAAGAAGCCGCAGGGGTTGACAAAGCTGTACATGTATCGACCTCCTGGACCGTTTTCTCACGGTCAACTGAGGCCTGCGGGTGGAAAGTCCGTGAGCGACCTCGACTTGTCCTTTCACCATCATGGCTGACCTCAATCCTCTCGAAAGAGTGACATCGCAGAACAGGTCAGCGTACTCGCTGGCGACAGTACACAATGAACCGACACAACAGACGTCGCTCCTGGCATCTGCTAATCCTACTTCATATGGCACAACCTCGGAATCCTCTCAACCCTCCGCCAAGAGGATTCTGTTCAATGCAACCTTGAAGATGGCTGTCATTTTTGTCGTCAGCACGGTGGTTTTGGGTGGCACTCTCTGGCTTGCTTTGCCTCAGCTAGAAGAGTGCGTAATAGAAACGATCGGGATGGCCTGGCGAGAGACTAACTTGTGTGCAGAGTTGATCGCCCGGACTTGAAGATTCCGAAATCGTTTGCTGAACTCCAAGCACTCAATACCCTACTCAAGAAATACAGAGATATATACCCTTACCGCATTGTCATTTCCTATATCATTACCTACCTCTTGTTCGTTGTTCCCTCTCATTATTTCAATCTCCTATACTGACCGTGCTTTCCAGCCTCCAAGCATTCTCACTGCCAGGTTCTATGTACCTCTCCATCCTCGGAGGAGCCGTATGGGGTGTTCCTCGTGCCCTTCCACTAGCATGCACATGTGTTGCAACCGGCGGTACACTGTGTTACCTTATTAGCGCCGCTTTGGGTCCCGCACTGCTCACGATGCCCAAATGGAAAGCCAAGTTCGACGTATGGTCAGACAAGATCCGTTCACAGAAGGACAACATCATCTCTTTCCTCATCGTCCTCCGCATTGCGCCTTTCCCCCCACATTGGGTCGTCAACGTTCTATGTCCTCACCTGGGCATCGGCGTGGCTCCCTTTTGGACCAGCACATGGTTGGGTATCTTTGGTGTCTCAGTGATCCATACAACCATAGGAAACAGTCTGGATGATATGACGTCGGCGGCAGACTTCCATCTCATCTCGTGGAAGAATTTCTTCCTTTTGTCTGCTGTCGTCGTGGGTGTGATGATACCCGTCGGTTTGCGGTATTACTTCAAGCGAGAGCTTGCTTCCGTAGCCGAAGTCGAGGCAGAGGTAGAGGAAGTTGAGGCTTTGGAGAATGGCGACCGTATCCTAGCTGAAGGCCCTCCTGCTCTTGATATTGCCAAAGCAAAGACGGCTCGACTGATTATGCTGGCGGACGATGAAGACGAGGAATATTCGGACGAGGACGAGGATGAAGATATAATTTTAGAGGCTGGGCCTGCGCTCATTCTGAAACTGGATGATACAACAAACAACACTTCAAGTAGTAGCTCGTCGTCAATTACAGTGCGTGGATGATGATCACTTTCGCAAGTTCTTTTTGGAGCGGACGCTTTGCTTTGCTTCTGACGTTGAATTTAATAATTCTCCTTCAATTCTGTGTGTTACTATTAGGTTTTCGTTCACCTAGACTGCATTTTGCTTTGTGCTTTCGACTTCAAGTTTTTCTTTTCTTTTTACAAGCCCCTTTGTACCAATAGAACGCATGTTAATATTGCCTTACAGTTGTCTCACATTGGTGTTTTGTGACGACCTTTTGTATGACACTTTACGAATACGATATCTTCATACATGTATCCACGTGTTGCTTCTCGCACTGGACTTTGAACCTCTTTGAACCTCGAGCCAGGAGTTGCGATGAGCAGAAAGTATCGATAGCGTATAGAAATACACAGCACACACGGCATGTAATCAAAGAACAACAGCAGATGCGACGAGGGAGTTAGTATAATGAGTACAATAGCTAGGAAGGGTGATTGATCCAGTGAAACCGATAAAGATAAAAAAGCAAATATAAAATCACACATGAGATGGAGGTGCAGACATCGATGGGGCAGAAAAGAAGGGTAAGAAAAAATGAATAGGAACGAAAAAGAAGAGCAAGTCTACGAGGAAATGGCCCATGCATCTGGAGCATCGCCCATCGAGAGGAAATCGTTCTCAAAGTCGAAACTAGGCCCGACATAATACGCCGACGCCCCTCCACCAAGTGGTTTCAGCAACGCAAACATTGGATCATTGAAGAAGTCGTCCGTCTGGCTGCTGGTACCATCCGCTATTCCAGCAGTATCAGAATGATGGCTAGTAACACTGTGATCCGCATCCGAGCTCACAACCGACTCCGGACTTGGATTGGTAGAATGTGACAGTTCTGGTGTAGGCGGAGCTCTCGATCCGTCATCCTGTCCGAACCTCTCGAGGTCAAAGAACGTCTCGACCGACACTGTATTTTCATTGTTGTCGCTGGATAAAGGTGGATCAAAGCTGAAGTCTCCACCATCCGCCTCGCCAAAGAGTTGACCAAGCGCAGCCAAAGCAGACTGTAACGATTCTTCGCTTGTGGGATCCGCAACAGCCTTCAACTGCTCCTTCTTCTCTTGGTAGAACTTGGCCGCGTCTTCCGGTGACTTGATAGCTTCGAGTTCGTGCTCCTTCTTTATCAGCTCTTCACTCATAGGTCCATCCCAGTTAGTCTTAGGCTTCTTAGACGGCGAGGGTTGGGCAGATGATGAAGCTGTGGATGCTGGTTCTTCCTCACGACGTCGCTTGACACCGGCTTCGACTGGGAGAGCAGCAGGCTCAACCATGACAGCAGATATGGAAGGTGAAGCAGCAGCTGGAGTAGAAACAGGGGCAGGGGTAGAGGCAGAGGCAGAAGGCGTTGGTGGCTGCGGCGCATTCTTGGCAGACGGTTTGCGCTTTGGTTGCCTAGGTTTAGGCGGCGCTTTCGGCTTCGGCGACTTGGGCGTGTGAGGCGAGTTCACGACGTGAGTAGGCGTGGCTGCATTCGCAACTGGGGTTGAAGCTGAAGCGGGCGGCGTTGAAAGAGGGACAGTGTCTGCTGGAGTAGATGCCGAGATTTTCTTCTTATTCGAGAGAGAGGGGGAAGGTGCGGGTTGCGATGGTGTATGGGGATGAGGCTGGAGAGGCTGCTGTGGTATCGGGGGAGGTTGAGATTGTTGAAGGTGTGGAACTTGGGGAGGTGGCATGGGTTGCGGCTGGACGCTAGTCGAGGGAAGGTGCGACATTGCCTGAGAAATGGGTTGCGGCGGCTGCATAACGGGAACGTGACCCATGGCTGGAGAGCGACCATTCATTCCATTAGCCAACTGCTGCTGGTGCTGCTGTTGTTGCTCACGCTGTTGCTGTTGCTGTTGCTGCTGTTGCTGTTGTTGTTGCTGCTGCTGCTGCTGCTGCTGCTGCTGCTGCTGATGGGAATTCTGAGTCTGTTGGATGAGCCTCATCGAATGCACCACTCGATCCCTCTGCTCCGGCGGAATCTTCTGTATCTTCTCGTTCTGCATATTGATCGCGTTGATGAGATGCTTCATCATTTCCAGGTTCAGGATGAACTTGGGAGAACCGGATGCAAGCAAGGTCCTTTGAACAGTTGGACACAAAGCCTGTAGACGAAGAATGTCAACGCATATCGATCAGGCATCAATCAGAGATACGTACAAGGGTCACCATTTCTTTCAGCTCTTGATCATTGACGAAAGGAGCGACAACGGGAAGCTTACGCTCCAACTCCTTCGCAAGGCGATCAAGCATCGCAAACGTAGTCCTATACTCGAGCAACTGATGCTCAGGCACTGGCACTGTCTTACTAGACCCCATTCCTATGATATCATGTGAGTAAAAGAGTTGATCGGCAAAGGAGAAACGAGCTTTACTTTGTTGTTGCACCTGGATATACTCCTGTCTGTGACGCTCGACCTTATTCAGATACTGACCAATCTGGTTGAGCTGCATAAGAGCCTGCGGTCCCAAGGACTGTTGCGGTCGACCACCCATGTCGGGCCTCAGCTGCGGTTGTCCCCCACCAACGTGTGGCACATTCGGTTGTTGACCAGCCCAAGTACCAGCCATACCAGCGCCAGGACGTACATTAGGGTTAGACATCTGACCTTGTTGAGGCACTTGACTAGGCATGGTCGGAGGCACCATCGTCGGTATCTGAGGTTGTGCCATGCCCGCTGACGACTGTCCAGACTGCGCGCTTCTAATGCCATTGTGGAACTGTCTTTGGGATTGTGCCCACTGTTGCAGATAAGGTCCATGCACTGCGATCTTCTTGATCAGCTCCTCCGGGATATTACGAGCTTTGAGCTCATCCATGGGTAGCTGCGCCAATGCGAGAAGCTCCTGAATCTTTTTCGGATCCCTAGAACCAGCAATGGTAAAGATAGCTTGCGGGTTGTGGGTAGGAACGCCAGTTGGTACGGCTTGGCCTTCAGAAGAACTGCCCTGCATCGGGTGCATACCCATGTTCCCGTTAACTTGACCCCCGGCAGGGTTGGCGCCGTTTGCCCCAACTTGAGCTGCCCCGTTACGCTTTGACAGACATGTCCTTATATATGCTAGATCAAATGAGAACAGATAGGCCTTGTAGACCTGCTGCAACATATGGCCATGTGCAGGCGAGGACCTTGGAAGTTCCTTGTCATTCCCCGGAAAATGCACGAAACCGAGCTTCGCAGCAAGGATCTGCCAGCAATCGTCCAGCGGTCGTCCATAGGTATCAGCAATCTGAGGTCTCATCAATATCATATGCCTGGTCTACGGATTGAATTTACTTACGTGGTGTGGTCCACCAGCCTTGATAATCTCGGTATGGAGAGCGTGAAGGTCAACTGGCCGCCCCTCCATGTAGGGCGTTCGTTTTTCTACAGGCATTCGTATCTTGTTGAGGTAGCCTGAGTACGCCGCTGCAAACGCCTGGGGAGGAAGAGGAGTGACGGAAGCCCGAGGAAGTATTCCTTGCGTATCGAACAGAGGGTCTTGAGTCTGAGGAGGCGTCAACTGATTGTTAGAAGCGTTCATGTTGGGCATGTTCGGCGATCTCTGAGGTCCGTTCTGCACACCACTCCTCTGTACCGATAAAGGCGTTGTTGAACTAGTTCGCGGGGGAACTTGATTTGGTTGTTGCATGGGAAAGTTAGGATGAGAAGGTATTTGTGGAGTTTGTTGTGGTTGCATATTAGGGGGTTGGGGTGAACGACCTTGTGTCATCTGACCAGCTGCGTGCGACATCTGAGGCGTAGCAAAGGACGCTGACGGCGATGGTCCAGCTTGCTGCATCCAATTCCGGTTCTGCGCATTGGGCATATTACCCATTGCTCCTGCTGATGGACCCGAGGTTGGTCGAGGAGAGGTGGAGAGCATCGTGGCCCTGGAGAAGTTCATGTCAATGTGGCTCTTAGCCAGAGGATGAGCTACTCACGTGTTAGATCCGTCTGGCCCAGAAGGTACAGGAAGACCGCTCTGTTCCTGCTGCAATAGTTGTTGGATGCGGAGCTGCAACTGGGGTCGCAAATTGTCGAGTCTCGCAATCATCGTCCGCATCAACCCAACTTGGGTAGTCAGACGGGGCATATGCTGTTGGTACAAAGACTCGTTCCCTTGTTGTCGACTATTTGTGAGCTGATGCTGCCTCTGGATAGCCAACTGCAGGTTTTGCGCAAGCGACTGACGTCGTTGCTCGTACTTCTCCAGCTCCTCTCTTCCGCGTTGCGACGAAGTGATCATCAATACATCCTGGATCATTTGGGCTGGTGGCCGCTCCAAGGCGTTGGCAGCTTGCATCGAAAATGCTTGGTTCTGTACCGCCTGTCCAGCTGAATTAGGGAACTGACCCGCTGGAGGGGCGATTGTCGGTGGGCGCGACAGGTCCTGCAGCGGCTGCTGTTGCTGTTGCTGTTGCTGTTGATGTTGCTGCTGTTGCTGCTGCTGCTGAAGATGCTGTTGTTGCTGTTGCTGTTGTTGCTGCTGCTGCTGCTGTTGATAAAATAGGTTCACATTGGCTTGGGTATTGCCCGACGGTGCAAGATGTTGGTTCTGCTGGTGCTGCGCCATACTCATCAACTCGAGCTGACGAGCAGGACCTGCTCCCGGTGGTCCATTCTGCAACTGCTGGTAGAGAGCCTGCCGCGCTTGTTGTGTCGTAGACGTGTTGCTTCCGACGCCGGTACCGAGACCGTTGGCGAATTGCTGCATCTGGCCGGCGTCGCCGAACGGCGAGCCACCCATCTGGTTGCCAAGGTTGAATTGCGGCGGCATTGGCTTCGGAATCATTTGTGCTGGGTTTTGCATGTTCCTCTTGCGAAGGAGCTCTAGCATCTACAGTAGTGAAAGTGTCAGTACAATGATTACATAAGCTGCCTTGTACACCGGTACAAATAAAATCGTCCGCAACGATGAACGTTTTGTAACCGAACGGTTCAACTGCAGGCGGGGGGAAACAATATGCGCTTTGCAAAGGAGGTCGCCAGTAGAGAACAAGGAGTGAAGGGAAGAAAGAAAGGTGTGGCGACAATGACCAGTGCAAACTGCAATGATGATTACATAAGTGCCCGAAAGCTGGCGTACCGCTGCAAACGGATCGCCCGTAGCTCTGTAAATTGGACTTTCTGGAGTCGCAAAGACTTCAAAATTGGGTGTATACGGGATGCGAAGATGCAATGTAAGCCAGTTCACGTGCATGGCATCGAATGCGTTAAACCAAAGCGTAACATAAAGCACAGCCAAAGCAAGCATTAGGTGCCGTGGGCGTAATTGAAGTGAAGTCCCAAAGCAATATGGGCATGAAACGAAGAAAACCACGAGCAGCTGAGGTAGAGCCAGGTCGCGCCAGACGATATTTGCACTGACCGCCCCAATGGGAAATACAGAGAGCGAGGTGCTTATGCGATAGTGAAGAAATCGTACCTGAGGATTATTCTGAATATCCCCCATTCTAAACTGAATCCCCCGCTGTTGAGCAATCTGTTGCAGCTGACGGTTGTGATCGGGGGGCAGGATATTGCCCATGGCCGCCATGTTATGCTGGTTATCGTGTTGACCCTGAGGGATCATACCCTGCTGCTGGGCGAGCATTGCTTGGTTGAAGTTAGGCATCATATATTGCTGGTGTAGTCGGTCGGCCATAGCGATGTGGGGATAGAAGGAACGGATAGGAATAAGGGCCTTGAGCGGCTACGAGGAGACCGCACGAGGCGGGGAAAGTGAGAGACACAAGCCAAGCAGCCTGTATAGCAATCGATATGTCCTGGACGACGGGTACGACGAGCAAGGGCGGAGAGACGTTCCCGACGATGGTGGTGGGAGGGAGGAGGAAGGCGAGGCAACGTGAGTCCGGCGAAGGCCCTGCATACACACCAGCATACACCACTGTCCTAACTCGGATCGTCCAGGCGGAGCTCCAATCCGGTCCTAACCCTACTCTCAGTCTTCCACCCCTTCCATCATCTGACTCTCTCTAACATCCCTCTCGTGTCCTCAGTCTTTTGGAACATTCAGGCCAAGCACACATGTCTGCTGTCGGTATTTCATCGGTCAGACCAAGTTTTTTGCTTCACCATCGAGTCCAGGCAAAATATTATCAAGGCGCCCAAACAAATATTCACAGCGGACTCTCAATAATACCATGTTCCATTCTCGGCATCCACTTTCGTTTCATAGCTGACTTTCAATTCTCTCTGTAACACTTTGCCACAACAGCCATCTGTCGTGCACGAACAGCCAGTTCCGTCGTCCTCTCCACGCTTCGCCTTTGTTCTCGTCGGGAAATGCAAATCCCCCATCTGCTCGCTTCCCAACGAACCCTACAAGACCGCGTCGCATCGTCGCAAGGCGAGTCAGATTTCCGAATACACAGTCTAGGGATCACACACTACTTGACTCGAGGCGTCCCCAAGTCAATATGGCATTTTGGGAATGGCGACCCATTCCGTTCTCACTGGGCGTCTCACTCTATCGGTGGCGTCTGAGAAGACTGCTGTCATGCTGTGGGATTCAGCGAAACGCTGACTGCTGCGTTGTACATGATTTATGGTACAGGAACTTCCTGCGCAGCTTTACCTGTGTGCTTTGTTGCGTTTTCGGTCTGTCCTGAAAGAGACAACCCCTGCCTCGGGGAGTTTGCAAACATCTCTGGTACCGCAAGATGTCCATATTTGGCAAGTATCGTTGTTCGGCGGGTTCTGAAGTGCGAAGCGAACAAAGGAAAGTTTCCTTCTCTTTACCGCTGACTTTCCCATTGCTCATCCTTGTATGCCATTCATGATGTCGTAATTACGTTAATCGGAACGAATCTCAACGCCCATTTCAGCCTCTGAATGAACTCGTAGTATGCCCTCGAACGTTAACTAAGCTCCACTTTAACCAGCAAACCTCGTCACGACAACCTCAGCGGAACGGGCGGGTTTCTCCCCCGTGCGGTCGACCGTTCCGGGGATATATCACGACCCTCCGAAAACCAGCTCAATTCATGAGCAGCGTCGGCATTCAGGAGATGCATTTTCACGGCTCGCCTCCTATCGAAGAATTCCGCTCCACTTGTCAACGGCAGATGTGGCGATTTCAGCGATCGGTCCTCGATAACACTAAGCCCGAAAATGAGCGATACGAGAAAACATTTCAACGACATTCCGAAAAGAAAAGGAGGACCTACTCCATATCCAGAACGTGTCGAGGTATAGCTGTAGCCTCGAACAGCAACGACCATTGACCAGTCTGTCAAAATGCAAGTTAAAGACAACACGCCGAATTCACATTCATTGGATTGCATACAAGGTTAACGCCGTCTCCACCATGTCCGGGCTCCTTGGTCACTTTGGTAACATGCACCCTCGGCTCTCTCACCCTCCCATTTCCTCTGACTTCCTTCCACAACTCCCTCTTGAACTCATCATAACCAAGAGCTCGTCCATCCTTGCTAAGCTCGCTAGCCTCCTTAGCAACAAAGTTCTCAAACGCAGTATTGAAATCAGGCTCAGATGAAGCCCCGTAAAGTGCCTCTAGCTTTCTGCGTACCCACTCGGGAAAAGGAGGCTGTAGATCTTTGCTGATGTGCACGGGTCGGTGGGAAGGCATATCGGGATAGAGCTGATCGTGAGGAATGGAAAGACCCCACGACATCGTGTGGTAAATTGGGGTTGTGTCGGAGGGCTTGAGGGGGGGAATGCTGAACTATGATTTGCCGCTACTTGATCATGTATACTATATATATGATGAACTAGCTAGAGGGGAATCGCCTACTTTGGGTTAGTTCACTTTTTATGTCGTGACGTCAGCGGGGTAATTTCAGTCATCTGCCTCAGTGCTTCAAGGTCACCGGTCAACGTTGTCAACGTTTCAACTTCGACTGAGCCTTCGAAGCGCATGAAGCTCGAGAACATGAACTAGAAAGTGCTCAATAGTAAGCACAATCTGGGCTAAGACAGGCTATCACTGCTGACCTGCAATTCTGTCAATAGCACGGCCAGGCTTTCAGCGAATATTTGCGTGTATTTGCCTCCTTGTCTCCGAGTTCATAGCATCCTACTTCATCCCTCAAGTGTTTCTGGGTTTCAATAGATATTCATAGGATCCGAATGGCTCTGTTGGCAACGTTCAATATGCAGTAGAGGCTTCGCCGATGGAGGTCCTGCTGGGCGAACTTGTCGAGTTGGAGAATGTTCATCATGATGCACGTGCGTTGATCGCCGAGGCCCACTGGCCATCCAATATTCAATGTTTAACAGTAACAACGTACCAAAATCGCAACCCGTGGACCCCTCTACTCTTAACATCCCCGACTCGTCAGGACCTGCTCGCCAGTTTTGTACGGTAAATCCTTTGCTTGACGCAGGTTCCGAACCATCTTGCTATCCTAGTGGCGGACTAAACCTGTGGGGACAGTTGAGATCAAGGATACGTGTTGTCAGTGTACACCGAGTTGCTTCCCAGCGGATTGAGGTTCTTTCTCGCAATTCTGTCCAGGCTCCACGGTGGGAGACGACCCATTCCGTTGGGTTCCTTACCCTTCTGTCTGGCAAAATTTCTTATGAGTCCGTTCTTCTACCATGGCAAGCAACTTTTGCACCTTAGCAGGGTTCAAACTCATAGTAGTGGTAAGCGCATATATCTACGACGGATCACTTTGTCCATAATCTCCGTCGGCAACCATTCCTACCCTTTGTCGAAGGTTGAGGAAGCTCACATCGATTGAACTGGATGCAGGAAGAGAGATGGTTATAAGTAATCTACAAAACGGTATACTTACTTTGAACAGCAATTCTGTTGGACGGACCCCAATTTACTGCCAGGACCATTCGCAGGTTTCTGAAGACTATTAACCACATAGCACATTCCTCTCCATCCCTACCAACTTAGTATGCCAAGCTGCACGAAATATATTACAATCGGTGAAAATAGTCTCCACTATATAACCACGCCTGCGGTTTGATTTCAAACTGGACTACAATGAACAGTTTGAGGTGATTCTGAATTCTCTGTCCACCCACTTCTATGCAAGCGTAGTTTTCGTCATTTGCACTTCATTCGATTCTCTGACTGTTGAGCCAATACGAAAGCTGAAGGAGTCAGGATCTTTTTCGGCCGATAGGCCTCCGATGACCCAAAGGTTAGGGTCATTACTATGAATGGCGCAGTGGGGAAATTATTTTCGCGCCAAGTTGGGATCATTGCTATAAACCCGAGTCACTAGCTTTACAGCTCATCCTCCTTGCTTCCAACCATGTCCTTCGCCACTCGTTCTACTCAAGCCCTCCGTGCCGCTTCGCGTCGTGCAACTCGCAATGTTGCGAATGTTGTCGTAAAGCAACAGACCGCTTCATACTCTCTGCTTGCCCGCAATGTTGCTGCTGCGTCCTCGAAGAGGTCTGCCATTCAGGTAGGCTCGAGTCCAGCGCGATACGTCTTATTTGTTATTCATTCGCTTTGTAGACCACCACCCGTGGTGTAAAAACTCTCGACTTTGCTGGCACCAAGGAGGTTGTTTACGAGCGAAGTGACTGGCCATTGGCTAAACTGCAAGACTACTTCAAGAACGACACTCTTGCTCTCATTGGCTATGGTTCGCAAGGCCATGGTCAGGGTCTCAACGCCCGTGACAACGGTTTGAAGGTTATCGTCGGTGTCCGCGAGAACGGCGAGAGCTGGAAGCAAGCGATCGAGGATGGCTGGGTATGACTCCTCCCGCTGTCTAGTGTTATTTACTCTCTAACATTGTTTTTCTCAGGTTCCCGGAGAGACCCTGTTCCCCATCGAGGAAGCCATCAAGCGTGGCACGATCATCATGAACTTGCTTTCTGATGCTGCCCAGTCACAGACGTGGCCCCAGGTCGCACCCTTGATCACCAAGGGCAAGACGCTCTACTTCTCGCACGGTTTCTCCATTGTGTACAAGGATGACACCCATGTCATCCCTCCCCCCGATGTGGACGTCATCCTTGTCGCTCCCAAGGGCTCTGGCCGCACTGTCCGCACACTCTTCAAGGAGGGTCGCGGCATCAACTCGAGCATTGCCGTCTGGCAGGACGTCACCGGCAAGGCCAAGGAGAAGGCTGTCGCGCTCGGTGTCGCGATTGGATCTGGATACATGTACGAGACGACGTTCGAGAAGGAGGTGTACTCTGACTTGTACGGCGAGCGTGGTGTGGTACGTATCATCGAATTCCCGTTATACGTCTAAAGCTCACCTCTCTTCGTAGTTGATGGGTGCCATTCAAGGACTCTTCCTTGCCCAGTACAAGGTCCTCCGTAAAAACGGCCACACTCCCTCAGAAGCCTTCAACGAGACTGTCGAAGAGGCGACCCAGTCTCTGTACCCTCTCATTGGCCAGTACGGCATGGACTACATGTACAACGCTTGCTCCACCACTGCCCGTCGTGGTGCGTTGGATTGGGCCCCGATCTTCGAGAAGACGAACACGCCGGTGTTCGAGCAGCTCTATGAGAGCGTCAAGAACGGCACCGAGACCCGCAAGTCTCTCGAGTGGAACAGCCGACCCACTTACCGACAGGACCTCGCGAAGGAGTTGAAGGAGATTGACGACCAGGAGATCTGGCGTGCTGGCAAGGTCGTCCGCTCTCTCCGTCCAGACAGCCAATCGTAGAAAAGTTGACATGTTGTTGTGTGTCGTACGGAGTCGTCGTTTTGGAGCTGCAAGGAGATCTAAAAGCACAATTGCGTGCGTTGATGCATTTATGCACTTGCTTTCTTTTAATGTACTATCATTGTCTTGGAATAGAGGTATCGCTTCTTGAAAGACAACTATGGCTAGAAATATTAGCACATTTTTACTATTTCCCAAAGCGGAATATTGTGTCCAAATATGGCAAAAGCTTTAATAAGTAGGCGCGTTCGATGACAGTAAGCTATGGGAAGCAATGTGCCACATAATCTAGTGTATCTATGGTCGTAAGGAAATCAATGTAGCAACAATGCAGAGATTATAGTGCTACGTATCGTAAAACTCGGTCCATGCAAGTAAACAACATATATGATCTAAGTATGGCCATCGGAGGTCCGTCAAATATACAGTGCATAAGAGCCAATAACAGGTCGATGGTCACTTCGTCCCATGAGTCTCTTCATTCCCTTATCATCCAGCGTATGATAGCCCAGACACGCCACGTCGCCTTTACGTGGTGGAGGTGCTGGCGGTTGTTCAAGGGTAGTTTCAGGTTCGGCAGCTAAATGAGGATGATCGCGAGAGAGGAAAGGGAAGAAACTGAAGTTCCGCCAGATGTTTGAAAGAGGTTGTGCATGTGTATCCTTCGGAGGAACATGAGGAGGTGAGTCGAAGGAACCGGATGATAGGTCAGGTAGTGTTAGTTGTGGTGGACGTGAGGTATCAGGTGATGTGGTCGGCGGGGTATCGAAAGAGTGCATGGGAACTATGGGAAAGGGAGGCTTGCGAAGCTGGACTGTGCTCTCGACAGGTGACCAGGTTAGAGCATTAAGACGGTCTAGGGGTGGCCTTTCGATCTTCTGCAAGGTATCTATAGATCGAGAATTTAAGAGTCGTCGGGGAGGACGAGTCAGGGGACTCGATGGATGATGAACTCGAGGTGATATTCGGTGATCAGGCTCTCCTTCATTGTCACTCACTTCAGGCGAAGTCAGTGAATTGGCAGAGAACTGAGAGTCCTTTCGTGTCCGAAGAGAGGATGGTCGCAAAGCATGGAAGAATTGACCCATACGAGTCCGAGGGACCATTGGCTGTGCAGGAGACTCTTCTTCGTCTGAATCAGATTCTTCAGGTTCGATCGTTGACTTGAACAATATTCGATCACACCTACACATCGAATTAGTGACAACGGCACTTGTTGTTGACAGTTATTACTCACCAGCTCGGAACGCGCTTTTTGTTAGACGAATCATAAACGCCCTTCCCATCATCATCGGAGTCCTCATCTTCCTCGCTTTTCCTCGACTGGGACGAACCAGCCCGCACGACAGCCTTAGCGACCTCACCAGCGCTCGATGCAAGACTCCGACTCGGTTTCAAGAACTTGTCATCCTCTGGATTGGGAGTTGCGGGAACACTGGGCCCTGGAGTAGGTGGAAACGTTGTAGCACGGAAGGTCGGTGATGTCGCAGTCGAACGTGAGCCTGATCCCTCATCGAATTGTTGACCGGATTTCCTCTTGAGTTTGATCAACTTGGCTGCAGGAGACCCAGGAGATGAGGACAGTAAAGATACAAACTTGGCTTTCGCTTTGTGTGCTGCTGCAGCAGCCCATACCTTGTGTAGAGCGGCATTCGAATGTGCATTCGCACGCGTGGCTGCGGCAGTAGAGGAATTGGTGTATGAAAAGTATTCGTCTTCATCAGGGTCCAAGAGTCCCTTCTCGTGTTCACTGGTATCACCGTTGGTATACCGCGATTGTGCGTTCGTCCACAAAGACGAAGCAAGAGAAGCCCCTTCACCATCTTCAGCCTCTGCTTCGTCCTCCTCATCGTCGTCCTCACGCTCATCACTCTCTTCTTTTTCCTTCTCCTCAATCTCCATGATTGCGTTCTCGCGCGGCGGCTCAGGTGTACCAGGAGTCCTGGATAGCCGTTTCAGCGATCGAGACTGCTTACTTCGCCTGTTTGAACGTTGCACATCGTACTTGAAAGTAGGCGGGAAGTCGATGGGTCCCTCATGGAAACCAACAAAGGCTCTACCTTCAGCCATGACCCTGCGCAGCTGGTCGAACGCCAGTGCTTGGGCGTATTCTGTGAATGGTGAGGATGACATCGATATGAAAGACTAGGCTCACTTACGTTTCTGCGCGACTAGCCAGTCAGCGTGAATGCGAGTAATGTCTAGACGGAAGTTGAGGTCTCCGAATATGAACGAAAAATCGAATTTGTCCGTCAGATCTGTAAGTCTTCAGTGGATGGAACATCGTCTTGAGCTGTTCAGCTTACCTTCACTCATGATACGTGGGTCGTCTGGCGGAAGGAAGTCGTTCACCGCTAGCTCGGCCTGCAAAGACATTAGGAAAAGCCTGTGACAAACAGGACATGCAAACCTTGATCTTATTCAGATTGGCCAACCGGTGATGCATCTTCCCCTCATGAGCTGATGATGAATTGGTGAATCGTTTGAGACCCAATCATTTGCAGTCGGACTTACCAGCTAGGTGAGCGTTGATAAACAATAGTGTTGTCCCAGCGAGGTTAATGCTGACACCGACGCTACCCTTGTTGCCCAGACGTCCGCCGATCAAGCCAGCCGTCACTGCAGATTTAGATGTTCCTAAGCTTAAGATGGTAAATTGACAGAAGTCTCCCAGATACAGATTGCGAACCTCGAACAAGAGGCCGAACGTCCCGATGAACGAAAACGGCGATATATAGACCCATCATCCGTTCCTTCACAAGCAACTCATATGGCCCCCGATTACTTGCAAGCAAGCTCATACGCGCATTGAGGTCACCTGTCGATTGAGCTTTCGGGGATATGACAATCTCCTCATTCCGGCGATCACGCTCGTCTCCTATTGGCACATCCAATAAGGTCGGCGGTGGCACAACGGCTTCAGTACTCAGAGGATTGACGCCCTGTGTATACCACTCCTCCAACATCGACGACCAACCATAGGGACCATGAGCGTGTTCGTGAGATGAGTTACTGCCGGAGACCGGTAAATGATCCCGGTCATGTCCCCTCTGCGAGTAGTCACGATGAAGATGAAGACGATGCAGGGAACGCGGACGTTCGCGCTCCTCGTGTTCCTTTCCTCCTTCACTCTTCGAGTGCAGTAAAGGCATATGATCGCCAAGGTCATCCTTTTCCTTGGTTTTGTCACGATCCTTATCCCTTAATTTGAAGCCGGGTGCACCTAAACCTCGGGGAAGACCTGCACGTACAATTGCCACTTGACTGCATGTAAGAGATATCAGGTAGCTCACCAGAGACTGTCGGGCATTCCTGCCCTGCACTACAGAAGCAATGTTGGGACAGACAACCAACTGAGTTTGGTGGTGACTTACACGACGACCAGATGATACGGGTGGGTTTCGTCGGCAGCAAAGTCGGGCAACGTCTGGCCATCCGACAGAGGGTAGGACAGTGGTGCAGGATGTACCGTGCCAAGTAACTCGTCCAACTCGCCCTATAGCGTATCAAGTTTGCCATGCTGTAGTAAGCACTTTCGAAGCAGACGTACCTTGGGCAGCGATTCGTGCATGTTCCATGTCAGTATCCGAACTTTGATGAACTTTGGTGGAGGTCGTTCTTTCTTCCTCCTGGGAGAGGTGAGTCCAGATTGCATAGGTCTAGGAGGAAGAGGAGGCGGGGAATCGGCGCCAGGTGCTGGCGATGAAGGGAAGAGGGCATGGAGACGCGCCATGACACCTGAAACTCATGTTAGTGATCACCTCAGTTATATAATATCTACCAGCTGACCTGGTCGGTGCAAGCTCTGTTCGTTTGTATTCAAAAGACTTTGCGGGTACGAGTCTACCTTGGACATCGCGGGATGGGTCGCTGTTGTAGACATTGTTGTAGCATGCCTAATTCTGATGAATCACAACATGAAATTTTTAACACAGTACAACAAGCAGAAGGCCTCGGATACGAATGCTGCGTGTCCTCCAGAGCCAGATGAGAGTATAAGATTAAGAAACGGAGGCAAGTGAGTAGTTCTCAGCAAAGACAAGTGCATACTACTGAATCGAGGCAGAGATGAGGACCGTGGGAAAATGTACTTAAGGTAAGCTTTGTCCTATTCTGGCGCGTGCAACTTGTCATCTCACTCCAACGTTCTCTACTGCCTCAACTTCGTAATTGAAGAAGTTGAAGGTGACTATACCGGGGATTGTCCCATTCGACCAAATTACGACTTTCACGATTCAATCTTTGTCTACGATACCCCATCATGAACCAGCTACAGCCACCGCCACCTTCCAAGGTCCAACGCGTCTCGAAAGTAGCCGAGGAGAAAGATGCAGACGTGCGTATCTTATGGGCAAATCTGATTCATTGCTTACATGATCTTTTTAGTTTATTGCTCTGCGAATGCTCAACAAACGAGCACGCGTGAGGATATCACCAGAGCCATTGCATCTGGAGTTACTTCCTGGGAAGGGTGAGCTCTTCGCCGTGGCAAATCGACTGGGTGAAGGGTGCTTTGCTGCTGCATCTCGAAGCCCCGAAGGGCAATACAGTATGTTCACACTGCTTTCTATTGCTAACTATATCCCTCAAACCGTATTGCAGGTGTCATTGCATCACCATTGGCGGATTTACGTGCGGCGTTCTCCTCATCGCCTTCTGACGGCGAAATCGTGTTCAAGCCAAAAGTGTCAATACCGCTTTCTGCTACACCTAATATCATTACTTTCGCTGCTCAGGAAACCAGACTCATCGTCGGTACATCTCAGGGACAAATCATCGTGTACGATGTGCAGCAATTGCTTGCGGGCGGTTTCAATGCTCTTTCCCCCTTATTCACGTTCGCCTCCACGACAGGTCGTGCCGCCAGACAGATTTTGCCAAATCCCGAGGGTGTTCCTGAACTCGTAGCTGTTCTATATGATTTCGACGGTAGTGCTGGCAGCCCGGCTGTTCAAATTCTGGATGTAGTGAAGATGCAGCCTGTGGCTGGAATCACATCAGGTGGAACACCAGAGACCACTCCAACAACGCGTATGTATCTGAAACATATGCTGCCTGCACATAATGCACTAACGTCTTCATACTAGTTTCATGGTCCCCGAAAGGCAAACAGATCGCAATCGGCTTACAAAGCGGTGACATTGTCACCTTCAGTCCTACAGATACATCCAAAATCAAGACCTGTATTCCGAGACCCTCGTCGCTACCTTCGCATCCCATTCTTTCAACAACATGGCTGGCAAACCCTGATTTCCACTCCATATATATTGCTCCAGGGCCATTGACCCCCGATACCGAACAGTCACATTTATTACTCTCCTTGGACGCGAAAACAAATACTGCGACAGAGGTGAAGCTGACAACACCATATTTACCGTTTCCCGGCTTGCGCTTGCCTGGAGCATTCATTGCCCTCTTCCGTAATTGGGACCCAGCCAAGTTCTTGCTCTTCGTAGGCGACAGTACGTCGTCCGATATTGGATTGATTGGATGTTTGTACGATTCTTCCACGCCGAACAATGAATCATGGTGCAATCTGATGTTAGAAGAGACCTCTACACCAACTGTTCCTCTGGATAAGGATATGAATGAAACCGTGCTAGTCGGTCTTACGCTAGACCTCACAGGCAAGGAAACGTTCGCACATACAACTGCATCTGGAGAAGACCGCATCCTACCTCCTCCGCCAGTTATGTATGCATACGCCAGTGACGGTACTGTTGTCGGTTGGAGCGTGTTGAACACAAAGGGTACGCCATATCCAGGTATGGCAACTGCGACTACACCTTTGCCCATAAGCCAAGCTCCCAGCGTAGAGCCAATGGAAGCTTCAGCTGAGCCTGCAAAACCTGTCCCATCTGGATTCGGTGCTTTTGGTCAAACTGCTACTACAACATCCGCTTTTGGTCAACCTTCGGCTTTTGGACAACCGTCAGGGTTCGGGCAACCTAGCGCCACCTCAGCTTTTGGACAGAGTTCCTTTGGTCAACCATCGGCATTTGGATCGGGATCTGCGTTTGGGGCAGGACCTCCAAGTGCATTCAACCAGCCATCGGCGTTTAGTTCCACAAGCACACCATCTGCATTCCCATCTGCCGCTACTGGAGGTGGCTTTGGCGCGTTTGCAGATGCAGGACCTGCGAAGTTTGGCCAGCCATCATTGTCTGCATTTGGAGGTGCTAGTGACTCGTCATCCAGGCCGCCTATCGAGAGCTCGATGTCTGTCCAGATGTCCACATCTGAAGAACCAATGGCAGCAGACAATGATAATGCTCCCGCACTGGGTGGCCTTTCCCTAGGTGGCGATCGCGAAACATCGAAGCCGAAGTCTGTTCTCGGCGGCGCCACGGGCCTGTTTGGATCGTTACCGTCAACAACACCATCTACGACCGACACAAGTAAACCCACTTCCGCATTTGCGCCGACAAGTGCATTCGGTGATGGAAGCTCTACCAGCATTCTCAAACCTGCGACTGGATTTGGCGCTTTTGCAAACACAGGCCCCTCTCCTTTCGCCGCTACATCTGCTTTCGGATCCGGCACTTCAGCATTCGGTTCTGGTGGTGAACAAAACAAGCCATCTACTGCGTCACCGGCGTTCGGTACTACAGGCTTTGCAGCTGCTAAGCCAGCAGCGCCTGCCTTTGGACAAACTAGCTTCGGTGCTGCCAAACCAGCGACGGCGACATTTGGTCAATCTAGCTTCGGGAAACCAGGACTTGGTCAACCCGCTTTTGGACAGACAAGCTTTGGCTCCACACCAGCATCTCCAGCACCCACTACAACCTCAGGCGGTGCGTTCTCTGGCGGCGGCGGATTCAGCGCGTTCGCGTCAGCTGGTCCTTCAGCTTTTGGAGCAGTGGCGGGAGCTGCAAACGGTGCCAAGCCAGTCTGGGCTAGCGGTGGTGACAAAGTTGCAGCTGAGAAGCCGGAACAAGAAGAGCGCAAGGAGCAAGTCGAGGAGCCTAAATCAGTGCCGGCTCCGCCAGCTACCGTGACAAAGGAGGCGGAGGTTATTACTCCACCGCCAGAGATACAGGCAGAACCCGAAACTGCGAAGGAAGCTGTTGTCGAGAAGCCGCCATCAAGTACTGAGGTAGCTGCCGAAACCACGCCTACTCCCGCTCAGCCCACAACTACGACACCTGCTACCTCTCCGTGGGGTGAGGTTAGCCCAGGACCAAAAACGGGATTGTTCGCCAACCTACAAAATCACCCTACAGGATTCTCTAAGCTGGATTCGGGTTTCGGTGCTTTTGGCGGCGGCGTCAACACAAGTTCGCCCTTCTTCAACCCACCAAGAATAGAGGGCAGTGTCTTCGGGAAACCCTCCACAGAACCAGCAAAACCTGCTTTAAGCGCTTTTGCCGGGAAGTCAGTATTTGGCCAGCCCTCCACCCCAGAAGGTTCACCAGGCAAAGCTCCCGTGACACCTCCCTCAGGAATTGCGTTTGGGTCTACTAGTCCTTTGGGCAAAGCGGCACCTGCTTTCGGCAAACCAAGCTGGGGAACACCACCTACACCAACTACGCCCACTACTCCCGAAGTTAGCCCAGCCAAATCTGCTGCTGCTGCTGTCAATGCTTTCAGCGCCTTCAGCGGGACCAAAAGTGCATTTGGAGCTATTGCGGAAAGCCAGAAGAAAGACTTCAGAGAACTCCTGCTAGAAGAAAAGGACGAGCCCAAGCCGGTATCAGTATTTAGCAAGCTTCCTCCTTTGCCAACGCCCCCAAGTCCAGCCAAAGGCAAGGCCCCTGCTGCTGAGGTTGAAGAGAGCGAGGAGACGGAAAGTTTTGATGAGCAATATCTTGTCGAAGGCGAACCTGGGTATGAGGATGATGCGAGTTCATTCCTGTCAGAAGACTTCTCTGAGGGTTCATACCCTGAGGAGGGGGAAGAACAACCGCCGTATGCTCTTGAAGAAGAAGAAGAACCCGAATCCCCTCCCGTCGGTTCTCCCAGTGAGGTCGCGGTCAATATTCCCCTACCGAAGAGCCCGACTCCTCAGCCACGGGAGAGGTCTCCGACCCCGAAGGAAGCTACACCCAACATACAGCTCACCACTCCTTCACCTCCTGCGACTCCCGGGCTATTAGATAAGGTTGCGCCCAAAGAGGTACCTCGGAGAGAAGAGAGCACTACACCCCCCGGTTCACCCGTGAGACCAGCTTCACCTCCGCCAGCTGCGGCTCCTGTACCTGTAGTCGTTCCAAAGCCCATACCTTCCACCACACCGGCAATAGGTCTTGGTAGACCGTCAACTAGACCTGCGCGAAGTTCGCCATTGGCCAGCGCCCCCATCTCCGGTGACGAGAGCTCTGATGAGGAGAAGACAACCGTTACACCATCAATATCTGCACCCCCAGCCGTTCGGAAAGTTTCCTCTAGACCACAAACACCTCCTTTGTTGTCCAAGATACCGACTCCACCGAAACCTACGAGCATTTTCTCCACTCCACTCACTGGATTCGGTCTGCCACCGAAACCCGCTGTAAGTACGGAGGCTGCTCCTCCATCTGCCCCACCGCCACCTGTAGGAGGCCTATTCGGCAAAGCTACTCTTGCTCCTACGGTTGACAAGGAGACCGCATCGCTCTCTACTGAGGTCAAGAGTGCATTCCCGCCTTCTAGTGGTATCTTCGGACAGAAGCCGACATCTGTATTCTCCGCATCGCCGTCCACAGGTTTCTTTGGACAGAAGCCCAGCCCACCCACTGCACCTGCATTTGCTACACCTCCTACGAGTGTGTTTGGACAGAAGCCAGTAACACCGCCATCGCTACCCACTGGTGGATTGTTCGGACAGAAGCCTCCTGTTGTTGCACCTCCTTCTGGAGGACTGTTCGGGCTCAGAGATGCTTCGATTTCTAAGCCTGCTGCAGCACCGTTAATTTCGCCACCTTCTGGTGGATTATTTGGCAAGCCCTCGGTACCTACACCAGTCCCGGCAGCACCCAAGGCACAGGAGGTCTCTGTAGAAGAAGGCATGCAGGCGGAATGTGCTTATCTTTTTGTGACATTGGCAAAGGAACTCGATGCAGTACGTATTACTTTTTTATGCAAGCTTGATAGGTTGACTAATATAAGTATGATATGACAGCTTCGTTTGCTCGCTGAGGAAGCCAAGCAAAAGAAAGCAGAGCTTTACAAACCATCTCGAGGTGTAAAGAACCTTGCTGATCTTCCAGATTCATCGCAATGGGCTCTGGGCGATGTCGTTGACTACGGGCGGATCATGAAGACGGTCGAAAGGGACATCGTAGAGTTGAAGGAGTTGCGAAGTGGTCACAAGAAAGCGATCCGCGATTTGGAACGGACTGCGCTCAGAAGTGCGATCTTTATCTTGACTTTTTGGCCTTCGTTTTTGCTGACTAGTGTGATGAATAGCTAACATGAGGAAGGAAGAGATTGCTCGCTTCAGCAAGGCTAGTACGGATACTGAGCTTGCGAGGATTCTGAAGGCCAGGACACTCAGTCCGGAACATTTGGAGACGCAGAGTCAGTTGCGAAGGGAAATCAGGGTAAGTCGTGGGATTATCGCAGAAGATATAGTCGGTTTTCTGAGCTTTATCCAGGTTATACGTGACAGGATCCAGAAACTGGAAGATCATCTTCAGGCGTCGAAAAAGAGGTTGAACCAGATCAAGTCCGGCAAACCAGCTGTTCAGTGAGTAAACAATCTATGATGTACTAAGAATACGTTATTGATTTCTTCGAAAACCGTAGTGCACCTTCTTTGGATACTATCAACAGGACATACCGTAACATTGATACCGCCATCGCTCAACAACTCAACGATGTTTCACATCTCGCCGGCCGTATGTCAAAGCTGAACCTGAAACCCTCCAGAAATTCACCGGCGCCCAATGACCATGACAAACGAATGCCCGAGGATAGTTTCCTGGCTCTTACGAAAGAAGACAAACGCATCATCCCGTTGAACGTCACTCCCAGCATAGCTGTCACCACAGCCGCTGCGTTGAACGCCGAGAGAGCAGCGCAGAGGCTTAAGAAAGCACTGCTAAAGGTCCGCAGGGAGCCACTATTGAACACACAAGCTGTTGAAGCATCTGCCACTCCGGTAGACTTCAAAACGCCTCAAAAGCCGTCTGTCAATGGTGTCTTGGTTTCCGGCTCACCATCGACATCTTTCAGCTTGGGTGGTGCGACTTCTACTCCTGGGGCATCGTTTGAGACACCGAAGTGGAGTTTACCACCTTTCGATCTCTCTCCTGAATCGCCTGGGTCGCCGTCGGCTTCACCATCCCATGGTGCAGGCATGCGTCAACGGACGAACAAGAACCACACACCTGCTCCTAAGTTGAAGAAGACTCTTGGTGCTGCTGGAACGTCCCCGCCTGCGGGACCTCCTGGATTCAGTTGGGGTCCTTTGCCGCCTGTTGTTAATCAAGCTCCGAAGACTGTTTTACCTTTCTCCTTGTCCCCGCAGAAGTGAGGATTGTTGTTGTTTATATTGTTTTTACCTTTCCTAGCACGCTTGTACATGTCACGTCTTACATACAGACTGTATTGTACATTTTTTTGTCAGCACTCCATGATGATTATACTATCAACTTGACATCTCTCTCTTCTTCTCCTGCTCAATATCCGATCCTGCACTCTCGTCACCACTCTTCCCATTGGTACGCGCACCATTCTCCTCCTCAGCATCCTGAAACGGATCATAGATAATACTTTCCATATGTGCCAAGGCAGCCTGAAGGATAGATAGGTGGGACGCGTCTAGTACGGATGGAAACGGTTATTGGTGAGATCACTGCGCACCCTCCCGACTTCACTGAGCTCCTGGTCATTGTCTCCTGAGAATGGCTCAAACGCGTCGGCATCGAGGAACGCGTCATCGTCCTCGTCCATTTCGTCTGCTGCTGCAGGATCTGGGTGTAATGAGGCGCATAGTGAAAGTGCCTCGAAGATAGGTTCCACTGCGGCGTGAAGTCAGTATCGTACTCCTCGTGAAACAATGATATAGACGATTGCGTACGTGCAGATGCATCTTTTGGGATGATTGTCATTTCCCTCATGGGGCTATCCTCATCGACATTTTGTTGCTGGCTCTCTCCTGCAGCGATGCCTGCATTTTCGTCCAATTGACAGTATATCGAAGGTCCCGACTCAGCACGAGAGATCGCATGTAGAGTGATAGCAGGGTATTCTATCTGGAAGCCACGTCCGGACGAGGACATGAAGATGAGGACGCTAACATACATTTCAGCAATTTAGTATACCAGGGAAAGTCGATCGTACCTCTCGATCACGTAGAGCGTTCCGTTTGCGCAGTCTTCCGCCGAGAAACCTTCGAGTGGGGGGTCGATAGTTATGGAGACGTTTTCTTCCTTGTGGTGGAGAACTGGCGGGATGTCGGTAAAGGAAGCGGGAGTTGAGGCGATGACTTCTCGATGTTGCTCAGGAGTAATGTACGTTGGAATGGTAGAAATCAGTGTGAAGGGTGCCATAGCTATTTGAACGTTTGTGTGTCGATTAAGAAAGTTGACAGAGTAGCCTAACGTTGACGATGTTGAACGACCCGAGCGAGTTGAGCAGTCTGAGTTCAAGTTGAAGCGCGTTTCGCAAGTTCCGGGCGTCTATATGGTCATCCCCGTATGGTAATCCGAGAAATAAGGCACCGTTGCCGAGGAAGACCTCTGCTCTTGATTCCATCTCGCAGCGCAGCCTCGTCAAGTTGTATCCGCCACTCTTTATTATTTCAAGTACCCCCCCTCTCTTCTTCCTCACTTCACAAGAGGAATTGATTCAACATAAACAATGGCAAAGTCCTCTGATTCTATCCTTCTCGCACACATTCTCTCTCAAACACAGGCCAACATATCTTTCTTGGCTGCTCAAGATATTATCTCCCCAGCGGATGCCTCTGACATGATCACTCGTCTGGCAACAGCTCAGACGAAGAGGTCATACTCAACTGATCAACAGACCAACGGGTTTAATGCGCTCGCTATTGCACCTGCACCGTCACACAGTCCTGTAGCAGAGCCTCAGGCGGTCGCCCCTCCTGTTCGTCGCAATATTCCTGCTCCCCCGCCACGAGTGCAGAAGGCAAAGGCAATTTGGGCGTACAACGACGACGGAACTGTGCGTATTTTTATACCATGACGCCCAGTACATAGTATTCATTGCCTTGTATACAGGAACCGAACGACTTGTCGTTCTCCGCTGGCGAAATCATTGAAATTGTAGATGAGACCAATGGAGATTGGTGGACAGGAAAATGCAGAGGTCGTCAAGGCCTCTTCCCCTCCAACCATGTCGAGAAGATCTCTACGCCTGCTACTTCACCACCTCCTGCACCCTCTCCAGTAAACGTACCCACTGCTGCTCCGTGGGTCCCAGCAATGGGCATGCCTTCTCAACCTCCGGGCTATCAGACTCCTCCGCAGGGCTATCAAGGGTATGGTCAAGAGAAACCTGCATATAGGCCGTTTGGTGCGGCTTATCACGGTCTTGATCAACCACCTCCTGCTAGCGGTGGAGTCAATTCTGTTGGTCTGCAGCATGAAGAGACGGAACATAAGGAAAAGAAGAGCAAATACGGAAAGCTTGGAAATACTGTATGTGTTGTGACCATAGGCAATGTAGTTTTGATACTGATATGGTTCGTTGATGATATAGATGGCTACATCAGCTGCCGGCGGTGTGGGATTCGGCGCAGGTACATCCCATTCGACGTTTCTTCGCATTGTATTTGTGCTCATGTCATTTCAGGTGCTGCTATCGGAAGTGGTATCATCAACTCGATTTTCTAGACAATCTTTTATTCGTGGTTGCTCAGTTTTTTATGCATACCCCTGGACACGGACTTTGATACGTACACAATCCACATTCGCTAGTTATGCTACTATTACTCGCCTACCTTAATTTCTTGAAACCCGAGTGAGTAACGCCATGATGTAGCAGCATCGTATCTACCGTCAGCACCAGTTGTCGCTGTCACAGCTTATGCGAATGGATAGTTTCATTCAAAAGCCATAGCGAAGAGGTCATTCCAATTTATTGTCGACATCGGTATTTAAGGGTTAACGTGAACACTTGACACCATTGAGGCCAAGAATATTGTTTCTAAGTACAGCTGGAGTCCCTGTAAATGCAGCCCCTTGATACGCTCGAAGTTAACAACCTTTTTCACGAATTCACATAGCCACTGTTTCACCAAGATGCTGATGGAAGTCGCAGCCAGGCTGAATATCAAAGAGGCGATCCATATAATATTGAATAGTCTTGAAAGTACAGAATTGATAATATTTGTACTATGAACCGTTCGCTACTATATTATTGCAAGCTAAGCCAAACCTTCTAACGGGAGCACCGTACAATGGAGACAATGGAGATAATGGAATCACTCGCGATCAACATGAGCCGCGACGCAAATCGCAAGATATACTGAGGGCGCTCAGTGAGCGAAACCTTGACTGAGGAGTAGTGGTGAAAACTCAGTGGGCAAAACCTTGACTGAAAAGCAGTGGTGAGAAATTACACTCACCACTGCTCTTCGGTTAAGGTTCTGACACCGTTGTTGCACCACCTACCACATTTCTCAAGTAACGAAGAAATTGTAGTGTAAAGTTCAATACTGGAACTCTTACGCCACAATGTCTTCATTGCTTCAGTCCGCTTCATTGCTCACCAACTTTGAGAACATCAATGCTCCCACCTGGGAGCGATCTGACATGCCATGTCAGAATCATCATGTCAGAACCCTCCCAGGTGGGAGCATTGAGCTCCGCCGGCGAGACAGCCATGTCTGGAGAGCACTTGGCCACGGATGAATGTACACGCCCTGTAGTAGGGAGTGTAGCCGCCACACGTCGCATTCCCAAGTAAAGGGCATGTACCATTCCCAACGAATCCTCGCTGCTTCTGTGTGAAATTAAATCGTCATGATTAAATTCCACCCAGAGGCGGCGAGGTATTCCGGTGGCCAATACCTCCTTCACTTTCTCCCTCCTTCCGTTTCGACCTCTTCGGAGGTAGCGAGGAACCAACCGTCGCGCCCATCGACTTCGTGCCTGTTGAAGTATGTAAAGGCTCTTGGGATCAGATCCCCCATTCCCTACAGCCTCTACATACCCGGACAGGCTTCACTTGCCTTTGCCATCTGCGGATTTGATGGGCACCTACCCGTCGAGGCGAGTGGGTGCCCATCGAGCCGGCAGATGGCAGTGTCTACATGCATTGATGCACATAGACTTATGAATGAACCGGTCGCCTACCCGAATCCAGTCGCATGACTCCAGTCCTCACACAGAGAGCCGTTGTCAGGACGCAGGCAGACATGTATGTCGTGACAAAGGCTCACTGTGTAATGCCTGCAGTGTCCCAGCCGAGTGTAGCAATGGCCCTATGACGTTATAAGGATGAGGAGGATGACTTCATCCTACGCGCGCTCTACCTCCGATGTTGTACACCAGCCATGGCTGGTGTACAACCTCATCGACATTGATGAGGTCGCGCCACCATCCACCTCATCTTCCACCACACCACTTTCACCTTCGACAGTCGGGGACAATGACGACGTACCTGTGTTAGAAAAGGAGGAAGAGTTGGGGAATGGGGGGAGGCATCCCCTCTTGCCCATGACTCTTTATACCTAACCGGCTGGTAATTTTCAGTAGAACGTTTTTACGGCAAGCGAAGGACATTGTCCTCAGGTAGTCTCAGATTTATTTTTCCTGCGTCGCCTCGTGTTGCCCTTGAAAGTTCCTTAAATAGCAGATACCTTGTTCATCGGAAGGCCCAAAGTGGGCCGCAGGTGTGGTTTACCCTTATGGGAGTGCCTCTCTTTGTGCTTTGTGATACTGCGCGACGCGTGGAGCTAAGTGAATATCTTGTAAAAACAATGAGGCCGCTGGCGTGATTTCAGCAGAACTTGCCTCGCCTACGCCTAATGTTCTTGGCGGCCAGATTAGTTTTGCACACGAGGATGGAAGCAACTTTGACGACGATAACGAATCGATAAAAGATTGTTGGTCGAAATGAACCACGTAGCCAGAAGGAAGCGCCAACAGGGTTGCTGTATTCACCATGATCGAGTTATGATCGGCGTTTGATCGCCCCCCAACTCACAAACTGACTCGGCTATAGCAACTTTTCGAACTCACGGAGCCTTCGTCATCGACCAAGATGCAAGGCTGATTTTCATGCCTCGATTACCAACTTCAATTTATAGCGATAACGACTGGAGATGTCTCTGCTCTTCAAGCATCTCCGAATACACCAGATCTTCGGTGCGAACACCGACGTCGGGAAGACGTTGCTAACCTCTGCACTTGTTCGAGCATCTGCAGCACTTGGAAATGACGTTTACTACTTGAAACCTGTTAGTACAGGACCCATGTCCGATGCCGATGACGAGTTGAGTTGACTCACAACATTGGGGAAAGTATGAGCTCATGTATTTTTAGGTATGTCAAACGGTTTGCTGGGAAACACAAATCTAGAGTCCGCACAGAGTGCTTGTTCCGGTTTGGAGAGCCCGTGAGCCCTCAGTTGGCTGCTCAGCTCGCTCAACGCGAAGAATCAAAAGTGTGCAGAGAATGTCATTGATCGGCCGGTGTCTTGCTGATGCGTTTTACTTCAGGTTTATATTCCTTCTGACAAGGAATTCGTGACTGCCGTTGCTAGTCATGTAAGAAAATGTGCTACACATACAGCACGACCGTCGCATATGTATGTCGAAACTGCAGGCGGTAAGTTTGCGAGATCCAAATTCATACGACATGAAGTTGAGTAGCAGTTGCGCGAAGATATCTGATAATGGTTTTGTTTAGGTGTACATAGTCCAACGCTGTCAGGAACAACCCAACTGGATAGCTATCGACCCCTCTTCCTGCCGACTATACTCATTGGCGACTCAAGGCTGGGAGGCATTTCCTCCACGATCTCTTCCTATGAGTCCTTGGTACTCCGGGGGTATATCGTTGATGCGATCCTTCTCTTCCGGGACGAGTATTATCGGAACTGGGAATACCTGAGTTCCTACTTCGCTGAAAAAGGAGTGCAAGTCCATGCTGTGGACCCTCCTCCTGCGAAACATACGGATAATAACACGAACATTCAGCTAACGGAGCAATTTTATTGGAAGATCGTTCCTTCTAACAATCAAGGGACCATCTTTGACACTGTTCGTCACCTCGATATTTGTCATACCCAACGGTTGGAGGAATTGGACTCTATGCCCCGTCGGACATTGGATACAATTTGGTGGCCATTCGTTCAACACGGACACGTGAAGACGGAGAAAGATGTTACTGTAATCGACAGTGCATCGGGCGACGTTTTCTCCCTCTACAACGGTCACAACACCGAAAGCTCCACACCGTCCCTTCTGGAACCACAATTTGACGGCTCAGCTTCTTGGTGGACACAAGCTGTCGGTCATGCACATCCGGCACTTACGATGGCAGCTGCACAAGCAGCAGGACGTTATGGCCATGTTATGTTCCCTGAAGCAACCCACCTTCCCGCTCTCAAACTCGCTGAACGACTCGTCAAGTTCGGACCTGGGAGAGGCTGGGCTTCGCGTGCATTCTTTTCGGACGATGGGTCGACAGGTATGGAGGTTGCGCTCAAGATGGCGTTGCGTGCGTTTGCGGTGAGAGAACAAGGAGGTTTAAAATCTGGAATAGGAATGGAAAAGAGACGAGGTTTAGGCGTGCTTGGGTTGAAGGGAAGTTATCATGGGGATACGATTGGTGCTATGGACGCTTGTGAAGAGGGAGTGTATACCTCGGAATGGCATGAAGCTAAAGGGTTCTGGCTTGATCCTCCAACAATTTCCGTCCGAAATGGACAAACGGTCATCTCTGTTCCACCTTCAATTTCTGCGGAATCGGAGGTTGAGACACAATCTTTGGGATGGACGTATGATATCACGGAACGTTTCAAGACACCCCTCGCAGCTGTGTACCGCCAACATATCGAATCCACCCTCCGCAAGCTTCGAAATAGTGAACGGACTTTGGCGGCGTTGGTCCTCGAACCCATCGTGATGGGTGCAGGTGGTATGATCTTCGTCGATCCTCTCTTTCAACGTATCTTAATCGATGTTGTCCGTTCTTCCAACGCATTCCCTGGTACGTTGAGTACAACCCCAGGGGAATGGTCGGGCCTCCCAGTCATCTTCGACGAAGTCTTCGTCGGACTTTACCGGCTCGGCTTCGAAAGCATCATCCCACTATTGGGCGTATTCCCTGATATATCCGTCAATGCCAAGATCCTCACAGGAGGATTAGTCCCCATGGCTGTCACTCTCGCCTCAGACTCGATATTCAAAGCTTTCTATAGTGAGAAGAAAGTCGATGCGTTGTTACATGGCCATAGTTACACTGCCTATCCTGTTGGTTGTGAAGTTGCGAATGAGGCATTGAATGTGATTGAGAAGCTTTCGAAGAGCGGAGAGTGGGAAGAGGCGAAGGCACGGTGGGCATCGCCCCAGGAAACGAAGCTGCAGTCTAATGGTGTATGGAGCTTCTGGGACCCTGACTTTGTTTCGGAGCTGTCGAAACTTCCTTGTGTTGGGGAGGTGATGACACTGGGGACTGTTCTCTCCATCAAAATCGCTGACGATACCGCTGGTCAGTTAGAGTTCTCCCCACAACCGGCATGCTATTGACTTTAATATTTCTCATGCTTTCAGGTTATCAATCGCATTCTGCACAAAAGTTACTCGACGTTATCAAATCCAGTGAAAACACTGAGGATGTTTCTCCTATACCTGGGGGATCACCCTTTGGGATTAACTACCGAACGCTTGGGAACGTTGCGTATTTCATGCTCAGCCTGAATACCGCCCCTGAAATCGTCAAAGCAGTCGAGAACAGGATTTGGAGGACACTCTCGTCATGAAGCGTTAATAGCGGAAATTGGTGTCCGGATGCGATCCAGAAAGAAGCACGCAAAGTTGCAACGTAGAGTAGAATAACAGCATAGATTAATAACCTTATTCAGTACATTGTGAGTTCAGTATATTGTGAGAAAGATAGAAGCCAAGGGATGACGGAATTCTATGCGAGAGCTGTAACCCGAGAGCGAGACAGACGAGATTAGGAGAGCAAAGGAGCGACAGCGACGACAATCGAGACTTTCAGATCGTTGGTTAAATACCAACCAGAGAGACAGGCGTCACAGATAAGACGAAGCCCCCAAAGTTCCGTGGGTTTCTAGATAAGTATTTTTGCCTGATCCTGACCCATTGTTTGACATAGTAGTCCGCATAGCCTGTGGGGTGAGAAGTGGTGTCGACTCCCTCGAGACAGGTGAGCCTCGAGAAGGTGAAAGCTCAGGCATATTTTGGGTGGGAGTGGAGGGTATTGGCCATTGAAGAACCTGGGACTCGGGAGTTGAGGGTCTAGTATTTACTGGAGTGGGACCTAAGTCAGGCGTTCGAGATAATTCTCGCGACATTGTGCGGGGACTAGCACGCGGAGTGATAACGTCCCAGCCACCTTCTGGTTCCGACGGGTATGGATAACCGTCGTCTGGTAGAGTGTCGCGACCAGAAAGCACCGGCGAAAACATCAAGAGATTGAAATCGCGCGATTCTTGAGACTCAGTTCGGAGGAGTTGCGGCGTGGTTTCCCGAGAGTAATATCCTTGGTATCCACAAGTGTAAGCGCCTAGAGAGGAACCAGACTCTTGCGACTCGGAGAGCACAGGTAGTGGTGTCATACCCCGAGAAGTAGCATCGAACTCATCGACTAGCACTCCAGACGCTGTCGTAGGGCCCTGCATTGCACTCGTAAATGCCGCGTTTTTGTTGGCAGAAAGTAAACAACATACCGAAAAGCTCGACTGGCTGGATTGACTGTGGTAGCTGAAGTGGCTCGCCTGACTCGCCTCTTCACGAGCTGTCGTAACATGGACCGTGTTTTCTATATGCTCCGACATGTTGGTTGGGCCAGAGCGAGGCACTCGACTGGTCTGAGTGGACTCAGTGGACTGGTTGGCCTGACTTGATTCACCAAAGTCGTCTGCATCAGGGATCATGTCCTCTTCTTCGGCTTGTGAAGACGGGATGATCTCGCTAGAATGGCTGTACTGGCTCGAGTCTTCGAATGTCTCCTTCGCATCGTCCATGGCGTCTTCACATTCAGATATGTCCGCATGGTACTGAGACTCACTTGCTGACTAAATACGACAGAATGTAAGCATTCTACCGCAGGGCCTGACAACAAATCCACCTACCACGAAACTCGACTGAGTGGACTGACTGAACTCATCGACAGTTTCCCTAGTTTCCTTAGTGTCGAGCACGGTTTCTTCATCTTCAGACGCGTAGCCTGACGAGTGGAAGCTTCTAGCATCATTGTCGTTGAACAACATGGCCTCAACCTCTTGAATGGATATTTGACTGTCCTGAGACTGAGCGGCCCAGTCCGGTGTTGTAGTAAAACCTGGCGTTTCAAAACAACTGTTACCTTCGTCGTCGTCGTTCTCTTCAACAGTTTCGGGGACCTGGGGCGCAGCAGGTGGACTATGGCCTGGGACGGTCATCACACCGAAACTGGGGTAGGCCCGCAATCCCGACTGTCTCTGTCTTTCCCACCTAGCCTGACGCTCATCAACGGAGCTTGAAGAGCTGGATGCTGAGAGTCCTGCAGTTGAGCCAGGCTAAAGAGTACATAAATGAGTATAGAAAGAAAGCTTAAGTTGTGAGTCGACGCACCTGTGTAGCATATCCACTTGCATTGGGTGTAGCCGGAGGGTTCATGTTACGATAGGTTCGGGCCATTATTGGGGTAGATAAACAAAAGGAGCTGCAGAAATGTTGAGAAGTGCGATGATACAGCGGAGGGACTGAGTTTGGGGTGGAGTAGAGTAAACGAAGGAATAACTTTATATATACATTTCGGGAGTGTGGTCCATAGGTCTTTGACCCGATCGGCCCATGCGCAACCACAAAGACAAAAGGGGCATAAAATTTGCTTCCCTTCGCCAAAGTTTGCCTCGTGTTGGTTGTTTGACCTTTTGATTTGCTAAACTGGGGCCAATGGAAGATGCCCAAGACACCACGCCTACAAAGTCCGAAACCGCCACATACGTGGGTGCTATCGTATACAGGATCAATGATCACACTGGAAAGATGCAGAAAACCCAGTGCACGATTCGTGGTGTTCAAAAGCCATCAGGGCCAGAGTTGAGCCACTCACTGGATCACATTCACAGTCGTTTCTTTCAGTACGTGTAATGGCCGTCAAGGACTTCCTCTCGAATACAGACATGCGGCACGTCAAGTTCTAATGTCTCAAGAAGGGTTTTAGTTTGTTGTGTCACCATACCAACTTCAAGGTCCAAACCGGAGATAGGGTTGTGTCTGTCAGTCTTGTGTCGAGATTTCAATTCGACAGATTGAGCATAGATCAAGAGTCACGAGCCAAGCTCTTTAGTTGAGTATACTACTGTAGTCGTCAGAGATGGTTCAAGTTGGGTTCAACCAAGGTTCAACGTTCAAGCCTGTCCCAGGTGGGAATAAAAACATACTGCATTAGGAAACTCTGATGGGGACATCGGAGTCCGGACTGACACCGGCGTCCTAAATAAGCCGCACCTTTCATTCTTACCTTCAAGTTGCCCATCAGTCAACCTTGCACCATGGGATTCGATATTCCTCCGTCAGCACTGGACTCTATATCAAGCGACTCGCGGAAATGTATTGAAAGGTTGAAAGCTCATCAGTTAGAGAAGGTGGACATGTTCGTTTCGTATTTCTGTACATTATGATCCAACCCCAACGGCGCTCCTAGTTCAGGTCGACCAAGTTCCAGACTCGCAGCAGTACTCGTGTTGCTCTATGAGGAGTCTGGAAAACTGAGAGTACTCCTGACAACGCGATCAAAAAGTCTACGGTCGCATCCTGGGCAAACCGCACTTCCTGGTGGCAAAGTTGACGATGTTGACGTCGACGTGATTCAAGCTGCGGTGGGTCTATGGAGGCTTACGTGCTCAAATCACACTGCATCTGATTTTATGATTCGGCATAGTATAGGGAAGCTAATGAGGAAGTCGGACTACCTCTTGACTCGCCTCATATCCACACGGTTTGCCTCCTTCGCCCGTACACGTCTTCAAGTAGACTGCTAGTCACGCCCGTTGTCGCATTGTTGACTGACACTTCTATCCTTCGCAACCTAACGCGATGTGAAGACGAAGTAGACCGAATATTTGATCATCCACTGGAAGCCATGTTAGACCCATCACTGGCTTCTGAGGAGCCGCTTGTAAAGAAAGGTAGTGAAGACTGGCTATACAAGTCAGACTATCATGTCGGTCCACATTCTCTTCCTTTCATAGGGGACAAATTGTAACGGTGTACTACAGAACTTCACCGACATTCTAGTTCCATGGATAGGCAATTCGGGGTACCGAATGCATCGCTTCCGTTCGTCTGCAAGTCCGATAAAAGGACTTACTGCTGAAATACTGGTAATCATTCCTTCATTTGGTTTTGTTGGAAATGACAATTAATACGGCTCAGATTATGACGGCGGCCATAGCTTATGATAGGCTGCCCGTGTATGAACACTATGCACCTAATCAACTCACGAAGTTCAAAGACATCCTACGGTATCTGGATGCAGAACATGCCCCAAATCAGTCGGGCACGAGCACGCCGATAGGGATATCTGCTCATGATCAAGTACTCACACAATGACCTGAAGCAGTGCCGCATCTCCGTAGCGTAACGCGCAGCATCCGATTCCCTACGCTTACATCGCGCGCAGGCAGTAATTTCTCCGCTATAGAGTCCTCGTACTATAAATCACGTAGAATTTCAATCGTTCAATACTGCGTACATAGGATTTTTCACTTAGAGCCATGGGGATCAACACGACTCACCGAACTTGGCTTGTTACGCAAAGATGCTTACGAAATCTATTATGATTGAGGCGCGGCATGCGCCAATCCCTGAGACCTGCCTCTTAAACGACCACAACGCCTTGCGCAGCAAAGCTGTTCTCTACTCGTAAAATTCGCGACCTCTTTTACGCTTGACGAACTCACGACGTGTACACTCTTTCCCCACCTGTATCGACTCTTGAACTTTGTGTGTAACTAGGAACTCTGCACTCTATCGAAGTGACGACATTACGACTTCACGACTATCTCTGTTGACCATCTGATACATTCATCACTCTATCCTCTTTTGCTCACGTCAGGGTCATATGATGCCTCTATTGGACTCGATACAGAACGCTATCCACAAAGTGATACCACAGAAGAAGGATGGAATTCCGTTGCAATCGTCAACGACTTCAGGCATTGGGAATGCCCATGCGCACGCATTTGAGGACGATGTGTGTACCAAATCTTAGTCTGCTTTTTCTTGTTCTATTATCTCCTACGTTTGCGGCATTCTATGCCGTGTCTTCCTGCCGTAGAAGCCAAGGTCATAACAGACTCGAACATACATTACGTAATAGTGTATGTTCATGTTCAAGTTGCCATCTCTCCGTTCATTTTAGGCGGATGGTGGGCGGATATCTCGTCTTTCTGCTCTTCATACCGTTGTTCTGGACGTTTTGGATATGGGTTCATCTTCTTCCTTTCGGTCCACGCGTTGGACGGTTGACTGATACGCTTGCTTGATGCAGTTGATTGTCCCGAAAACCACTATTGTGTTCCATGCGTCACAAGCATTTTTCAACTTCCTTGCACTATGTTGTTTCGCGAGCGCGGCAGCATTCCAAGCCAGAAATCACGTCGGTCCATGTAAGTTTGATATATATCCGCATTGCGACCTTAGTTGATCTCTATACTTTGCACAGCGGGACTGTCGGGCTTTGCTATCTTCATTTCCATCGCGGGCATACTCTTTTCACTATTTATGCTTCTGACACCTGTTATATATGAGAAGTACGACAAGGGTGCTCGTCTAGCCCGTGCACTCAAGGAATTACGCGTTGAATTCATCCTCTCGAGTACAGGCCTCGCAGTCAGCCTGCTCATTGCGTGAGTAGTTGTTTGTCGTGTTCACTGTTTTAAGCTCATCATGGCCACATACTTTAGATTTATCACTACCATCTCTGCATGGACTCAACCGGGATGCAAGGATCCTAACAGAGATCCGCATGCTGACAAGGGCGATGACTTTAAAAATGGTCTTGATGGTTTCTGTAATACGAAGAAAGCAGGAGCTGTTTTCTTCTGGCTTGCCTTTGGTGTGTATGTTCCTCCATGGAATGTCTATATTTACTGACGTGATGACGTCAGTCTTTTGGGTGGCGACTTTCGCAATGACAATCCTTGACTGGCGTAATGGCAAATCATCTCGTCCTCGCGACCCACCTTTCACCCATCCCGAGATACCTGCCGAATATGTGTCACAAGAGGACGAGGAGTCACTTTACAACCCGCCCAGTCGCAAGTCAACATATGAAGACCATGACGATTCAGTCCAGTCACCATTCCGGGACGAAAACCGCTACACTGGTGTTCCATCCCTTAACAACAACAACTCAACGTATCCGTCGAGTGATCCTCCCATTCTTCCCCGGCCCAGCTTCGACGCATATGGTGCCTTCTCGGATCCCGCGCCAAGCGGCTTTGGTGCTTCTGCAGCTCCTACTGCACCGACCGCTGGTTCTCCGACGGAAGGCCCACGAGTCAGTCGAACGATGCAGTATGCTGACCCATATGCTGCTGTTCGGGCAACTGTGGCAGCGGGAGGACAGACAGCAAGCAGTCAAGCGCCTCCATACTCTTCATATTCAGCCGGTTATCGATGATGGATGCAGATGGATGGACTCTCTATACACATTAACGAGAAGGTTTTACTCTAATGTATTAACTTATTCTCTTCGCTTCGGTCTTGTCATACGTTCTTGTGGAGGATTTTGTTTCGTTCATGGGTGTCCTTGATGACACTGATTCCTCGTCTCTCTGGATATACCGTGAATCCGCTCAGTTTATGTCAGTTGAGTATATCAGTAGCATGAGCATGCGTTCAAGGGCATCTGTATCCGTCTGTTTGAGCACTCCCGATCATGTAAGCGCCCATGACCCGCGTTGGCCGGGGTTAATGAACCGTGGGAACTTGAACCGATATCATGTTTTGTGAACCTCCCGCCAACACGAACCATGGCACGGCGAGACCCCCCTTCATCTTCCGGTATCCTCACCAATGTTTTCAGCTTTGTTTCACGCGAACTTGGCTCTTTTGTCACCACCGCGACGGGGGGCGAACCGACAACGGTGAGTGTGCCATCAACGGAAGCAGATTGTGTATGGTTATTGATTTGTTGAACCATTCCATGACTTTGATAGATCGCACCAAAGGCATCGTCGTCGCGCGACCGATTAGATGCTAAACTCCACGATCTAACGAGGAGAAGTGCCAAACGGAAGAGAAAGGAGGCCGATCATGGCAATAGCTTGCAGGACGCGATGCATAGCGGTCCGACCAGAGAGGAAAGCTCTACTCTGATACCAGACGATGTGCACAACACTTCCTCGTCACTTTCGCGTAACAATTCCAACCCTCGGACACTTAGCCGCGTGCAGTCGTCTAACAGCAGTAAGTTGCACGTAGAACGGATGCTCTGAAGATGCTTTATCTATCAATCTTTTTAGGACGACGTTCAAAGTCACCTGCGATGCCACCTCCTCCAACCATTCCAGAACATGCTCTTAAGAGAACACCTTCAGTAACCATGCCAGGCTCCTTCTACCCTCGTTCACCATCATTAGAGCCTGACTACGCCGCAAGTTTGGAAATTCGACAACCCAGTCGAAGTCGACTCAGCCACTTCCATTCTTATGATGAACTTCTCAACGATATTGAGGACGACGCTGGACCTTCAGACAGTCCCAGATCTGGCAAGTCAGTCAATAGCCCAACTCGTTCCGATCCATCTCCGTCACCTATACGTATCAATGGTGGGCCGTCTGTCAGGGGGGTAGTGGACCGTTTCACAGACGATGCAGACCCTTCTCTTATGTTGCCCAACCCCGCTATCTCACCGCGGAAAGGCGTCTCGAGTAGACGTGAACAAACCAAGTCTTCTAAGATGAAGGGCAAAGAGCGCGATATGAGTAGTTGGGATTATGATTTTTCTTTCAGTGGCGACACTTCTGGCGAAGTTCGGGTTCGAGGTATTGAGCGTGAGCTACTCGAAGCTCGTGAAGAGCATTATAGGAAAGAACTTGAACAGGATCCGGACTCTAGTGCGTACCTTGAGGAACGTGAACAAGATAAGCAACGAATTAGGGCCTTGGAAGAGGAAGTCGCGAGGTTGAAACGCCAGGTACGACATTATCTCTGTATTATAACCTTTCGTTCGAAATTTAATGCCACTCGCAGTTGGCCGAACAACGACTAAATAGGTCTCGCATGGACCCAACACCTCCACCCGCACCTCCGCCTCCACCACCACTTTGGCAGTCATCTTCTCTACCGGGCACAGTTTCAAGTACCAGGAACCTCATTGGTCCTACCTCAACAACGGATTCCTTCCTAGCAAATGCCCGTGCGGCTCTCAGACCAACCTCACTCCCAGTCGAAGCTCCCATAAATGCCGCAGTATATGGTAGCAGAACTAAACGAACTGCCGTGCCCACGTTCAACCTTCCCACAGAGAAGATGGCAGCTTTCCTAACGGAGATGAAGAGTGCAAAACTGAAAAGAGTAAATAGCGGCCCCAGGCAACCTCCAAGACGAGTTGAGGCGGATCCGAACGATTCCAGTATCAACTTGAGCATGTCGATGAGAAGGGACATTTTGAAGGATCTGGCGGAGAGGGATCGATTGGAAAGATCGATCAGTGTCGATTCGGACTCTCAAGTTGGGGAGAAGAGAAAGCGAAGCGTGGAGAATGGGGCGTTGCCTCAGAATGCCTCTTCAAAACGCAGGGCATTGGAACCGTCCTTCTCGGACTCCAGCTCTTCATCCTTTGCCTCAACGGCCTCGGTGCCTTTCACAAGTTCCCAGGCATCATCGTCAAACGGAACCTATAATCGTTCTTGGCCCACTGTATCCGCACCTGGAACAGACATCACGACCCCTTCGCTGTGTTCGGATAACGAGAATGATCACGAAGGCGAGCCAACTGCTGAAGAACGTCTATTAGCGACACCTACTAGAGAACATGAGGAACCCCCTCGGACACAGACTCCTGAAATTCATCATGACGATGATGGCGACGAGCAGCACATGCATCAAACCAATGGTATCGATCTAGCTGTTGACCGTGAGCCGACACCTTTGCCACTCCGGAAAGCTCCCACTCCCGTCTCTCGTATCGAGCAGCCTCAGCCAGTTTCTTCCTCTTCAAAAAATGCCTTCTCCAAACGAATACCCTCGTCCCCGTTACCTAGCGCTACCCCGAAGAAACCTCCTCCACCAGCACGACAAAGGGCCCGACTTGTCTCTCAACGACGAGCGGAGGTTGATGAAGCGGATGAAGCGGATGAGTCAGATCAAGACCCGTTGGATATCCTGTTCTCACCGAAACCGAGGAAAACTAATGGCAAGTCCTCTTCGTCGAAACCTGCTGCCTCTCAACCGGGCCCTTCACGAATACCTCGGAGAGCGGAGAAGAAAGATAGTCAAGCATCCAAAGACTCGTCCCGTAGACCATCAAGACCGCCGAGCTCAGCCTCCCTTCGTAACGCCGCCTCGCATCAACCTCAACCTGTCGCAGGACCTTCTACGTCGAATCACACCCAGAGGCGGAGGACTTTGGATGAGGAATTGCGTCGTGCTGGAGATCGATTGTGGCGAGAGGCTGATGAGGAGGAGGAGCAGGGTAATGAATTAGAAGGGGGAGTGTTGGTTGGATTGGGAACTCAAAAACGTAAGGGATTCTTGGCGAGAGGTGGGGGTGCAGGTGTCCCGGTATATATGGGTGCTGGATATGTACATGGTGCAGAGGACGATGAACCATAGGGGTGATCTTGAATATGTGTTTTATTCTATCGTTTCGCTTTCGGCTATCTTTATCGTTCAGTTGATACCTCGGTGTATAATGTAGGATACCAGGTCAAATCGACTTGCACATGTTCTTGGTTGTTGTATTCCAGTAAATAGTGGCATTACCATAAATGAATCACGATCGAGATCGAACGATCGCAGCTGACTTCACTTTGTCTGATTACTGGCATTGCACTCTGCCACGACCTGCCCTTGATTATCCTATATTCCTGCGCAACGTGAAGAATATTCAGAGCCTGAGTAATGGACAAGGACAATCGAGATGACTTTACCTTCGCAAAACTAAGCGATCTCAGGTTCCCCGTCACATTCAGAATGTGGGTATGCCAGCGAGGCTGAGTGATGAACCTACATCACTAATGCGGCATTGTAGATCTCAACTGGAAGGCACACGACATCCGAGACCGTTTACGGAACTGTTGGAGAAGCCTGACCTACGGTTCCATGGGGTGCAGCACCCGTACGTATGCCAGTGAAATGTACGCCTAAAGCTGCTTACTGTGATACCTTTCAAGCGGTTTCTCGGATCTCTACGTCACTTGTCAACTTGTTGCCGATAACAAGCCATTGACCATCCCATTTCGAACTTCATTTAAATCATTCAAGAAAGACTACACGTATGTCCGACAACCTTACACCACGCGGTGTGAAGCTGACTCCTATGATGCAGATGGAATGAATGGATTACACTGCCGATACGATACTGCGACCTTCCACTCAACGCACAGATTACCTTCACTGTATGGGATATCTCAGGCCCGCGTTCTGCTACGCCTGTTGGGGGTTCGACATTCCGTTTGTTCGGGAAGAACTGGTACATTTCTCCTCGTTTCGTCGCTGCGGCATTTATATAGGTATTGCAATCTCTAGGACTCTTCGTAGAGGAAAACATCGCCTCCTATTATGGCCTGATCGTGAAGCAGACGGAGCAATGGACACTACAACGGCTAGTAAGGTGGGAACAAGGGATGAGATGGGTCGATTGGAGAAGGTGTGTTCAAGGATTGTTCTTCAATACGCTTGTTGATCATTGTCCTCGCAGCTCGTGAAGAAATATGAACGTGGCGACCTGCCCAAGTCAGATTGGCTTGATGCACTTGCCTTCCGGAAAATGGCAGAGATACATGCAGTAAGTGGTCAATATACGGTTGCAATTCACTGTATTTCAACAACGCGAATTAGGCAGAAACTGAGAAGTCCGATAACCTTTACCTCTACATCGACCTTCCCAGGTTCGATTTCCCCGTAATCTTCAGTGAACCTGTAAGTCTTTTCATTCTGATCCAACCCAGACCTCATCGAAATTCCGCAATACTCATATAGGAAGCAATACCTGTCGCTTCCACATCAACGGCAACAGCAGTAACGGCAGTTTCACCAGCATTAGTCCAAGCACCATCTAGTCTCGCCTCTGACCCTCACTTGTGGGCGATAGTGGACCCTGACATTGCAAAGGAGAACCCCGTTGAAGACAAACATCGTAGACTCGTTCGAAGTCATCGAAGCAGCCCATACGATCGGGAGCTCAAGCCGAACGCTAAGATTCGTGATGAGCTAAACGTATGCGGATGACCTTGCTCATCCTTTTCCTTGGTCATCATACTGATGTTGTGATATTTATTATCAGGAAATAATGAACTACGCGCCAAGTCAACCTCTGACATCCGAAGAGAAAGACATCATTTGGAAGTTTAGATTCTACTTGACGAGAGACAAACGTGGCCTTACCAAGTTTCTCAAGTCCGTGACTTGGCGTGACCCTTCGGAAGTCAAGCAAGCTGTTGAGGAGCTTTTACCTCAGTGGACTGAGATTGATATCGACGATGCCCTTGAACTTCTGGGGCCGGGTACAGTTGACTCCCGTGTCAGGGCTTTCGCTGTAAAGCAGCTCGACCGCGCGGACGACGAGGTGAGAACGGTGTTGCGCATCATCCCTAGCTCCCTGTACTAATCAGGCACGATCTTAGGAACTTCTACTGTATCTTTTGCAACTAGTTCAAGCACTCAAATTCGAAAGTGCCGCAAGCGACCAGCGCTCCGCTCGCTCAACCTCAAGTGCGATTTCGTATGATGACAGTGGTCTGGCTGACTTCCTGATATCACGAGCCGTGCGGAATCTGATACTCGGGAACCGATTTTATTGGTATCTCATGGTGGAGGTTGCGCTCGAAGATCGTGTTATGGCGAAGATGTATGGTAGGGTTGTGTTCAAATACATGAACAAGATTCTCGAGGTATGCAAGGCATGTCGTATACGTACCTTTGAACATTGCTTATTGGCACCTGCAGTCGGAGAACGGAGCAGAACGTCGCGATATGATGCGTCGTCAAGGCGAACTTATCGCTGCTCTATCAAAGCGTGCGAAGGAACTACGTACTTCCAAAGACCCTCGGCCAAAGAAGATAGACAAATTACGTGCGTTCTTGGCCGATTCCAAACATGGCCTTGCGACCATGCATCCTTTGCCCCTACCACTCAACGCTCGTATCGAGGTTACTGGAATCATACCCGAGAAGTCGAGCGTCTTTAAATCCAACATGTTCCCTATGCTGCTCTACTTCCAATGCAGTGACGGTTCGGAATACCCCGTTATTTTTAAAGATGGTGATGACATGCGACAAGACCAACTTGTTATACAGCTCTTCACCCTGATGGACAGACTACTCCGGAAGGAAAATCTGGATCTCAAGGTGACTCCATATGACGTTTTGGCTACGGGACCAACGCAGGGTATGGCGCAGTTCATCCCGAGCAAGACTATTGCTGCGATCGTTAGCGAGAATGGAACGCTTTTGAATTATATGCGCGCACATTATCCTGATGAGGGGAGTGTGGGGACGTTTGGTGTCGAACCTGTGGTCATTGATACCTTTGTTCGCAGTTGCGGTGAGTAGTGCCTTCTCTCTCGCTCTCTTGTGAAGTAATTAAATGGGGGATGTTAATATGGTTGCATGTAGCTGGGTACTGTGTCATGACGTATTTGCTCGGTGTCGGTGATCGTCACTTAGACAATCTGCTCCTCACACCCGATGGTATGTTCCACAGTTCTCTTATTTGATCTTTGGCTTACGAGAAACTGCAGGTCATTTTTTCCATGGCAAGTCTTAACGGCTCTTTTCATGGCTTTTTTTTCTTCTAAATTCTAATCCTTGCTATACAGTTGATTTTGGATACATCTTAGGACGAGACCCCAAACCGCTAGCGCCACCGGTGAAAGTCTGCAAAGAAATGGTCGATGCCATGGGAGGCGTACAATCGGTCCATTACGCTCGGTTTAAGAACTTCTGCTTCACAGGTTTCACCATCCTGCGGAAGAGTGCTAACCTCATTCTAAATCTTGTCACCCTCATGGTGGATGCAAATATACCACACATCAAACATCGTGACGTACATGAACAAGTGTTGGGCAAGTTCTGTTTGGACTTGACGGAAGAACAAGCCATCGAACATTTCGAGAAGCTGTTGAATGATATCTCGCCATTTACCGCAGTGCTGGATAGGATGCACGATTGGGCACAGTATTGGAGGAGTTAGGTAGACTTTGATTTACGGCGATGTTGTCTACTCATTGTGTGTATATATATATACCTATGGATATGACCTTGTAAATTATGTGAGAAGCATACGCTGGTCACAAACGTTCGAAGATCATCGAAGCTCAAGGCGGAGAGCGTCGTATTGCACATACTAAAGACGGAGTTAGCTTTCCAATTGAAGAGGCAGAATCTGAGCTGCTTACAACGGGGGCGGCATGCGGCAGAGCAAGCTGTTAACATGATTTAGAGTGAACGAAGGGCGAAAGGTAGGGCACTTACCACAAATTTGTTATACCCCCTTTTCAACCAAGTTCCAGGGAATTCAACCTTGCGAGAAAGTAGATGGCATGAGATGGCTATGAAAATGTGAAGCGATCAGACTTTTACATTGAAGAGGATGGTCATGAAGGTATACCTGAACGTTCGCCACAACTACTGCTCTCGAACCATTGAATTTCCCAGTCCAGCGAAGTAGTTTGGTCGTTGACAAAGGTAGATATCTATAGCCAAAAAGACTCCATCCGAGGTTGAATTTCCTGTACAAAGAGTGAAACTCACATTGAAGTTGGGGTTGGAACCTTGCGGATTGTCAGTGTTACCAGCAGTGGTCTTCGCAGCTGCTAGCTGGATCGTGAAGGTTGCAATAGAGTTGCCAGCGGGAGCGTTGGTCAAGTCAAAGTTGATCTGCCATCGGTTTATGTCTGCTGAAATCCGTAAGGTTTGGAATCATAAGAGTATCAGTGACATTACCTGTAACCGTATTGTTGCGAATGTAAGTCGGTCCGTATTGCGACCAATGTACATAGTTCTGTGGACAGCCGTTACAAGTGTGCCATTCACGCGAAACGAACGAGTCAAACCCAATCAATAGCTTCCTTGCTCTTGCCAATGGTGAAGTTGACACCTCCTGGGAACTGACTAGGAAAATCCCAGGCGCCCCAATAAATGCGATACTCTTGTCATGAAGAGCGTCAGCCTCACTAATAACTCGTTTTGAAAGAAAGGATGACGAACTAGCAGGCTGATTCGGATGCGTAAGGTCGCGCTCAAAGCCGTTTCGAAACTCTCCTGAGACAAAAATTCCATGAGGTGGCCTTACATAACTTCATCACTGGTTCTTACCGGCAGTCTTATCTGGGGTGCCAATCCGCCACAGCTCAGTACCTGAGGTAAACATAACCTAACGTGAGCATTAACATTAAAGTTACTCCAATTTCACTTACCTGCAGACTCAGCATCCCAAAGGACATTGTTCAATGTCGTCGCACAGTCGGCTTTGACCACGATGTTATCTTGGGTGTAGTCACCAAAGACCCCTTCGCACGCATTCAACACCTACATTCAGAGCATCACAAGCCGCTTACCAGAAGCATATACAGTCAACCTATAAGTCCCCTCTTTGACACGATTTAGTGATATTTCTCCCTCCTTGATATCAGTCCAATACTGATATGCGCCAGGTACCACTGCGCTATCCTAAGACTCTGGTCATTTGTTGTTATTGCTAGGAATGGAGTCGCTACACGAACCTGGAAGTGGACACCATTCGCACTCAGCACTGCTACAGGCTTCGAAGCACCCTCGGGGAGGGTCACTTTTGCTACAAACTGACCACGCTTGGCTGAGACGACATAGCCTGGTACCTTGCAGTACTCGATTAGCCTGCGGTTAAGGGGCAATCTGGATCATACTTACGTGAGGAGCGATTGTATCATAGAATTCAGCGTTCCAAGCTGGATCAGCAAGAGCTTGCGCATCTTTCAAAAGCTCGAGATGTGATGCTTTCTTGCCCTGGTTGAAGTACAAAAACTACGGGTTGTTGGTCAGTTGAATGTATTGCCAACGTGAGCATCACGACGAAGCATACTTGAGGTCCGAATCTAGTGCAAGATAAGTGACTGAGTCTGGCTCGGGTTTCTCATAATATTACGCTTACGTCCGGTCAAAGCCATCGGTGATATTGGGAGAACTAAGTGAGGTCAGCATCGAGAAGAGGAGCGAGCGATATATGCTCACGTAGCCCCACCGTGGCTACGAATTGAACGATGGTAAGTGAGGAAGTCTCCAAGCTAAGTGAATTCTGACTCACTTTGTAGAGTATTTGTTACTGGCAATCAAGAAGTGTAAGTTTATATACTATGCAAATGGTATTTTCGATCTTACTAGATGATACCATCAACTGTAAGGTCAACATGAGTCTGTAACATCCCCGGTTTAGTTGATGGTACGCATAGTCTCGGATGGATTTACGCACTGGACCGCCAAAATAAGCATCATTCTGGTTGATGACCCACCACACTGCTAGTGGTGTTCCATCAGGCTTTGCGCCATAAAGACCATGAGCCTTATTGGTTTGGTTATCGGCGAATGTATACTTGGTCCAATAGTCCGATTCCTTGAGGAGGATGGTGTTAGTGGTCAACTCACGAACGGCTGAATGTCAGTAATTACCTGTTGAACATATCCATCGCTGGGTGTGTTGCCGAGATACCACGTCCTTCGTCAAGGTCAACTTCATTATATGAGCGCCCGGGTCTTTTATCACTTACGCACCCTGAACCTCTATTTGGTTTGCAATTGCGTCCGCCGACGGGATAGGTGCCTTTGAGGATTCGGAAGTTTATTACGCAATGGCCCAGCGAATGAAAGACATTTCCGCCTCACCCATTGCTCCTCGTTTGCCACTAGTATGGTCCAAGGTCCATTGTTGGGACGGAACATGGTACGAACCTCTCCAAGTTCACCTTTTCCAACGGGATCGTTGGAATTGTAATATGCCAAACGAACGAAGCTATGTATACCTACTTCGCGGTCGCGCAGGAACCAGGAACGCTGCACACTGTTGAGGCAGGCTAGCAGATTAAAGTATACAGTATGATCACGAGATTGGTCTTACAGAGAGCCCGCAGTGTCATTGTCCGTAAGAATAATACCCACCCAATCTTCACCGGATACAACTTCATGTGCAGTGTTACCCGTCAAAGCAAATGCTTTCGAGGGGAAATCTACGGGAAGCCAGAGTTGTTAGTACATTTCATTGCATGAATGGGAATACTGTTTACCCGTATACAACTGTCCCGCATTTCCTGAGACAGAGCCCAATAAAGAGACACCGTCATATGTGAGATTTTGAATGTATCCGTTCTTCTTGACAACGCTTGGGAATGTCATGTCAACGAATAAAACCGCCAGCTAAATTGAATCGGACTTACTTGAATGAGAGCAAATCGTTTTGGAACGTGAACAAGCTCGAGCTTTCTGTTACGGACGCTGACTGGACAGACAACAGGATGGACAAAAGGCCGACAACTTGAAAGGCACTAAAAGCACCAGGTGGCTTAGACATTCTGGGAATAGCGGCGTCACAGTTCCAGTACTAGCGACTCCATGGTTAAACCAAGCCAACTCTTATACGAGCGTTCCATATGTTCACTTGCATCGAAACCGAGAGGCACAGTGACGCCATTAGTATTCAGGATTTGCAGACATGAGGAACGTCGACCGGCATCGTGGCGTCGGTCAAAGCAGCCACATGCGTTGAGTCATGCTACAACTTCAGTTTCATGGCAGACCTGTCGTTCCGACTAGTAGAAGTCGATGAACGAAGAGTTGAGATTGAAATCTAAAATTAGTGGAAGTTAGTCGTCAGAGCACGTCATCTGTCAGACTCATGAGAAATTGTTTTCAGGGACAACCATTCGGAAACAGACATCCAGAACAGATCAGCGAAACCGTAATGAGTGTTGTGACGTGTATAGAGAGTGAGGTTCGAGTCCAGATGTTCTGTTGGGACGCAGTATCAACACTTAAATTGGGTGGTGTAGAAATATACATACGATCCTTCCGAATACGACTGGTGGAGAACTGTTGCGTTAAACGAGCTATCTAATGAAGAAAGGCTACTTGCTGCTGCACAACTTGCACACTGCGTCACTACACATGAATGGAGGTCCAACAGCCTCAGCCTGATGACATGAACAGTGACTGGGTATCGATAGCGGCTCGGCAGCGAAAGAATGCATGCACTGAATATGTTGGTGTGAGGCAGGTTCAAATTGCAAGTCAAGTTGTAATTCAGGCTGTGCCGGCCTGCTTCCTATTTGGGAGTTGCAAGAAACGAAGTACGAGGTTGTGCATGTTCAATGCCGCTCTCTTAATTTTTACTGCTGTCCTACTGGACGAGTACCACCGATAGGATCCTCGGAAAAGACAATGGTGGCAGATGCACTATTATTTATGAGCCTTTAAACAACGTCTGCAATCACTACGGGAGAGTCGAACTCCGTCGCAATCAACGCGAATAAAATAAGACAACAGATGGGACGTAGATGACATTGTAGATAAGGAGAATATGAAAGCAAGCACTGTGCGAGATGATATGTTCATAAGAGTACAAATAATATCCGAAGCAAAGCATAGGACTGTGGTGTAAGGCAGCGACGAAAGGAGTGGACAAGGTAGAATGTGACTCAACACGAATGTCTCAGCTATTTCCGCCAATGAAATCAAAGAATGTGTTCAAAGAATGCTCCACTTTGCAAACTAAATGCGAATAGGCTGCACTGTCCCAGAGGTACTAGCAGTAGCTCTATCCACCACCGAATTCGACACCAACGCGATACTTTTCATCCTCGATGCCGCATCCTGCAGATTCCCGAACGAACTCGTCCGGTACGCCATCCCTGTACCCGTACGAGGACGAGGCATACGCGCACCAATGAGGGCAGGCCTTTGACGAGGCGAACCAGGACTGGACGGAGATGTACCTGTCGGTGAAGCAGAAGGTGCCGAAGGGAATGGACTTGTCGTCGGCGCAGGGGATGCATAAGTAACGCCCGAATTTTGCGAAACTCCGATAGGTGGGTAGGTAGATGTGCGTTGAGTCTGAGGACCGATGGAAGATGATGATTGTGGAGCCTGCGCCGGACGCAGTGGTCTGGGGCCTGATAAGGCCCTTTTTCTTTGATAGCGCTCACTTCCACCTGTGGAAGTGGACGATGAAGTCAAAGAAGAAACGGAGGATGTGAAAGCATCTTGGGAAAACGTGCGTGAAATTGACGTCAATCCAGCAGTTTGAGGTAGCTGCAATGGACGTGGCACGGATGATGATGAAAGCGTGGAGCCAGAATTAGAGGATGATTCCGCTGTTGAAACCAGAGAACTGGAGCTGGCGGATGTGAATGACCCTCCCTCACCGAATTTGAGAGGATCAGTGGAATAACTAGAGGATGTGGTAGTCGATGCAGATGACTCGGCCCTACTGTGCAGAGGCATCGACGAAATAGTAGGACTAGTATACAGAGGCCCTGCTTTTATGGCATTGAGTACGTGGTCGATGCTTGATGCTTCCACTTTGGTTTGCTGAGATACTACTTCGACACGCCTTGCGGGGCTTGCTACTACTCTGGGTTTTGACAAGCCAGAGCTTGCGCTCGCGGATCCAGATCTGCTCCTTGAAGTTACTGAAGCCGAGGACTCTGCCCTGGGTCTAGGAAGAGGTGTTGTGGGAGTGGAAGGAGAATCAGGAATTGGGGTCTTGTCTCCTGGGGGTATCACCACAGCTGATTTCACGATCGTGCGTAGCTTCAACAAACTCGGATCGGCCTGCGGGTGTGAAATAGTGGTCGCAGCGTTGGAGTCTGCTCTTGTGCGAGTTTGCTTGTTCAAAGATTTCGCACTTGAATTCGCTCGGCTTCGAGTAGTTGACGTAGGGGTTTGGATAGAAGGTATAGTGGGAGAAGAATTCATCGAGGGTTTGGTGGTAGCGACAGGACTTGAAGTTATGCCAGACGTAGGTGTCTTTGTGGCGATTCGCAAAGAATCAGGGTCTCCCTTCTTCATCGATGCAGAGGAGTCTGTTCTCTCCCTCATGTGACTTGATTGCGTGGCAACCGATGCCAATGAACTTGCTCTGCTCCTTGTGAACGATCCCTGACTATACGAAGAGAGTGAATCTGCCCTATCCCTTGACATCAATGAGTCTAGTGATTGCATAGGCCTCGCAAATTTAGTCCCAGCAGTTGGGAACGTCACAGATGTAGAACGCAAACTTGGTGATGCAGCGGCATTACGCAAGTCTGATTGTGGTGCCTTATGAGAGAGCGACGGTTTCGTCATGGACACAGGAGAAGCAAATCTACTGAAGGTTACGTCCGAGAAGGACTCTGAAGTAGGTCTAGACGATGGGATAACCGAGTTTGAATGAGATCTTTTGCGCTCGATAGTTGTGTGGATTAGTCGGCGAGTCAAGGCAGAAGGCGCATCCTCATCTTCGCTGTAATTAACTCAATTAAAAGTTTGACAACATGATACATACTGAACCAAACGCACCTATCACTCCAACCGAGGCCGGTCGTTAGACCCATCCCAGCTCGAAGGAGTTGTCCATCACGGTGACGGACACGGCGTCTTTCTGTATCGCGAGGATCCTTCTGCAGACCCGATTTCGTCATGACAGACCCTGCTGAAATCAGCAAATTCAGATCATGAAAGTATGACAACTGAAAATAACGTAGTTACCTGCAGATACAACGCTCAATACACTTTGAGAACGATCGTTTGTAGTTCCAGCTACATAAGATATCGTCTCGCGCAGGTCTTGGGGTAATAGCTTCGATCGAGGCGACAATAATCCGTCACGAAACATGAGATGACTGGTTCACAAGTTCAAGGTAAGCATGTCACTAGCATACAAAGGGTGGAGAACCTACGGAAGAGGTGTATGAACATCGATGCTCGAATCTGACTCACTTCCTTCCACATTGTCAGAGTCCGAATCGTTCTCCAACTTCTCCAATAATGTGTTGTAATCATCGAGTACGGAGTCGGTATCACCAAAGGGTAGTTTGTCTTTCTTAGCCGCTGAGCGTAGACTTAAGGTCGACTGCGATCGCGATCGACCCTTCGTCGCTAAAGATGCAGCGGGAAATACAGAAGACGAACTGCGACGAGGCCGCGGTGTCTTCTTCAGAATGGTGTCAATGTCGGGGCTATCTGGTCTTTTGACTTGACTTGCGCTCGCAGTGCGAGATCGAGTGGGGGTGACAGTACGCTGTTGTACCGAGTCTGTCGAGGCTCGTCGCCATGGTAAAGTAGGTGAATCTCTACGAGACAGACTTTGTTTGATGTTTCGCAAGCTGCGATGACGAGGAGAACTCCCAAGGAAAAGTTTTGATGACTTGGAACTTGGCGAAGATAGTCCTTGTTCGTCGAAGAGGTCAAGTGCTTCCGCTGCGGCAACGGTGTCGATAGAGCTTCTGCTGTCTGGTCGAGACATTGTTGAATGAAAACCACAGTTGCAAGTAGTGTCAAAGGGCCTCGCTAGTTTGTCGAAGACGTAACAAAGATAGTTGTAGTGATAGTTAAATCAGCCGACTCGTGTTCCGCTCGTGGGCAACGGACTTAACGAAGCAGGTTCTCGTTTCCAATCTTCGAAGCAACGCTAGATGACCTGCAGACCTTCCATACAGCCGACAACTAAGGCCTACGCGTACCAGATTGGGAGGTAGAAGGTAAAGAGCCAAAAGAGCTAAGTTACAAGGCACTGCCCGAGAAGATAACTCTGGTCAAATTCCACAACAAGTGCACAGTTCTCATGATGTCCATCAACTCAGAACGCGTTGTCTTCTTTCAGCGACTGACACCGTCGCCACGTCCAGTGATGGGATATCATGTCTGACAGAGACAAGAAAGATGTTCAGGGCAAACATGAAGGTGAGAGACAAGAGTTAAAGACAGTTGACCATGAACTTCCCCAGGCACGCGAAGGTCTTTACCGGGCTGTAAAAAGCCTGTAAACATCCATGTGTGGTGACCATGCATATCTATAACGTCCATGATATTCAAGGACTTCCACGAGAATCCTCGAAGTTTTGTTCAATCCGCGACGAATGATGAAGATGCATCTTTCTCACAAGTTCATCGTTGCCATTCGGACAGCTGACCGTGGTCCGTAGTATTTCCACACACTGTTTTCTTCGGTTCCCGGTGGCCGCCGTCTCTGACACTGGCCATCCCCACAGACCACAGCGAATACGACTCTGTGGTTGATGAAGGCATCTGCAAGCCACATTGCTGCTACCTACGAGGCCAGATCACATTTGTCGTTGACAGTTGGACACTAAAGTCCTCTTCGCTCAATAGTTTCCGCTCCTAGTTCAGGGCCTAAGACCCTGAGCTTACCGTAATGACCCATGTGGTACAGTGATGTCCATATATTCTTCTAGAGTTCATCTTGAATTCAAATCGAACGAGCAAACAGTACAGGAGTCTTCTCCCGGCCATGCTGATGTCGGAAAGTTGTTCAGACCGGTCAGACGCTTTAGCTATTATCAGCGGTCGATAATATCTGGGCAATCCTTCATGGTTGAACAGGTGAGCCTTGGATACTCAACGGCGACTCTATATTTACTTGTGGACAATGTGAATGCATGTTTACAGACCCGACATTTATCCTCGTACACATCAGCACACTAATGACCATAAGTGAAAGCCCAGGGGAATATAATTTCATTTGACTCTAACAATGCAGTAGCAAGTGGGATAGAGTGCCTTTACGATCAATGCCTCGAACTGAGCTTGAAAGTTCGGCCTCAAGAAGCTCACCGACGGGAAATTGGAGCCAAAATCGGTCTTGAATATCTTCAAATACCCGACGTCGAGGCCTTCACGCCTATCGTTCGTAAAGTTCGGGGAAATGCCTTTACTCAAAACGCCCTTTCTGTCGTCAATCACGTCATGAAATCGTTCACGTTACTATTCAACGTCGTTCTGGGACAGATTGGTATATCCCTGCTGACCTCTTGTGCGCATAAGGAATGCCATATACCTATTGCGACGTTTATCCAAACGCTGGCCAAGCACCAATAAAGACCCGAAGCTCTCTGGTAGGGACCTTAACGGCATTCCCTTCATGTGCACTGGACGATCGTAAAATATCTCGTTTGTCCTTTCTCGTCAATCCGTGCTTGTTTGTCAACCACTTACTCTATCGCAGAACATCTCTACTGGTGCTCACGATGAAACTTGTTGCCTCATTCGTCGCGTTGGTTAGCCTTTTTCACATTTCTAGGGGTGCGAATTGGGTAAGTGCTGTGTTGTCATCAATCTGTATAGACTGAATAAACATCGCACTGCATGCACTAATTTGACTTTAGCCCTTCGATGTTACAACGATCTCGGCTCCGGATGGCTCTATCACTGCCAAGTTCGTGTCCTTCGGTGCGACTATGACTGAGCTCTGGGTTAACGACAAACACGGTCAAGCTCGCGATATCATCCTGGGTTATGACGATAATGTGTGTATTCTAGCCTGTCTTCCCGTATTCCAGCGATGAGTTTAAGGTAAGGATACCGACTCTAGTCTCAGTTGTTGACGGATCCAGCACATCCTGTGTTTAACCCAATTGTTGGTCGGTGAGAATTCACACATACTGAATACCAATTCATGAGCTTACGGCGAAACAAGTTACGCTAATCGTATCAAGAACGGTATGTTGCAAACCTTCCCGTGTCAGCCATGTTCAGGCTCATTTTCTGTCTGGACAGGCTCGTTCTCTATTCCAATTACCAAGGATCTTCAACCAGATGGTCCTAATGTATATCATATTCCTACGAATGATCATGACGGTATGTTTTCCTGGAATCCTTCATCCTCATGTTTTGACCGAGTGTTTTCAGGCCAAGACACTCTTCATGGTAGGCCCCTTGCGTTTCTTCTCGTCCTGATCGTGACATTCATGAGCAATTGGAGGTGGTATACACGGATGGGACAGACGCAATTGGACTATTACGTCCAAATCCACGACGAGTGTAACCTATCGCCATATCGATAATGCGGATGAAGGGTTTCCTGGCATTGTCACCGCATTCGTAAGTGTCTACACGTCCTAGTCTTTAACTTTGTTGCAACATAATATTTGATCTCTACGAATACTCGTATAGGCCACACATACTGTTGAGAACGGTGGTATTCTAAAGACAACGGTACATGCTACAGCCACAGAGGAGACACCAATAATGCTCACGCAACATATTTACTGGTACGTTGCGCTCTGGCTCCTCCCACGCTTCCTACATCTTATCACACTATGCTGCAAATTAAAGGAATTTGGACGCGTTCCAAGGCAGCGAGGATATTCTAAACCACCACCTTCACATCGATAGCTCAAAAGTGGTCCGGGTAGATGGAAATGCCGTTCCTACAGGTCAATTCATCAATGTCAACAACAGTGTCTTCGATTTCCGCATTCCAAAAAAGATCAATTGGGATTGGAATGCAACAGTCGGTTTGTGTGGAGGCGAATGTCAAGGGTACGATCACTGTTGGATCTACGATCATGATGAGAGCAGTAAACCTGGGGTCTCGCTTTGGAGCGATGTATCTGGGATTAGGTCAGTCTCTATCCTTATTCCACTTGGGGCCAAGGCAATATGAGACGGTCTGTATCTACAGGCTGGACGTCACGACGGATAGCCCTGCTGTTCAAGTTTATACCGCTTTCTGGCTGGACACTCCTCGCAAAGTCGTCCATGGAGGCCCTGGTCTTAACTATACGAGTTTTGCTGCGGTGGCAATCGAGCAGGAAGGCTACATCGACGCTGTCAATACGCCTGAATGGGGTGTCGATCAGATCTGTGAGTGTAGATTTTTTTTACCTTCGCCCGTCGTGGCCTTCTGAAAGATATTCTCCTGCACAGACGGCCCGGATAGAGATTTTGAATGGAACTCCACTTACAAGTTTTCCCTTGTACATTGAGACGCGAATGGAATGGTAGGAACCATGATTTTAGTACTTTGCGATACGGCCAGGTGGGATTTGTTGATTGTGTGACAGACGGCATACGCGCCTGGATGAATGGATGATCGAATGCACAGTAAACAAGTCCGTTCAAGGAGTATTTTAAGACGCGGACAAGCGTTCGCCATAAAATTATTCAACCTTGTAGCCTACGAAACTCCTGCGTCCAATAATCTCGCCAACCTGGACAGACATGAACATAAGCGTGGCATGGGGTATATTGTCGCTCATGACGACTTGCCTTGAAGATACCGTATGCTTCTACCGCATAAATACCGACCTTCCTCCACTCTCCCGTTCTGACAATTTCCCGCCAATACGCAGGGTTGCGTGCACGAGACCAAAGAGCAGTATACGCGTTGGTGATCGTGGACATGGAAGTGGGGGGTTGAAGTCGCTCAGCAATGTACACTTGCTTAAGGAACTCGCGAGCAACAGAGAAGTTATACAGGAGAGGCTGGCGGTAGGCTGATCATATTTGAATGTTCAGCAAGGTGAAGGACGCGCAGAAGCAGAAATGCAATAGAAGACGTGCCTCCCAACATGTTGCCAATTCTTTCTCCTACAGGACCCAAGAACTTCTTTCCGACTTCCACAGCTTGACCAGCATACTTCTGTGCGGTCGCGAGCGCGTCCTCAGCCTTCTTCTGGGCAGTCTCAGTGGTGCTTCCTCCAGGAGTGCTTGAAGCAAAGCGGGTTTGGCGGTGTGGGCGGGAGATATTTTGGACGAGCCGCCTCGGGCGCAGAGGTTGTGAAAGACGGACGGAAGGGCGCACCATCTTGAAGGTGGTCGGCGCCGAGGACGGTAAGGAGGGTTAATGAGTGTCGGTCTCGACGATGCCAACGAACTCGAAAAAGCGGACTCCCGGATTTGTCCGCCCGCACGTGGCCATTTCAGATGCGAGTTATTGGATTTGTCCTGGATACTGTACTTGGATACTTATCTTCGCAATCCAAAGTTTGAATTGAATGTATCTGTCTATTAATATAGGTCGCTTGTGTCTGCTTGTGCGGTTAAGAGTCCCCTTGACCCAAGTAGCGTTCACAACGTGAAGCCGGCTCCTCGTAGTCTCCCGCATACAGTGTATACAGGTTCAACCTTCGTACCTCAGGATATCTCTCCCTGACGATCCCCGCCGACGTCGTCGATATTCATTCAAGCCTCGTTGAATGATACCGTCCTAAGCTTCGATACCCTTTATCAATCTCCAAGTTGATATACGATTGCTACTTATTCGTGCATTTGCGAGTGTCGTCTGGCACGCGATGGTGAGGCCGCCAGTGGAGTATTTTATACTATCTCTTGATTTTTACCTTCCATTTGTTGTAGGAGTTAGCTTGCAGCACTAGGAAGCCACGTCTGCCTGTAGAGACGTGCGAGCACATTATTGACTGGTGTGCAACTGGGTTCTGGCCTCAAAGAACACTAATCAATTGTCTGCTGACGTGCAGATCGTGGGCCCCTAGGAGTCGTCTTCGTCTCTACACTGATGTCCATATCAGGACGGAGGAACAACTCATGCGATTTGTCTCTATCCTTCGGACAAATCCGCGTCTGGGCTCTGTAGTTTGTCACCTACGTTTGGGTGAACTTGACCCACTCGGCAATCTTCATGACCAGTCTCAACCTCAGCATTGGATCCATCTAGCGGCCTCGCGTCTCCCAGTGTTGTCGTCTCTACGCCGCATCACATTTGTCCAGCTCCCTACAGAGAGTCCATGGTATGCGATGCTTATGCGCCAATACCGCAAGTTCACGAACGTCCGGGAATTATGTCTCGCATATCCGCCTTCGATGGTGCCGCAGGATCTGGAACGTATTGTTTCATTCCTTCCAGATCTCACTTCACTCGGTCTTAGAGATCATTTATATTCTTTCAGTTCTTCGTCCTCGAATTTTCCTCCCATAAGGCAGGACAGCTTCTCCCACATCACATTATATCATCCTACATCCTCGCAGTCGTCCGTCGCAGACATACACATGCGCAATGTCATCCTCCGACGCACCTCTCCTCGATACATATTGCTTTCATCTCTTCCCTCTCATGTCCCCCCTAATGCCAACTTCGATTCCTTAAGCACGAATCTCCTTCCTCTAAGTACCAGTCTAAGCACATTCTCTAGGGAGGAACATATTAGGGAAGGACTGATGAAGGCGTTGGTGATGGAGTGGGAAGTGGCCGTGATGGACTTAACGGATAATGTGAAGGTGTGTGGGGACTATCCAGAGTCAACTGGGTCATTTGCGGATATTTGGAAGGGGGAGTGGAATGAAAAAGGGTTGATGGGTATCGAGGAGCAGTTTGTAAGTGCGGTTTCGTGGCGATTCTACTTGGCACAGAGTATGGTGGGCTAATCGACGGTCACCTTTTAGGTTGCGTTGAAAGTGCTGCGACGATTCCGTATAGAGGGCGGTGTCAATGAGAAAAACCTAAAGGTACGCCCTTCACCCATTTCCAATTCATTAGACAACGTGCGTCAATATTGGCATAAAGCGGTTTAAACATGAGGTTCTCACCTGGTATCGCCTCCGGCATCCGCATATTATCCAATTCTATGGGATCGTTCGATGGCGGCGAATGCTCGCCATAGTATCGCCGTGGTGTAAGAATGGCACCGTTGTGCAATACCTAAAAGAGATCAACCCGGACGCTGACCGGCTAGCGTTGGTGAATATATTTTTTTTCAAATGTCCGGACATCGAGCTGAATAATGGGTGCTTTGACCCAGATGGCCCAGATTGCGTCTGGCGTAGCGTACCTGCACAATCTTGAACCCGTAGTTATTCACGGCAACTTGAGAGGGGTGAGATAAATCTAGGATTTTCGAGATAATCTTGATTGGCTGGCTGACGTACCAAGGATAACGTACTAGTTGACGGGGCAGGTAGAGCGTTGATTGCAGATTTTGGTGTCTCGAATGTCATCGACGTTGACTCGTTCGAAGAACCTTTATTGGATTATCAGTGGACGGCGCCGGAGATCATATATAGCCTGGTGGATAGCCTGGTGGAAAACGGTGGCCGTGTGCCAGAGTTGACCAAGGCTAACGACGTTTATGCCTTCGCTGCTGTTTGTCTGGAGGCGAGTTGATTATTTGAAACCGGTCATTTGGAGTCTATCTGAAGGCGACATTGTCAGATTCTTACAGGCAAATTGCCATACTCTCGTGACAAGACTGCAGACCGAATCATCGAACGTAAGATGGCCGGTGAAAAACCGTATGATAGTAGGTATGAAGCGCTGCAGTCCTATCCAAGAATGAGCTATCATACACAAGAAGAGTTGTGGGCTATTTTGGACCGGTGTTGGGAGGACTGTGACCTGCGACCTAGCATGTCTGAGGTAGAGGCATCTTTTGTCAGCTTGGCGAATGCGGAGCATCTCACATAGACATCCGGAGCCTCTTAATTTTATGCATAAGTGCCAGGTAAGCTACACACCGAAAATTCGTGATTATGATTTCGTTGATGGCAAGTATGTCAGATTAGCATGGCCTTCAATCTTTTTTCAACGTAGGGGATGATTTGGAGTGCTATGCGAATTGAAACGTGTAGCCTTCAACTTGATTCGAAGAGAGTTAATCATCCTCAACAACAGCGTCGACAACAAGATGAAGCAGTACGATAGATTCCGTTTATCTTCACGGACCCCTGGAGCGACAAAGACTCACTGGTAACCTTCCGTGCACCTAGATGTTCACCGGAAGACTTCAGCAATGATTAGAGAAATAACACTATCACTGGAAGATTTCAAGCATTTTTCCTTGTAATGAGAAGATTATATATATAAAGAGCATAGATGTTGAACACTTGTCGTAGGTACCGGGGACTGCTTCTATTGAATGAGATAACAGAACAAGAGTTCTCAGTCAGCGTCAGAGCTAATGACTCGATATATAGTAGAACACTTGTAGCTACCTATTGAATGAGATAACAGAACAAGAGTTCTACAAGGTATAAGTCAGCAAGAGAGAATACGATGAAGGGCATACATGCTACACACCTCAGTCAGCGTCGGAGCTAACGACTGAGGTGTCTCTATGGAAAGGACTGTGTTTATATCAAAGGAGTCAGGACAGAATTTTGGAAGGAATGGAATGCCAAGAAAAGGATAGGGTAAAAGGGTGGAATGAGCGGCGTAAGTCGAGACTATGGTAAAACAGAAAGAAATAGAATATGTCCATATAAGGGTATACAAGAATAATCTTCGAGTGTGTTCTTGGCGGCTTGACTTCAACACTCCCCCTCAAGCCATAGTGAGTCCCATCGCAGCAGCAAAGTGCTTAACTTTCGCACTCGGAAGTGCTTTGGTTAGGGTATCGGCAGTCTGGTCATCCATTGGGCAGTAGATAAGTCAGATAGCACCATCATCGATGATGTAGCAAATGTAGTGATAACGAATGTCGATATGCTTCATTCGAGCATGGTAGTTGCCGTCGTGAGTCAGTGCAATGGCAGACTGACTGTCACTGTAGACTGGGGTGGGTTCAGTGAGAGGGCGGAAGACTTCTCTGATAAGACATCGGATCCACATAGCCTCCTTGGCAGCGTGGATAGCTGCAACATATTCAGCCTCTGTTGTTGAGAGCGTAGTGAGCTCTTGTTTCTTTGATGACCACGAGACTGCATCACCATCCACAAGGAAGACATATCTGGAAATTGCATGCCGGTGGTCCTGCAAGGCACCATCAGCATCGACGAACCCTTCTAAACCTTTTGTAACTCCCCCGTAAACCAGCAAGAGTTTTCGCATTCCAAGAAGGTAGCAGAAAACCCGTTTGATGGCTTCCCAATGAGGCCAGCCAGAATTTTCAGAGAACTGAGCTAATGTTGATACTGCAAATGCGATATTGGGTCGTGTTCCCACAGCCGCGTACATGAGAGAACCAACCGCCTCTCAATAGGGAATTTTCTTCATGCGAGTGATGTCGGCGAGAGCTGTAGGGCACTGGGATTTGGAAAGAAAGATATTCAGATCCATGGGAATCAAAACCGGTTTGAGATCTGTGAAATTGAAATGAGCGAGGATAGTATCGATATATGAGTGTTGTGAGAGTGCAAGCATGCGGTTCTCCAAGTCACGCGTAATCTGAATTCTGAGCAGCCAGCTGATAGGACCTAAATCCATCATACGGTACTTCGCGTCAATGCGAACCTTGTACTCTTGAAGTAAGGGTGTAGAACTGCCTGTAATCAAGCAGTCATCCACATGAATAACCAGTATGACAAGGTCATCCCCTACATAGATGTAGAAGACACCCCAATCAGCTTCTGCGCATTTGAAACCAAGGTCAGCGAGCACGACACAAAGGTGCTCATACCATTTTCGACCTCCTTGCTTCAATTCATACAGTGCTTTGTGCAAGCATAGCACATAGCATTTCTGATTGGCCTCCGCATAGTGTGGCAGTTGCTCTAGATACACCTCTTCATCCAAGGTTGAGTTTAGGTAGGTGGAATTGAAGTTGAATGACTCCGCTGACCAACCATTTCGAGCTGCAATAGCAAGGATAAGTTGAAAAGAAGAGAGTTTTGCGACTGGTGCAAATGTCTCATGGTAGTCGATGCCAAAAACTTGCATGTAGCCCTGTGTGACCAATCGAGCTTTGTACTTGTCAATCTCTCCAGTAGCAGTCTTCTTGATGCACAAGACCCACTTGCTGCCCACAACATTGACACCGGGAGGACATTCAATGAGAGAGAATGTGTTGTTCATCTTCAAGCTTTCTAGTTCAGCTCGCGCAGCCTTGTCCCATTTTGGCCAATCTGGGCACCTCCTCGCTTCCTCAAAAGATGGTTCAAGTCCTTCTGCATCTCCCATTACCGCCGCCATGGCCTTTTTCTCAACTTCGACCCCTTTCCACTCGTCGGCGATGTTTACTGACTCTTTCCCAACAGGTACCAACTCAGGAATCCCGGACTGGAGGCCCTTTGGAAGAACGGGGTCGCTGGGTCTCACGCTGACATGGCCTTCACCGCTGCAGAGGCGTTTGACATAGGCAGAGGGTTTTCGAACTCTCTTGCCTTCTGAGTGACTGGGTTCAAAATCTGAACTGAGTATGTCACATTTCTGCATGGCGTTGGTGTCAGCTTCAGCCTCCACAGGTGTAGAATCGCTTTCAGCATTCTTAGGTGAGTTTATGTTCAGTGTTGTTGTTGCTTCAGTGTCTGATGGTGAAGTGTTACACTCGACAGTCTCAGCCTCATGCTCCCCTACGAGCGGAACTTTGGGGACAACAACGGGAGCATCAACATTAAATTTGACATTGCACTCGACCATTATCATGCGACATTCAGGCCAATACACTCGATGTACCCTACTTGGCCCATCGAATCCCACCCATTGACCGATTGCCATACGGCCATCAGAGTTTCGAGCCGTTGGTGTCATGTATGCAAACCTTGCATCCCCATGGATGAAGATCTGCCAGATTGAGTTTCCGGCCTTCGAACACTTCATATGGTGTTGTATTATCAAGGGCATGCATCACGGTTCAATTTTTCAAGTAGACGGCATGCAGGACGGCCTCTCCCCACAAGAACTTTGGGAGGGAGCTTTCATGCAACATTGCCCGAACCTTCATTATGAGGGTTCAGTTTAGTCTCTCGGTGATGCCGTTGTACTCTGGTGTGTCATACACAGTGAGTCGTCAAATGGTGCCTTGAGATGCAAGGAAGAAACTGAAGGTTTTGCCTAGGAACTTGCCACCACGGTCAGTGTGAAGTACCTTCACCTTGATCCCTTTTTGGGTTTCAAGAAGGGCTGAGAAGGCTCTGTAGGAGTCTTCAGCTTGGTCCTTTGTATGAAGCAAGTACAGGTATGTGTACTGCGAGTGGTCATCTGTAAAGCTGACATAATAATGACAACCATGAATAGTTTCAATGGGTGCTGGTCCTCATAAGTCGGAGTGGACCTCATCGCCAATCGCCGCTGCATGCTCCCCCGCATGCTTGCATCAGATTGGTTTTCGAGTCATCTTGGCATGCTTGCAAGACTCGCACACCTTTGGAGGATCAGAATCATCCAATTCGATATCAAGGACTAGGCCTCTCTTCACGAGGTCATGCGCCACATCAAACGCGATATGACCCATACGTCGATGGAGTTTGACAATAGACATCACCTCGGTCACCTTCGCTGCGAAATCCTTTGGGTGATACACACGATAGAGGCCTCCGTTTGCCTTCACTTCACCAACCAAGTCCCTTGTTGGACTGTATATGCGACAGGTGTTATCGCAGAAGATGACTGTAGTGCCTGAAGCAGTCACCTGACTGATTGACACCAGAGTAACACCCATATCAGGTGCATACAGGACATTGGTCAAGAGAACATGACTCGTCTTCTTGCCACAGGGGACCTCAACATACATATCCCCCTTTCCGATAGCCTTGAACATACAGTTGTCAGTGACACCAATAGGACGCAGATCGATGGTGATGAAATTGATGAAATGGTGGCAATATGGGAACATGTGCTGACTTGCTCCTGAGTCATAGAGTTCCATTTCAACTTCGCTGGCTGCATTTGCCTCTTTCGCCAAGAAAGCACCCTCAAACGTGAGAGTATAGGCCTCATTGCTGTTGCCAGCAATAACACCATTAATAGTGGTGGTGTTCTCTTCACCAAGATCCTCCCCCTCACTGTCAGAATCCGATACAGTCTGGAGGTCAGGAATTGAAGTTCTGTCATCATCGTCATCAAGACTGGTCTCAGTCACAGGGTTAGTATTAGGAGGGTCATCGAAGAGGGAGTCATCTTCATCAGGGAACCAAGAGCTCTCGTCGTCAGTTTCAGCAGTAACATAGGCATATCTGCCTGCACTCTCGATGTAGTCAAGGATGTTATCCTCCGCCATGGCCATCCATGCGGCATCCTCTGACTTCTCATCTTCCTTTGCTACTGAAGCCTTCTCCTTGGCTTTCCCCTTTCCTTTTCCCTTAGGACCCTGGCCCTCTTTGCCTTCACCTGGTGCCCAGCAATCAGCTTTATAGTGGCCTCGCTTCTTGCAGTTGAAGCACTCAACATCACACTTCGACTTTCCCTTTCCACCCTTGTCATTTACAGAGAATGCTGCATCCTTTGCATTTCCGCCTCGACCACCTTTGGTCTTCAACGCATGGCACTCGTACTCTTTGGTCAAAGTCAACATAAGGTCATCGGGACCTAACATCTTTCCAAGTACGCTTGATGTAGCAGTCACTGCAGAAATGTAGGGATCATATGAAGATGGGAGGGAGCTGAGAATGATGGCATAGAAGTCATCATCAGAAGGAGGGTGACCTATGGCGGATAGGTTTTCGCGCATGGTATGGAGGGTATCGAAGTGGATTCGCAGGTCGTCCCTCTCACTTGCACACTCATCCTGGAGATGTCGGCGAAGGTCAACCGAAACCATTCGGGACTTCTTCTCGAAGTCATTCGACAGGGCGGTCCAGATATCTGATGCAGTTGGTTTACTTTGGATTTTGATAAACAGGGAATCTGGAATTGTGCTCGCAATGAGCTGCTTCACAATTGCTTTACCCTTGCTCCACTCTGCAAGCTTTATCTCATGAGTCATAATGAGAGCAAGCTCTGCCGCAGTAGGTTTGGCTGGGTCAGCAGGGGCAGGAGGGGATGGAGGAACAACTGTCTTGCTGTCAATGTGTTTTAGGTAGCCGCAGGCATCAGCAGTGCACTTGAGTTATTCTTTGTAGATAACCCAGTTGGCACCACTGACATCAAGTTTGGGGACTCGAAAGAAGTCATCGGCCTTGATGGAAGACATCGTAGATAGATAGAATGTAGAGAGCGTAGGGGAACAATTGGATAGAATATATGTATGAGTGTTTCTGACACTCTTTCACTTCGACGCAGGTTAGGATAGCTCGGGGCCCATAACCTATTGAATGAGATAACA